CCCAAAAAAAACAATCCACTGAAGTTTTACTTTTTTTAATGGAACACCCTTTATATTATTCCATTTCGAGATTCTCACGGAATAGCTGATTTCAACGACCCATCGTACTCGGGGTTTTGCAGTAATAATTAAATATAGGGTGTGAAAAATCGAGATTTCTGAGTTCAGGAATTGTTTTTGGCGAAACTATTCAGAATTGGTCAACATGGTTCACATATCCCTATTAAATTTTTTATTTACTATCGATTGGTACTTAATTAAAATAGATACAGGGTGGTCAGAAATCTTAATTCTGAACCACCCAGTATTAGTTTTTATCGAATATCAATTGATAGTGAATACAAAGTTGAGATAGGGACATGCGAGGGGACATGTAAACCGTGTTGACCAATTATGAAATAGTTTCGACACAAAAAATTCTTGAACTTGGAAAATCTCGACTTTTTACATCATCTCAAAATGGAATAATATATAGGGTGTCAATTAAAAAAGTATAACTTTAGTGTTTTGTGATTTTCAGGGACACCCTGTATCTTTAGATATAATTTCAAGTAGTAGTCTATGTTGACAAGCAATTTCCTAGAGAGGAATAATTCCAAGAAGATGAGTGATCAGCCTTCTAGAGACCGAGGCGTTACTGATGGCGGCCCACCCTGTATAATTCAAATTCACACGTTATAGTTCAGTCATTGGGGATCCAAAATAAGGCTTACCTGGAAAAAAGTCCGGAAGTTTTGAAACTTTGTAGGATTATAGTTTTGGGTGTCCAGAACTGAAATTCACAAAATGCACATTCCGGGACATGCCGCCGGCGCCGCCATCTTGCTAAGATGGCGCTCAAAAACGGTTTTTTGAAAATATCTCCAAAACGGTGCGTTTTTAGAAAAAATATGAAGATATACAAATTTAAGATGAAAGAATTTTCTACAAGAAATGTTCCGAGCATATTTCTGCTAAAGAGAGCCGTTTAGGCTCAAGAGCTGATTGAATGACAACATATTCTGTTAATTTTTATAAACTGCCCCTAACTATCTCCATATATGCGTATAAATTCATATTTCATAATAAAACAAGCTATTCAATTTGTTCCTCGTTATATTGAACGATTTTTAGATCAATTATGCGACAAAAATTTTGCATTTGTGACTTGCGATTATTTGGGCGATATAAAAATTGCATTATCGACGAATCTGGCGACTTTGCTCCAGAAGTATGTGGGTGCAGGATGGTTATGAGTAAATTTCGTACCTATACTATGTATCCGTAGATATAGGTACCTTCTCGTACTGTAAAACCGCCCATAAATTCATAGAAATTTGAAATTTTGCCTCACTCCAATAACTACTTTGAAAGATCCTGCTTCCAAAGCACTACTTGCTTTTTTATCTTGTAAGTGCAAGGCGGCTTGTGGTAGAGCCTGCGGATGCAGGAAAGCAGGATTGCGGTGAATCCGACGAGTTCAAGGAAATTAACATCGATTCTGGAGCTGAGGTAACCAGATTCCCCGTTGAATATACCGAAATCAACGAGCCAGGTCCGTCTGGCTGGAGTGGATTAGGACTACAGGGGAAACCACTTAAAAAAACACGCCGTGTACTTAGCCTCTTGGGTGGTGTGGAAAAAGTACAGCATTTAAAATCGAAATTGATTGATCAAAAATTATTAACATGGATTAATTGATGAATTCATCGATTAATTGAATAATGGATATCCACCGTTTCGTGATAAATATTTTTAATGTCGTTAAATATCAGATTTGGGGACCCCTAATTATTTCCGGAACTCGCCACTACAGAAAACTTACGCAACATTTGTAATTTGGTAAGGGCATCGCACTTGTGCTGTTGAGAATATCATTCATTATTGTGTTCTGGTTCTCATCACTATGTATACGGAGTTGTTGATTTTGGATAGTGACAAGATATATTAAAGAAGTCATTGAAACACGTCAAAAGTTCCTTTGAATTTATTATTTTCCATCCCAATTACAACATTTGACATAGACAATATCTCCTACTTTCAACGTATTTGCTATTTTGGGACTAAGTGGTTTGAGTTCATTTTGATCATCCGAAACGTATGTCAATGGTCGGTTGTTTATAATAGCCTCACAATCGCATAATATGGTTAGCATTTCCTCATAATTGATAGTGGCTTTACCCAAATTCCTTCGGAGGAGTTCCTTGACTACTCTGACCAATCTTTCCCACCATCCTCCCAGGAACTTTTGACGTGTTTTAATGACTTCCCAATTACAACATGTGCCTTAACGAGGGTACTTTAGCGAGAATATTCTAGGAACATATTTTATAGGAAATATCCTGTCAGCAAGCTATAAATATAACGAGAAACCAATGAGTTAGCCCGTTTTATTATAAAAGATAAATTTATACGCATATTTGGAGATAGTTAGGGGCAGTTTATTGAAATTAACAGAATATGATGTCATTCAATCAGCTCTTGGGCCTAAACGGCTCACTTCAGCAAAAATATACTAAACACATTTCTTGTAGAAAATTTCTTCATCTCGAATTTTAATATCTTCATATTTTTTTTTAAAAACGCACCGTTTTGGAGATATTTTCAAAAAACCGTTTTCGAGCGTCATCTTGGCAAGATGGCGGCGCCGGCGGCATGTCCCGGAATGTGCATTTTGTGAATTTTAGTTCTGGACACCCAAAACTATAATCCTACAAAGTTTCAAAACTTCCGGACTTTTTTCCAGGTAAAAATCCCCAATGACTGGCCTATTACATTTCGCACGATTATTCCTATCATCTTGAAATTCTCACACAATCTGGCCAATGACAAGCCCACGAAAACTCATCGCGGAAACATTATAGCCTTCTAATTTTGATTGGTCTATCAGTGTTGGTGCCTTCAGCAACGGTGTAACCATGGATAGCGAAGCAAATAATAGGTATGTCAGTTTGACATAAAATAATTATAGCTGTAGATGTCAGAATGATTCGCTTCGGTAATATGGTTTGTTCATTTATACACCGAGAAAAAAGTCTCTATTAAAAAACATTCTATAACTGCTAATTGAAACATTTTAACCACGGAATGTCATCTGATGAACGTGAAAAGTCAACGTTTTCAACGTGAATCAGGTCACCTTTTCAAATCACTCTTTTTGTTTTGAAAGGGTTATCTCATAGATTCGAAATGGAACAAGATTATATAGTTAAAAGATGGAATTTGAAAGATAATCATTTTAATAAAAGATGTCATTTCACACTCATACAAATATCATTTAAGTTTCATTTCATCTTCATTTACCATCTTTGTCATACTCGTTTACCACATTTCAATCATTTCATTCACTTATGAAGAATTGATCCATCAGAATCGTTAGTCGTCTACCTGATATACCTGATATGTAAGGACATATTAGCCTGCAGCAGCTCGTGAACCCTGTTTACAGGCTGATGATTTTTTTTTCGAAAAAGTGAAGTGGTTGAAAGTTCTTCTAGAACTTTAGGGACATAATATATTTGTTCATATTCTCCCCAAGTTTAACACGTTGACTGCCACAAGGCACTTGGTATGTGCCTTGCCATTTCGGCTATTTATAGGGTTCAAGGCACACTATTTGTGTCAACTCTCTAAAATTTCATGGTACATCGTGAGTGCATTGAAGCGTATATATTAGCATGTGATCACAATCTTCGTGGCGCAGGGGACCCCAAATTCTCATAAACCCCAGGAAAAATATGAATATTTCAATTTTATTCAGCGTTTATTTCGAAAAATGGATTACCAAGCATCTGCACAATGGACACATATATTATTCTTCGAAAAATACATGAATATTTTAGTTATGCAATAAGTGCTTATGAAAAATGATCATGTTCTTCTGAAAAAGAGCAAAAATAATGAAAAAAGAATACGAAAATTTTTCATCGGGCTGCCAAACTTTCATAAATGACAACTTCCTTTATAACAATGTCGTCTTGTGGTGTTGGAAAAAACATGTCACGCAGAAATTTCTTTCACAAGCAGTACATTGGTACATATAGACCTAGGAGTTTTGCGCTGAGCTATGTTTGTTCCTTCTTCTTGTGCCAGTTTCTCGTAACAAACCACACACATTTGAAGGTACAGCATTCGTGCCTCACGGCCCGATACTACAAAATACATATGCTGGGGCCACGAGGCACATATGTCGTGTCTTCAGAAAAAATTTGAATAAAATCAGAAATATATGTTCTTTTCACATATGTCACATATTTCCTGAAGAAGTACAATAGTTTCAATCATAATCCATCATAATCAAAAAATGGCCCAGGGGAGCCAAAACTTTTTATGTACTGCGGCAGTCAACGTGTTTAAGATTTGTTGAGAAGTATCGGAAATTGATAACATTTTGTATTTTCGAACTACCGCACTATTCACTATAGTGGCAAAGCTTGGATTTATACAGTTATATCAGTAGGCGAATTGAGATATTGTGTAGGTACTCAGTATCTCGCCCTTGTGATGCACTTCAATGCCCTGTAGTTTCAATAAAAAACTCTATTTGAGGATAAGTATTTATACTAAGTAGATGTGTTCTCAATATTCCTCGACGATCTTCAATCGACTTAAAAAAATTATTTCCCCTAATACAAATGCTGTTCCACAGTCATTTGATTTTTTTGAAATGATGAACTTGATTACAGTGAAAAGGAAACTATGCTGGCGCCTATTCAATTCAGAAATCTTTTGAAGGTTATGCAGTATCGTATAACAGCTAATAGATATTTCTCTCGGTGTCATAAATGCCTCATATGCTTCGTGAAATATTCTTCTAGCAAAATACCACTCTGTTCAGAAAATCTTCTCATAATTCTGGCTTTCATTTTTCATTTTCAAATCAATTGTGTTGTCGACTGACGACGTTCTCTAGTGTAGCTCAAAAACACTATTTCGTGAACAACAAAGCGAGAGAATTATCTCGAATATCCAGAACAGATATAATTCATATTATATTGCATAAATTCATGAAGAAAACATAAAAATATTTTAAATTGCATTTAATCATATAAATATCCCAAATAGTACAAAAAACATTACAAAACAATTCTATATACAATTCCTAATAAGATAATAAAAATTTCCATTCTAATATGCACTCACTTTCGAGTTTTCATAAAATCAAACAATTCAATTATTATTAGTCATATATTTCATGTATGATTTCAAGTGATTCCCTATCGTCGACAAATACCCAGTAAAATTATTAATGAAATTTTCAAAAATTTTTGCCTCCTCTTTGTTTGCAATCTTCTGAATATTGTCAACACTCCTGGGTGTTTTTTGATGAACTGCCTCATCGTCAACTCTTCCTGTCGTATTTTCATTTTCTACTTCAGAGAAAAAATTGGTTCTTGAGTGATATTCATTGTGTTTATCTTCTTCAGAATCAGCTTTTTCATCACCTGAAATTGAATCATCTCTGAAGAAGTTCGATAAAGGATCAGTCATTTCGAAACTGGCTTTTGGATTTTTTGTCCTCAGTGTTTCATGATGATCAAACTTTATCTCAGTGTCACCATTCTTCTCTATTATTTCAAACTTGTCTTTGTTGGGAAGCACAAATTTGTAATCCTCCTCAGTGATAGATTTTTTTTCATCTGGTAGGTAATCGCTGTCCTTCTTTATTTCGTTAAGACTATCATCAATATCATTGGAAATGTCGTTATCAATGTCGTTGTCAATATCATCAATTTCATCCAGATCTATACTCCTCCTCTTCCTAAATAATTTGTTTTGTCCAAGAAGATTCTGGAAGATATGTAAGTCATCTGGAGGACTAAGATTTTTTATGCCGAGCGGATTCAAATCTTTTTGTAAGGTCAAGACATCAGAAGGTTTCCACATTCGCAAGTCCAAACTCATTGGTTGGTAAGTATCGAAAACATTTCTTCTGGTGTCAAATATCGATCTTTTCTGAACTATTACTGTTGGTTTGATAGTCGCAATCTCGATAGTTGTTGTCGATTCTATCGGTGGTTGTTTGGTCTCCTGATGAGCTGCTTTGATTCTAGATGATAAATCTTTCGGATGTAATTTCTCCAGCTTTTTTTCCAAACCATCGCTCAAATCGTTTATCGTTTTCTTCGCATTAAACTTGATTTCATTCCACTTTGGACTCTTGAGCCCTAATCCTTCCGAATCTTTCCTGAGTACCTGATCTATCTTATCTTTTCTGAGTTGTAATTCCTTTTTGAGATTTTTCAGTTGCTCTAATAATTGATTTCCTTGCTCATGTTCTTCATTGTGGATTTGGGTGAGCTTATCATCAGCTTCATTTGCCAGTTCTAGTTCTTGTTTTTTCTTCAGTTGCAGTAGCTTCAGTTTGTTCTTCTGTTTCTTTTCTTCGAATTTAAGTTTGTCATCCTCCAAAATGTTTTTGAGATCTTTCAAGTGTTTCTTCATCTCTTTTCTATAATTTTGGAAGTCATCTTCGATGTCCAAGGATCCAAGTGAGGTAGGCTTTTTATCTAAACGTTTCACACGAATTTCTTCTGGTAGATAGTCTTCTTGTGAAATAGGATTGTTGGATTGAACCTGAAAATGAAAAAAATCCTTCATTGAATCGTATTATGAAACGAGCAGTGTTATTCCATAGACTCTGATAGTTGAACAGATTTTTATTGGATAGTAACTTCAAATACGTAAATACAAAACACAGATAGAGTGTTGCGCAAGTTGTAACACATTCATTTGGAACGCAGGGATTTGGTTTCTGGAAAAATTGCTAGCATATATTATGTCTCTTTCAATTTTTGTCTGATTCTTTATGGTAAATTAATGTGCACAGGTTTGTCCTAAAATAAGTAACGACCATTCAGCAAAACTTGATGATGTTCAATCAGCTTTTTTTTACTGTCGGCTTGCCTGTTGTCAGAAAGTTGTTTCCGAGGATTCATTAAATCAATCTCCAGAAGTTCAAAAAAATTCCAATACCTACCTCCTGTTCCTATTCTGCCTAGGAACGCACGATGTTCTTTGAATATTATAGGGACTTCCTTTCGTGCGCTCCAAGCGATAAAAAAAATTAGTATGTTCGTAATTTGCGAGTTTGGGGATGGCACATGGTACATGAAACAAACTGAAATTCAAAAATATATGATTTCTCTTGATTTTTGGGATTTTCTGGCCTCATCTCTATCCTGTTTTCGATATATGAATGGAAATAACTCTTGGTGAATCTTTTCGCTTTGGTCTTCAGTGACACAAGTAGTCAGATAAATGTATGAGTTACAGGGTAATATTTCAATCAATCTTGAATTCACCTTTTTTTTATACTTATTACTCCTTAGGAATTAATATCATATACTATCTATGCCAACCGAACAAGAAGCAATGTTATAATATTCGTTCGAAGTAATGCAAGCGGATCCTTCGATTTTTCCTCTTTGGTTTTTATCTTCTCCGCCCATGATTTCAATATCATTCCACTGTTATATGCTGTTCATTTACAGTAAGGATATAATCAGCTAATCTTGATTTGTCGGTATTTCTTTGGTAGAAGTCCATCGTTTCTCAAAGTGTAGTTCAGTAGTAAATTTTTTTAATGTTCTGGTTCCCACGAAAAGGGATACCCTGAGAACATCGTGTGAATCAAGGGAAATAAGGTAGGAATTGGTGTTCTTCTTGAATTTCTGGAGGTTATATGCCTCGGGGAACACCTCACTTGGCAATGTGTTCCAGAGCCTCGCTGTTCGTTGGATGAACGAGTGTTTGGAAAAAGATGTTCTGCAGGTCTCTAAAGTGACTACAAAGGGGTAAGAAGCCTCAACTCGACGGGTTAATCTCGCGGGGACTGCCAATGGAGGAACAATTATTGATATTTCAGAAGAGCATCGTCCATGAAAATACTGAATCATACACAAAATCATCGCCACAACAATTCATTATGAAAACTCACAGGTTCATTGTGAATAACCACATCAAGGGAACATGTTTTCGGACATACGTATGTCCATCATCAGCCTGATAGAAAATAACTTAGTCCTAAGATGAAAAATAATTGGGTATATCAAAGGAATCCTCACCATAAGATAGCTTATATGGATGTGAAAGATTCGTTTCTTGTTACAATTGTAAATTACAGAACATTGAGATGAATGGTCGATTGTTTAACAAGGGGGAATAACCACGGAAGATTCCCAAAAACCGACATTAGATGTGGTAGATAATACTCTAAAGAGCCCTTAACGTTTGGGACGTTTCCATGAGGAAGTAGAAGGAATAATGACTTCCATCTTGTCTAACAATAAGCCGCAGGAGGAAGCAGGAAATCACATGACCGCTGAGACAAACTGAATGACAGATGTCAATGTTGGTGACAACTGAAATCCGACCAAAGAGCTGTACTGGGTATCAGAAATTTCCAACTTACACCAGCAGACTGCATATAGTTGAATAAAAAGAGAAGAGAATTATAAATACACTCAAATATAGAATCATAAATAGGCAAATGGAATGAGTTCTTAAGGTATTATGTCGAGGACCAAAAAAGTGTTTCATTCACGGTACAAGTGGATCAATGAATTTCATACTGTCGAAATAAATGTGTTTATCAAAAGAAACGTTATTATTTTCCTGTGAAGAAGCATTAATATCAAGAAATTTCCCATTGTATTCTGGGTTGGCAATGACTAGTAACCTGTCTCCATCACTAGCAGAAATTTTTCTATACAATTCAGTACAAAAATTGAAAATTTTCATCTCGTTCAAAAAAATTTGCTGCTGGTTTAGATACGTTGACGATTGTTTGGTCCTGTTGGATGGTACTCTTGCAGAAGTACACCTATTGTTAAATTTGTTGAATTCTTCACATCCTGTTATCCAGTTCACTATAGAAGTTGCATTGAATAATGCTCTCCTCCTTCTAGACTTACTCATTGATATAGACAATGATCATTTTGCTTTTTCAATATACAATGATGATGAAGATGGAAAGCCCTAATTTCGAGCGACAACGGAAAATGAAAAAACTCCACCGCCCGGGCTTTCCATCTTCATCATTATATGTATCTTTTCGGTTCAGTAACCGACAAAAATTATGACTTGACTCCTATTTTCAATATACCGCAAACCGACACATACTAACTCAGTTATCCCATTAACACGTTGACTAGCTGCCTTTCTGTTCACCATGGTATTTTACGTTCGGGCCAGGCGGTAATTTCATATGGGGAAAAAGTTTAATTTTTTGGGCCATGTTGCGCAAAGGAAGATATCGACAAATCATGACGTTCTATGGAAGAAATTTCGAAATATTCGACACCTATGTATGTGAAGAAAATCTTGAAAATGTATCTCGGTCATTTTGACCGAACTGGCTCCGTACCTACCGGAAGTTATGTTATTTGCTATGTTTTTTATACTGTGAAATTGTACACCAGAAACTGGCACTGCGCAGCGTTTCTTACATGCCGCCTCGGTCACTTTTTACGGCTGAAACCATTCGATACCGAGAGTCTGGCATGTGAAAGACAAAAAACTGACTCGGTCATATTGACCGACCCGGCGTGGAAGACAAAAAATCTTTCCGGTCATATGAACCGCGTCGGTAAGGGACAGCTATTTTCTCGGTCACATCGACCGAGATGGCAGTCAACGTGTTAAGAATATTTTTCACCGGTTTAGTGATGATATAAACATTTCATTTCACGATTTTCTTTGATTAGGGATTCCCTTTCGTGCGCTCCAAGCGATAAAAAAAATACGACTGATAATCTTTCACGTTCTCTAGTAAATAACAAAAATAAAGTTCCTCTTCTACATACTTCAGTCTACAATCTACAAAATTTCTTGTTCAGATCGAAACTGTAATGCTCACTGGTCAGAGTGGTAGGCATTTAGATGTTAATAACACGAAAAGTTATTTTGCCAACCACATTTTGAATTCTAATCATGCTTCCAAAATGGACACTGATTTAAAAGTACTACACATTTGTCAAGAAGGAGCCTTGTCGAATCTCCTGGAAATTTTTGAAATTAATGCAACTTTACAGATTGAAGTATATAATTCTTGAATTCACTTGAGTACCATAAATGAAACACCTCCCTTGGTCCTCGACATAACAACATCACAACTTAGTTCATTTGCTCATATTCAATTCTACTAATTTCCGTGTTTTTATAATTCTCTTCTCTTTTTATCTAACTATGCAGTCTGCTGGTGTCGATTTCATTTTTCATTAGTCACCAACATTGACATCTGTCATTGAGTTTGCCTCAGTGGTCATGTGATTTCCTGCTTCTACTTGCGACTTGTTAGACAAGATGGATGTCATCCATTATTCCTTCTACTTTCTCATGGAAGCGTCCCGAACGTTAGGGGGGCCTTTAGAGTATTATCTGCCATAATGTCGGTTTTTGCGGGTCTTTCGTGGTTATCCCCTCTTGTAAAACAATTAACCATTCAATTTTAATGTATTGTAATTTTCAATTGTAACAAGAAAAATGTCTTTCACCTTCATGTAAGCTATCTTATGGTAAGGATTCCTTTGATATACCTCATTATTTTTTATTGTAGGACAATGTGATTTCTTATTAGGCTGATGATGGACATACTTATGTCCGAAAACATGTTGCCTTGATGTGATTATCCAAAATGAACCTGTGAGTTTCCACATTAAATTGCCGTGAAATCGATGTTGTGTATTATTCAGTATTTGTCGGTATTTTCTCTAACATAATAAAGAATGAATGAGTCTGAACCAACAAACACTGCTGTGTGGCTGTATTTAGGCCACCCATGTGGAACCTAACCTAACCTGAATAGTATATAGGTTTATGTTTATGAAAACATCAAATTAGGTTATGGTCGTAACTTATTACTAGGCCACCCTGTATACATGAATTCAGCATCAGAAAAAGTGCACAACAATAATAACAATAACTTCCGGTTCAACCGAATGTTTATTTCAAATTCATTGAAAATCATGCATTCATCATCCTTATCATGATTTCTTCATCACATCGAAAAGCTAGAATCTTTCAAAATGAATATAATTTATTCGTAATTGAATGAAAACTGCATTCTGATGATACCAAATGAAGAAATCAAGTTGAAGTAAGAAAGGGAGAATGAAATAATTGATAAATAGAAAGAAAAAAATCAATCATCAACCTAATCTAACTTTCTTACTTTTTGTGAATTGTCAGATGTTGGGTGTCCTTCAGTAATTTCAGAATTTGAGGTCATCGACTGGTCATCAAAATCTTCATCGGATAATACTGAATTTCGATCATTCACAGAATGATTCGAATTCTCCGGAAGACTGAGATAATCTATCGGTTTTTCGTGGCTTAACAAGTCTTCCACCTCACTAGAGGTCTCGATGTGTACCGTAGAGTCTTGAATTCCCTTCAATTTAATGTTCGTGTTTCTCAAACCACCGTCCGTTTCTCTGAATTCATCATAGTTTTCCTCGCCCAAATCTCTTTTTCTCCTTCTCAAATCTTCATCTGATACCTGTACATAGAGGTGAATAATCATTCATACTGTAAATACCTAATTGCCATTTATCAGATGATAAAGTGAAATAACTACTGGGTTATGTCATAGCTAGATGATCGCGGTCAGAGTTGATGGAATAAGTTCTAGTAGAAGATTAATATCAGTTGAAGTTCCACAAGGATCTGTTTCAGGTTTCCAGTTATATTCAGTTGTAATAATAGGTACTTCAAAATATTGTGGTTATACATCAATAGCTTATTATTGCATCATCATGAAGAGTTGGAGTTTAATGGTTGAAATAATCGGACCGCGAAGCGGGAGGATTACTCTGTTGAACTGACACGATTTGTAATTGTGCAGGAAGTTTGAGATATATGACCTTGAAGATTTTGAAGTTCGTATTGTAATCGATGCGATTATTTTTTGAGTAGTTCTGAACGAACGTCAAAATTTGACGAAGAGCTTCAACAGTATGCATTGGTTACTATGGAAATGGAAATAATTCTAAATTCCTGATTTGGTGGAACTACTTTATGCATATCCGCGTATATTCTGAATTATGAAAGGTAGCTTAGGTCAATTGAACGTTCTGATTGGTTAAAAAGCATACGAAGAAAATTAGTTCATATGAATGATATCTCTGAATTGCAAACAAAAGCTCATATTACTGTTTATAATGAAGCTCAGGAAGTTTGTATGTCCTCAAACTTCTATGGTATTTTTTAGTTCAATCTGATACTGTTTATGGTCGATAGCTGAAGCAATAGGGTTTCACAGCCAAGGCTCACAAGGTATTTGTTATTCAAAAAATGATAATTAAAAGTATGGCTGGAGCAACTTGGGGAGATTGTTCAATGAACGCAAATAAAAACAAATGATTTAGTGATATAATTCTCTTATAAAGGACGACTCGGAATCAAACGCCAGGAGTTCATTCTAAATAATAATACAATGATATATTCATGTTTTAATGCAAAACCGGGCGTGAAGTGGCCCAGATTCACTGGCGTAAAGTAGCACTTTAGGGCCCTAGGACTATAAAGAATTACAGTGTGTTAACGATCACAAATTACAATTCCTAGTTACTTCTAGTTTCAAAATACTCCGGACTGTCTTCAAACTCGAATAAGGATGATCACAGCAACCTGAGTGTATTATAAATGACTTCTATGACCTACACTTGAGAGGGTTATGTTCCCCATAAACTAGAAAAACTGACAAGCTGTCACTCTCGACAGGTACCGATATTTCTTTAAAATTCGGTGTTATCAGATCTCCGGTGGTCCACGGAATTATATTTTAATGGAATTTGATGAATCGGTTTTATGACGGTCCCTGCTCGGGCGCCAAATTTGTAACGCTATCTACAACGAGGTGCGTGATTGGACGTTTCTACGCGGTTTGATAAATATTAGTCTCGGGCGCCACCTTTTTTATAGTGGTAGGTCCACTTGCACCGGGCAACTATCAGTGGAGATAGTGTAATCCAGGGGTCGTGAAATTGTCAATGTCAAAAGGACTGGTGTAGGTTTTGACTATGAGATTGTTGCCACCCGGATCACAAGTTGCTCTATTGAATTAAAACAAATGAACGATAAAGAAAACAAAGGGATCAGAATATCTGATCTATTACAATACCTACTCAATGCTATACAATTAGAACTTGAAACGAGGACTATAAATAACTTTATATGTGCCAAATTTACAATATCCTTTATTACACCCCGTATGGAATATATTGCCGAAACCCTATAACCTCCACTCTGTACAGTTAAAACGGACACCCCTAATATTATGTCGTGTTTACTCGCGGAACAAAGTGACATACGTTATCTACTGTCACTGACTTGTCACTATCTAATACCCGGTATCAGTTAATGATCAGATTCATTTCTTCATTCAAACCTTGATTCTAGAAACCCTCTGAATTTGGAACCGGTTGAAAACACGGTAGTTCCGTCTTAGTCTCCAGAACCCTTCCTAGATCCTGTTGTAAACTCGGTAGATCGGGGAAATGTTCGCTAAGATAACCAATCGACGAAAATAGTTCGTCGGGCTGTGAAGTATAGGTCATCAGGTGATAAAGTTTTTCACTATTTTTCCAGCAATTTCGAGTAGACTACCATTCGTTCTTTCTTTGCCAGTGGCATAACATAAGTTGGTCAAATGAATTCAAAATCATAAATGAATTTAATATTGACTTTTAATAAACGGTGGTGCATAAAATGTTGTGTGGATTTCAGGCGTAACTTGCTTTTATGGACCTAAGCGTGTTACTAACACGCTGCGGTCCATAAAAGCCCATTTTATACGCCCTACGAATAACTATTATTGATAAAGACTATGCGAAAAAATCGAAAAAATCTAGATACGATTGATATTTCACCTCCTTGATTACCCTAAAGGAAGTATTCATCAAATTGACTGATTTGAAATACAATCGATACTTTTCGAACTAAAATTGAGAAACGTATAGTTGTTGCTTAGTACACTCACCTTTTTCTCCTTCTTTGACTTTTTCTTCCTCAATTTTTCATCCTCAAAGATTTCCCCTAGTTCACGCATCAGTTTCTTAGTCTTCTTGTCTTCAAATGAAGAGTCTGGACCAAAGTATTCATGAATACAAGGCATGTCGTCCTCAATGTCAGTAAATTCTTCTGAGGAACTCAAAAATTGCAGTTCATCTTCTGATTTGGATTTACTTTTTTTCGTTTTCTTGTACACTGGCTCTACGATGTCAATAGTCGGGTGAACCACTGCAAACGGGTCCAATTTGGATTTTTTCTTGAAAATATCAAACTTTTTTGACTTTGGCGTGGTGTGGAGAAAATCGTCTTCCTCAAGTTCATCTGAGTCTGCTAATTCTGCGTATACTTCTTTCTTTGCAGGTTTCAGTTCTTCAGATTTGTCTCCCATTTCCAAACTATCTTCGACCAATTCTGAACTTGTTTGTCCTGGTTGTCTAATGGTTGCTTCGGCGTCTTTCAATTTTTTACTGTTGATGGTGCCTTTTGTTAATTTCTGTTTTTCGCCTTTTTTCTGTCCCCTAGTATTAGTGTCTAGCAAATCCATGTTTATGTCCCTTTTGGATCTTCTACTGTTTTTCATTCCTCTCAATTTTTCCTTCAAGCTCTCTTTCGTCGTTTCTGTATTCCTTAGAAGCTTATCTTTTCCTTCATCCCATTTCTTGCTGCGTTCAGCTAATTTTGTTCTGTATTGGGATATTTTTGAATCAAATTTCAAATCTCTAGTGAACCTTTTTTTGTTCTTCAACTCTTCCAATTTTTCCTCTATGTTCTTCCTCATAGTTTCTGTGTTCCCTAGTATCTCTTGTTTCTTTTCCTCCCATTTTCTCTTGGTTTCTGCTAATTTCATTTCGTATTGAGCCATTCTCGTATCCATTTTCAAATCCCTCCTGAATCTTTTTTCATTTCTTAGTGTTCTCAGTTTTTCCTTGATGTTTTCTCTCCTTGTTTCTGAATTCTCGAGTCGTTCATCTCTCTTTTCATCCCATTTTCTGCTACGTTCTGCCAACTTCATTTTATATTTGGCCATTGTTGGGGCCCTTCTCAAATCCCTTGAATATCTCCTTCTGCTTTTCAAGTCTTGTAGTTTTTCTTTGATATTCTCCCTCATTGCCTGGGTATTTCCAAGAAGTTCATCCTTCATGTCGTCCCACTTTCGACTTCGTTCAGCTAACTTCATTTTATATTGAGACAGTTTCGAGTCCATATCCACACTCCTTTCGAATCTATCATTTTCCCTTTCCTGTTTCTCCTCATCATCAAATCTCTGGCTATGTTCGGCCAATTTGGATTTTAAATCAGCTGTTCTCGAATTGATGTCTCTCTGTTTTCGAACAGAGTTATTGTTTTCCATATTGAGCGATTCTTTCTCAGAAATAGGGTCAGAATGCATTGTACGTTCTAACAGCTGCATGTTGATATGTCTTCTTTGTTTTGGCTGGACGGACCTTTTGACTTTTTTCTTGTAGAAATTTCGACTGGCTTTTTGAATGAGGGCATCCAGTTCTTCGTCTGTAAACACTACATTTCTTCTCGCAGCTCTTTGTTTTGCTCTGTCCTTCAATATTTTTTCAGCTTCAGCACTTGTGAGCTCAATATGTTTGGCTTTGGTTTCAATTTTAGGTTCTTGCTTTGTAGTTTTCGCTTTGTCGAGAAGGAATTTTCTCAATTCATCCCGTTTTTTCTGGAAATCCAAATGTTTCTTTTGTCGCTCTGCAAGTTTCACTCTATCAATGAACAATCTCCTTCCTCTGTCATCAATTTTTCCCGGTTCGACATCCTCTTTTTCTTTGATGTTTTCGATTCTTGATATCAACGGTATAGTACTGTAATACTGCTGATCTGATTTCATCTCTTGTTTCATCTTCTGCGCTAATTCTTCTAATATCTGGTTTTTTCCGAAAGAAGATCTTGATTCCAAGTTGAGAATCTCTTCAGACAATGGCATATTTTGGTTCATTTCCATTTCCTCCAGAAGGAGTTCCAGCTCTTTTTCTTCTTCTATGCATACTGGTACTCGGGCACCAGGTAGTACGAAGAAGCCTATAGAATGTGGTGGTACTGCCAACAAAATGTGGGACGAAGATTTGGATCTGCGTATTTTGGGTTCGAATGGGAATTTGTTCTGAAGAATATCTTGGGTGAGTAATCGTCCATTCAAGGAAACCACACTGAAAAATAAAAACAGTTGATAACAAGTCACTAATGACATCACTATCAGAGGAATTTCAAGAACTGACAGATCTCATATTCAGAATTTCGATACTATTGTCTTTAAAAGTCGAAAAACTGTTTCATTTTGTAAATCGACATTCAAAATTAATTCAATGTGGCACAAAATAAAGATCATGATGATTCGTTGCTTAAAAATTGATTATATTGAAAACTGTGAATTCTATAAAGGTACTACGGTCTTATAGGGGAACACACTGTTCATTATACAGTGTGGGGACTTTAAACTGGAATAAATTCGCTAGCAGGGAGGTTGAGATTCAATCTAAAAATTGCCAACATACGTCAACGATTCAAAAATATTTACGATGCAAGTATCGTAAAGATTCATATCACGATATGAAATGAGAAATTTGTCAAACGAGGCTGATTGTCGAGTTTGGTAACTCTTCGATTATCGAAATATGAATTTTAGGAATTTATTGGGTTCTCGGGTCACTCATTCTGCGAACTGTCAACTTTGACGCGTTCATAATTTGTTGATAATTTCAACTACAGTTCTCAACACACTAAATGGACTATTGGGAAGAACTATTCTCATGTTTTGTGGAGGACAATGGAAGACGAAAAAAGCACTTTTTTGGAATATTCAGGGTGATAAGAAAATAGGACAAAATCTCATTTCAATAAAAAAAATCAAAAATGGTGACTAAAACCATGGCCCATTCGATTCAGTATATTCAGAAACGGCCTCCTCGATATCTATTATTTATATTAAGCTATGACTCGAGACGTTTTCGAAAATTTCGCCTCTAATTGAAATACAGGATGAAAATTTTCAATTCAAACTTGTTTCCTGATATCGATGATTCTTATCATCTTATCAACTTGATTTTCAATATTTATTGCCCAAGTATGAGACACAGAGTATTGTTGTTCAATATACTGGGTGTTTCACAACTTATCTGACAAATTTCAACCACACCTACGATATTACATAAGAAGTCTATCACATAAAAATTTTATAGAAGTAAAACGAGATGGAAAATAAAATTTATATCCATTAAAACTATTCGAAGAGGGCTCTATTGGTGAAATATGACATTAGTAAATTCTTCAGCATTATGAAGATCCAACTAGAAAGTCCTATATCCTAAATCTCAGTACTTGGTAGGCCTCCCCGATTTAACAAAACCTCATGAAATCGGTTTAGTATAGATTCGATGAGGTTGTTGATGAAGTCTATTGATATTGCCTCCCTTTCTTCTGATACAGCTTATATAAGTTTGTCATTATTTTGGGGTGCCTCTCGCCTTCTTGATAGGTTATAAGTTTCATTCGGCTCAGCACATGTTCAATCAAATTCAGATCTGGAGATAATTCTGGTCACCACATTCTTCTAACATTATTGTTTTCTATATAGAGTTCGTAAATTGTCAGATAAGTTATGAAACACTCAGTATATTGGACAACAATACTCTGTGTTTCATACTTGGGCAATAAATATTGAAAATCAGTTGATAGGATGATAATAATCATCGATATCACGAAACAAGTTTGAATTGAACATTTTCATCCTGTATTTATATCAGAGGCAAATTTTTGATAGTCCAATATAAATAATTAATATCGGGAAGGCCGTTTTTGAATATACTGAATCGAATGGGCCATGTTTTTAGTCACCATTTTTGTTTTTTTTACTGAAATGAGATTTTGTCATATTTTCTTATCATCCTGTATATTCCAAAAAAGTGCTTTTTTCATCTTTCATTGTCCTCCACAAAACATGAGAATAGTTCTTCCCAATAGGAGTTCTAAAGAAAAAATTCAAGAAATGCAAAACTTTCGAAAAAATATCGAAGTTTTGTTTCAACATGCCTCTGGATCATATAACATTTCGTTATCAGATGACTACTACTAGGGCAATGCTTTTGCGCTGTCATTATGACAAATTCACAGCGACTCATGGAATTTTTCATGCATGAGTTGAATTGTCATAAGTAATATCACGATGTTCTGAATATTCGAAATAATTCTGTGGCTTCATTGTTCACGAAATTGTGTTGCCGAGCAACACCACAATTCTGTCAAGACGAGTGGTATTGACAAAATCACAGCGGCTCATGGGATATTTCATACATGATTTGGATTGTTATAAGTGATATCACGATGTTCTGAATATTCGAGATAATTTTGTTGCATCATTGTTCACGGATTTGTGTTGCCGAGCAACACCACGAGTCCGTCAGGGCGAGTGGTATTGATGTACGGCAACACAATCGAGTTAACAATGAAGACAGAAATATGAGAAGATATTCAGAACAGAGTGGTATTCTGCTAGACTTTCCGTTCACAAAGCATGCTGAAAAGCATTTTTTTTAAACTAATGATTCATTCTGACAAGTACAGGCGTAATTATTTTATGCCAAACTGACAGACTTTGATTCGCTATCCATGAATACATCCAGACTTTGATCCGCTATTCATGGTTACATCGTGATGAAATCATGAAAGCTGTCAGACCAATCAGAATTGAAAGACAGCTCATTTTTATATGAAATAGTCAGTGAGAATCAACTTACGTAGAATTCAATCCTGATGACGTTAACAGATACGTTTGAACTTCCATCGACTTCTCAGGCAGTGTCGTTCCTAGCTTCACTTTCACCTTGTATTTGCTGCTGTTGTCGTTGACAATCATCACTGTCATAGCTCCTCTTCTCACAAAACTATTTTGTTTTCTGGTGCAGTGAGCGTAAATGTTGGTTCCAGCGTGACTGGTAGTTGCTCTAGCTTCGAGCACATTGCTTCCCATGAGTTTTTTGTGGAGAAGTGAAAACCAGTATGCCTGAAATCAAAATCATAAATCAGAACTACTTCAATAATTCCACATATCACATTCAAGTTGATACGTAGATATATCACCTATAGTTGTTGTTGAGAGTCGAAAAGAAATCAAATTTCGGTTCGGTTCGTAGCGCAGTGGGAAAGGTGTTAGGTTTGTGAAAATTCATCCACTTGAGAGTAGGTTCGTATCTCCACCAGTGCACGTTATTTTTTGTTTTTCTTTTTGCTTCTATAATATACCAGGAATATTTTCAAGTATCATATTGTAAAATATTCTGAGAATATTCAAATATTCTCGGAGAATATCCTTTAAACGTTCTATGAATAGCATTGTGCTGTCTGTGCATTTTTTCAACTTCTGCATTTATTTTAATACTCACCCCATATCAGCATTATCATTCAAAAATCGAAATATTGCGAAAACAGTACTAAAAAGTTGATGTTCGACAGTACGCAGTATTGAGTTTCATCCAGTGACCCTACTCACGGGCCCTCTCAACACATTTGGGTTCTCCGGGGTTATAGGGAAACATGGAACGGTAATTGAGAAAAGAACAAAACAGCACCAGTGATTGCGGTAAGTCTGGTCGGCGAATTTGTTTATGCAGCACTGGTCGCTGGATAAGTGATTAGTCGTATTTATCCATTTTTCACTCTATTTGAAAAGAAGTAAGAAAATAAATTACACATTCTCATTGCTACTTTTTCTGTTCTTCAAAATGATGTTATCAGATTTTCAAACCGACGTATAGTCTTTGAGCTGCCATCATCAACTGCAACAAATAATCCGTGCGGAAACAAGTTTACAGAAATCTTCCGGCCGAGAGCTTTGAACGCAAATCACTATCGGCCACAACAGTAAATTCCTTCACAGTATTCTTCACGATCGATCACTTCAAAAAAGAAGGAAATAGTCACCACAAGGATTATTTGTTGAAAGATTTATTGTATAACATTCTTACCTATACAGGGAGTTTATGAAGGATAATTTTTTTTCAGTCCAGTGAGTGATGATTATTAATTATTAATTCAATCATCACACATACCTATAATAATAAGATGATTAACGCAGTTGAGTCTTCCCCTTTTATTTATAGCTTTGTTCTGACTGTTCAATGTAAATTTTATCGGTATAATACCGAATGATTGGCTAGAGTAACGGATTGCTATTGGTTGAATCAACGAAAACGTCACATTTTGACATGTGAAAAAAATAATCGATGGAAATATGGAGTTTTCCTACGACCACCTATGGAAAAAGCACAGAACACATTGATTTGTTATTGAGAAAGTGACTCGTTTCACTATGACAACTCGCATTGGTGGAAATATTCGAAAATCGCACAGTAACAGGGTCTATAGATTATGATGTACCAATGAATGATTAGTTGAGTTATGGTCAAGTTAATAGAAAGTTACTGTCGATTTAACATGAGTTATTGTCGTTAATGTTGACGTAATGTTAAGTTGATGAAAAGTTGAAATCGAGTTAATTTCAATTGAAAGTTGAAATAAATTGTCAATTTAGTGATTAATGTGAAGTTGATGTCAATTTGATATTGAGTAGATGTTAATTGGATTTCAAGGTAATGTCAAGTTAATTTCGAGTTAATGTTGATTTGATGTGGAGTTGATGTTGAATAATTATTGAGTTAATGTTGAGTTGATGTTAGGTTGATTTTAAGTTAATGTTGAGTTGATGTTGAGTTAATGTTAAGTTAATTTCAAGTTAATCTTAAGAAACTGTTAAATTTATGTCAAGTTGATGTTAAGTTAATGTTGAGTTAATGGTAAGTTCATATTATAGGTTAATGTTAAGTTAACGTTAAACTGATGATGTCATTTAAATATTGAAGTAAAATTGAATAATAATGATAATGATATCACCTTCATGTGATCGAATATGATTAGAAACATGATCCCTACTGTGGTTCTATATAAACACTCATGACATATTATATAAATATTTGTGGTCGTAGGAAAAATAGTGTACAAAACTCGTTGGAAAGTGCATTTCCTACACTAGTTATGTAATATACTATTTCAACTGGTGCGTTGCGACAATTACACCTACGTTGCAGGCATCTTTGTTGCTATGGAAACATTTTGAAGTAATTGAATATCTGTCAATTCAATTATGTGATTTGATTTTGAACATAACGGTGAAGTGGAATTTCGTCTCGGCGACGGTGTTATTGGCTTATTCTTAGGAACTCGTAGGAAAAAAGAGATTTTATGAAGTGACATTTTGTAACCTGTCAACAGAGATGGAATGTCAAACCCTCTCACAGTCACAACAAAATAGGAATTCATTATTCATGTTGATAATTTTGACAAATAATGGATTCGAAAACCAAACTTTTTTCATTGCAATTCGAATATCTTCGTAGAAAGAATTTTGCACCAACTGAGGCGATTGATGATCTATAACATTAAATAAATTAAAAATATCTCGATAAGCAATCACCGTCATGTTTTTCCCTATTCACCATTTGGCTATGTGAGCCTCCTCATGAATCACCCTGTATACCACCATTCCTCTGGGAATATTTTTTCATGTTACATGCACTACCCTTGACAGGTATACATAACATAAATCATTGGCAATGAAGGAAAAATATTGCTACTTGAAGGGTAAAGACCAGTTATCAACGAATAATTAACGCAATTTTTTTATTGGTATACTTTGAGGTCATGAAAGTTGGATTTCAACACGGTATGAGGCGATCTTTGAATAAGCATACTAGGGTACTGATAAAATAAATAGCTATTTGTGTATTTAGAGCGCAAAGTGATAGGTTGCCGCTCGACAAAGAAAGTTACCGCGCGATGCGGAGCGGAGCGCGGTAATCTTTGGAGAGCGGCAATAACACTTTGTGCTCGAAATACACACAAGATTTTCTCTACTAACGCAGCTTTTGGAAATGACTACCCTGAAAGTATGCGATTGAAATAGTTGAAAAAGTTTTTATCCATATGACCAAAGGAAACAAAAAAAGAAAAATTGAAATAACTGACAAGCCAGAAAAAAAAAATGTCGGGCCAACCGAGAATTGAAACTGGACCACCAGCGTGACAACCTGAGCTTCAGACCTCTGAGCCATAGTACGATAAACTCTGCAATCAAATCGAACATTACTCATTGATGCAATGAAATAAAGATACACTGTCTTTCTGATGGCAACAAAGAGTTCAAATATAAAGTATAATTCATCGTTTTCAACAGATATGGTTCATCGAAAGCTTCTTGTAGAAATTTGTTGATATATATCTTCAGCGGTGGATGTTTTGGATTTTTCCCGCTTTATATCCAATAGATTGTTTCTTGAGAAATGCGATAAGTTTCAGATACTTATTGATTCCGATATTATCTTTAACATTCAAGCATGTATACGTATACCATCGAATATATTGACCAGTGAGTTGATGACTTCAAAGTCTCAGATTTTTTACCAAAATAAGCCAGTAAAACGTTTTCTGAATACATATTCACCATCTCGGAGTGACACCAATTTATGAATGTATCATATTGTAATTCATATTTCTTCCTTGATTTCTCCGGTAAGAGATTCAAACTCTTGCGCTTTCTGCTATATCATCAGGAAGACGGTGTGTTTGATGATTCAGTGTCACTATTTTCCATCATGAAAGAATTGGGGGTTTTCAAGAATAGATAAGTATAGGTTACAGAGATGTGCGAGCGTTTTTTCAATATTTCCGCTCACGAGCGCAAATGCTGTCAAAGAATGACATTTCTGGGAAAACGTCAACTTTGTGCTGGAATTCGAAAGCGTCAAAGGCTACTTTGTTAAGCGTTTGTAGAAAAACAAAATTTCTTACCGGTGTATCAGAAAACAATTCGTGAATTCTGGGTTGTCTGAACACGACATCGTATCCTGTTTTGGCTGCGTTTCCCAGTTGTTTTGCCCATAGCAAAGCCGAAGAAAATGTCACGGGTCCTTCGGATTTAGGGGCCGTGGTCCACAATTTGACGTTCGGTCTGGGCGACCTCTGGAGAAGCTTGGAGGCCATATCGTTTTCAGGAAAGGAATCGTCCTTGACACCAGACCTGAAATGAATCGAATATAATAAGTGATTCAGAATTTTCCGGAAAAATGAATTGAGCCATAGATCCTCGAGTATCAAGGAAATATACTAGTTTTTCCACCTCTTGCTATAGTACCTACCGTTATTTACTCCTTTGCAAGGCTAAAAGTGTGTTTTTGGTACCAGGGTAGTTTCCGTCATTTTATGACCCACTAGTGAATGAAGATTAAAGACATAGCCCAGTAAAGACAAACATCCCTGGAATGTCACATTCATGTCTTGCTAGGTAACAATGCGAATTATGAAATGTAGATGAATTTGTGAGGCTTTCTAACAACCGAGAGACTCACTGGAACCTCAAATTCGTGTCTATCTATCAATCAATTTACCGAAAGGGTCTGGAATAGCAGTCATCGTGATTTCAGTGGGACTCTAATTTCGATGTGTTGTGTGGCATGAATATGATGCTCTCCCATATCTTTGGGATCAATCTGTGTAAACTGGGAGCAACCTCTGACATAATTAACCCGAATTCACAGTTATGATGCGATACTCACAGAAATGGTACTCGAATCTAGTAGGTTTATCAATGCCGACTTGTCATATTATGCTGTCATGTTATGACTAGATTTCAATTAGAATTGAAAAGAAGTGCTTTCATAGTGACAAAGGTCCACATTTCACTTTCACAGAAGATAATGATTGAAGTATATTGCAAGTAATGAAAAATAGTATATTATGTAACAAGTGTTATAAACGTCCTTTTAGTAACGAGTATTTTAAGCACGAGCGGAGCAGAGCGGAGCGAGTGTTTAATAAACGAGTGTCTAGAAGAGTTTAAAAACGCGTTACATACTATGCTTTTTCTACGAACTCCTTAAATTACATTAACATACCTGCTATTCCTGCTAACCTACAAAATATTTCGAAAGGAATGGGAATTGAGAACATAATAGATGACACTGATGCATGCAACCAGCGAGACACGTATAAGTGATAATGGTTGTAGATGTGTCCAGTCCATTGCTTACTAACCTTTGTTTCACGTTTATTGTCATGCTCAGCGCGAAATAAATAAATTGTTCTCAAAGATGGATGCTTTATTTTTACACTTCTTGATGGAGATATGCAAGTGCCATAACATTCCCTTCGATTTCACTTTCGTCTACATTTCGCATATATTTTTAATGAAGAATTCTGATACAAACGAATATTGTTTGAATAATTCTGATACAAAATTCGGAAATAACAGTTGACAGTTGATACAATCGACAGGCCAGACATGTCTCAAATTACTGAAGCTGTGTTTAATGAACTGTGTTGCCATGGTAATGTGTTTAAGAAATCGTGTTGCCATGGTAACGTATTTAATATTTTGAATAAATCACAGATTGCCAATCCATGATTAATCGATCATTTAGCGTGGTACATATCCGTACGCTAAATGCCATCTTAGATATGTGAGTAGAAAAAATGAGATATACACCTTGGTATAGTGAAGAATATTATTATCACGGAACCTTATACCCCTCGACTGGAGCTTCGGGATTCACTCTAGGTCCCTGGGTGATAACGATATTCTTTACTACCTTGGTGTATAAATAACTCTTATATACCCCCAAGCAATGCAAGGCATAATTTGTATATACATATCATGTTTTCTAGTATATTATTTTCAATTGGGTGAAAATTTGAATATATCTGAAGTGATTTGAAGACGTTCCAAGTATCAAATTAGGTACTAGAGTCCGACTAGTTCAACTTTGGGACACGTTATTCAACGCATATGCATATTCAATGAATACGTGACCACGTCCTGTCTCAAAGTCAACCTGATCGGACTCTACAACTATGTCATCCTAAAAAAAAATTGTAGGCAAATTTTAACTTTTTTCAACACATCTCCTGATTCAACGTTACAACTGTGCTAATTTAGAGTCGCAACTATGAATACGTGAAACAAAGTTATTTCAGGATGGCAGTCCAGAACCGCCGTATATAGTATACTTTTCGACCTCGAAAAATGATCGATATTTATATCTTCAATCAATTCAGGTGATATAGTAAGCCATCGAATTCTTCTATACTCTGATCAATCCCTGCAGGTTGTCAATATTTCATTTGAGTCAAGATGAAAACCTTCAAAAATAACCCATCATATTGAGGAAACTAGGATAGCAACATCTTTTTTCGAATTCAGCCACTCGTACACAAACTATCTGTCTTTCATTTTCGCCATGTAGCTATCACATATATGAATGATAGTTTTGATAATGATACTTTTTCTGTTGCATATTCAAACGGGGCAAAGTTGATAACTTCGTGGTCCAAAATATAGCCTGAATTCAAAGTAGAATAACTCACGAATTTCCTTACCAATTTGAAATCGGATTCCACTTTGTATAGACTACGTCAGAATTTTCTGTGTTCGAACACGATCATATATCCGACGACTATATATACAACGTTGATTCTTCGAAAAAGAATTCCAACTTCCAATTTCATTCAATTAATCGTCGTAAAAATGCATCATTTTTTATGAATATTCATGACACAATTATCAAAGCTCTGAATTAGAAAATTCCGAAAATGTTTCGAGAGAAAGCATCAATCAAGAGGATACAGGTGAGAAAAAAAATTTAAAAAATGATCTGTTCAAACGGTAAGGTGACTACCACGATGCAATTTTACACCCATTCAGTTATCATCCTGTAGCAATGTTATCTGAAATCACAGAAGTTTCATATTGCCACAACAAACTGTCAAGAGCTTATGCTAATCATCGGTTGAAAACCGATTTCAAATTGGTAAGGAAATTCATGAGTTATTCTACTTTGAATTCAGGCTATATTTTGGACCACGACGTTATCAATGTTTATAATGAATAAAAAACTCATGTATTTACCAATTTGACTACATAGATGAGTATCTAATCGAGTTCAATAACGAAAGTGGAAAAAATAAGAATACCTCTGATTATTTATATGCCAAAGTGATGTAGCCAAGTGAAGTAAAGTGGTTGAAGCAGAGACGAACTTATCTATGTCGAATCATTGTCGTTCTAGATGACAACCTAGTTAGGTACCCAGTTAGTGGGCGAGAGCTATTACCTCCTCGCACTAGGTCGCCTACTAGGTTCTCATTTAGATCGACAATGGTCGAAGTAAATATCCCTTGTAACCATGGCAACGTTGTATATGCGGAAGAAGAACCTTTGGAATCTTTATATTCCATAAACTGTGTCAGTTGTTATTAGCTAGTATATTTCTAGTATTTGGTGCAGGTACGTTTCTACATTGATATATGAAGTTTTGGTGAAGTCGCCTTTAGCTCACTTGAGACTCCGCCAAAATCTGAATTTGGGAACAAAGTTACAGATTCTCAGAAAAAATTCAGTTCGTCTACTATTACATGAGCCATACACCAGAAATAAGTTGAATGTGTAACTCATTTCAAATTGGTAAGGAAATTCGTGAGTTATTCTACTTTGAATTCAGGCTATATTTTGGACCACGACGTTATCAATGTTTATAATGAATAAAAAACTCATGTATTTACCAATTTGACTACATAGATGAGTATCTAATCGAGTTCAATAACGAAAGTGGAAAAAATAAGAATACCTCTGATTATTTATATGCCAAAGTGATGTAGCCAAGTGAAGTAAAGTGGTTGAAGCAGAGACGAACTTATCTATGTCGAATCATTGTCGTTCTAGATGACAACCTAGTTAGGTACCCAGTTAGTGGGCGAGAGCTATTACCTTCTCGCACTAGGTCGCCTACTAGGTTCTCATTTAGATCGACAATGGTCGCTAGTATATTTCTAGTATTTGGTGCAGGTACGATTCTACATTGATATATGAAGTTTTGGTGAAGTCGCCTTCAGATCACTTGAGGCTCCGCCAAAATCTGAATTCGGGAACAAAGTTACAGATTCTCAGAAAAAAATCAGTTTGTTTACTATTACATGAGCCATAAAGCAGAAATAAGTTAACTGTGTAACTCATCTTTGCATGAACATTGAACATTGAAATGCAATGCTCTATCCGTACAAACATGAAGTGATGTACGGTATTCGTCGGATTTAAAATAACGAAGTTATCGTGAATGTTCGGTACGAAAGGTACAAACACTTTCCGAAAAATCTCTCAGTAGTTTCAGTTCGATAAAATATAGTCAGAAAGCATCGTGAACAGAATATTCTCTTTACTGAACAAATAAGTATTTGTAAGCTCATAAAGGGTGTTTCCAATATTTGCGAGTTAAATTAAATGGAGTGTTATACAGGGTGATTCACCATAAATGCTTTCCCCCGCTCTAGCTCAGTTATTTTTGAACCGACTGCAAAATTTTGAATATCATCTAAAATAATTTTCGATAGAGTGTTTTTCCGCTACATCAGAAAATACAAGATGCTCGGAACAAACGAGTTACAGGGACTATTTGATTTTTTCAAATGGAACACCCTGTTTTTCATTGTATTTTTAGATTTTCCCTTTAGAGCTGATTTTTGGGGTCTAGCGAAAATGTAAACAGAGATATTGGGTGTTCAAAATCGAGATTTTTCAATTTTTTTTGTGACGAAACTATTCATTATCGATCAAAACAGCTTTCATGTCCGTATCTAAACTTTCGGTTTACTATCTACTGACATTTGATAATTGGAACAGATACAGGGTGATCAGAATTCTCAATCTTGAACCACACTGTATATGTTCCCATTAAATGTCAGTAGATAGTAAATCAAAAGTTGAGTACGGACATTAAAGCCGTTTTGACCAATAATGAATAGTTTCGCCACAAAAAAATCCTGAAGACGAAAAATCTCGATTTTGAACACTTTTTATCTCTGTAATCATTTCCGCTAGAGCCCAAGTGTGATGTATTGATGAAATCAGCTCTTCAGGAAGGATCTAAAAATACAATGAAATACAGGGTGTTCCATTCGAAAAAAGCAAGTAGTACTTTGTAGATCGTTTGTTCCGAGCACCCTGTATTTTCTGATGCAACGAGAAAAAAATTTATGAAAAATTATTTTAGATGATTTTCCAAATATTTATATCGGTTCAAAAATAAGTGACCTAGAGAGAGGGGACATTTATGGTGAATCACCCTGTACGTAGACATAATGTCACAAAGAATCGCAAGGAAATATGTTTGGAATATAATGTTCCAACTATCATTGATCATCCAGCAATTAACGTTCTAGATTTTATCTATACTTCACGTGCTACTGATCTCACCGCTGTTAAATTTTGATCAACGATTTACAAATATTCAAAATTCAGGTTTCGGCAACAGGATTGAACGTTTTCAATAAAGCAGCGTGGAAAAACAAATTTGAAATAATCGTTATAGTGACATTCAAAGTACATTATTAGAACTTTATTATAATTCTTCCATGTTGCAAAGATGATATCTGATATCACAGTCTTATTGCAGCTGCATTCTGTGTCTAGAATTGATCACCAACATGTTTGGAATCTATATCTACCCAGCCAACCATGAGATGTATAAGTGATGTATACGCTACATCACTTTGTGACATGCGATATCGCATTTGAAATCACAAACATGCTACCGATACAACGTGGCGATGTGAAAATGTCCGACTCAAGCAACATCACTGTGACGTCGTTCAGACATGAAATGCGACATCACATGCAAAATCACCACCAGGTCACATACAAGTGTACATTTCATATTACAAATACATCACACTGCGACATCGATGATGTGGTCGCCGTACCTGCTGTGATATTCGTGGGATATATAATAATAATAATAATCATTCAACTTTACGAAGAAAATGTTTATTTTCCGAAAGTAAAAACAGATGATACAAAAAACTTATCATGACAATCACCCTAATTAGTAATCTTGAAGTAAAACATGACACATATATATAGCAATACAATACAAATACACATTATTCATAAATGATACATATCAAATACACTTACATTATCTTGGGATCTTTCATCCACCTTGTTTTAGATTGCAATAGTCCTATCTCAGAGGTAATCACAATATTACCTATTGTGATTGAACTCACGACCGTCGTTCTTTAATGATTGTATACCTCCAATTTGAAACTGCTATAATAATATGTGTGCTATAAATCATCTCAGATATTTCAACAGAGAATTTGGAAGGAAATAGTCTGTACGGAGTGGACTCATTCACTGACTGACATGGCCATGCACAGCTCAACATGGCGTCTGGCGTGTGCGTTCGTTTTGCGCATGTCTGCGTCACACTCACAGGTCACAAAGATATCTCATGAGGATATCAATGTGAATTATTTAGTTAACGTCGAAGAGATGTAGTTTGAAGAAGTCTCTGCCACATTACATAGTTTCCTGGTCGCGATGTCACTTTGCGACGTTGATATCGAATCTACGTCGATAAGATGTGTTAACGAGATATTGCATTCATGCAAGGTTGTTACATCACACAGATGTTGATGTCACACGATGGTTGGCTGGGTATGAGTATTCTTTCATCTCACTCCTAGTTAAACTTTTTTATGTTTTTTTCTTGTGAAGTTGAAGAACAGCTTCAGTTGATATCTCATGCAACAATTTTCAGATACATGTCTTTTCTATAATGTAGTACCTACTTATTATTTTCGTGATTAATGATGACGATTCATTGTTATTATACTTACGGTTCCCACATGACTGCTGTGACGATATCCTTCACTTCTTCCAATGTATTTTCAGGTTTTTCCCGCGAAATATGGCTGATATCACTGCCAACGATTTTCCACGTTTCATTTCTCTCAGGAAATGCGGCCAATACGTAGTCGAGGATGTTCAGATCTTGCATATACCTTGTTTCACTTTTATTCGAGGAATCTGAAGAAAAAATATGAGTTTGGGTATCGAAAAAGTTGTATTGAAAGTTGCAACTCATTCCCTTGTTTGGCATAATAATACTCAGAAACTCTTGATAGGCTTGTGCAGTAGCGGCGTTATACAGTGTCATTCATAAAATCGGCATCATATGAGAACAATTTTTAATAATAATTCATTTCGAAATTCGTCTTGGGCGTCAAGTTCTGCTTTGAAAAATATAAAACATGGACCACTCGGTCGGGGTCACGTAACTTTCGCTACGTGGCAAAAGTTACATTTTTTCAAATTAATCCCTGAAAATAGGCCTATTTGTCTGAATTTCAAATAAGCTTACTAAGAAAAGTTGTTGCTATTCCAATTTTACACCTGTCTCGAATTTGGACGTTTTATCGAAAATGTATGTTTTCGATATCTTTTTGATTCTTACGAATAATTATTTTGGGAAATTGAATCTCAGAGTTTGCTAGGAAATTTAATTGTAGATCAAGTCGCATCAGCCAATCATTGGAAGTTCCCAAGATGCTTCAACATCGAAAAAAATAAGCGCTGTGAGAATATTGTTCTTTACCGTGGTTTAAATATTGGCTTATACACGGTGTCCCAGAATAAGGATCGTATACTATGAGAGGTGATTCTACAGATGAAAAAAAGGAAAAATGTTTTTATTATCATGTGTCCGAAAATGCTTCTTATTAGGGCGCTACAGCCTTCTGAAGGTAGGAGGTAGGTCCCTAAATGCAGCTCATTTCTTCAATCACCTTTGATAAAATTGAACCTTAAATTCAGATGTTCTGAAGTCAAAAACAACTATGGATTTAGAACAACGAAGTTGGCATTGATATCAAACAATGAGTGTACAAAATATTTTTTCTGGCAGATGCATCTCATTCTACGTCAAAAACAACTTCTAGAAAGTTATCACCTTTTGAGAAATATCGAAAAATTAAAAAGTTCTGTCATTTTTTGAAAATTGGTCAAAAATGTCAACTTTTGCGGAAACGGTTTGAGATATTGAAGTGCGGTTCTCACCAATGGAGCTCACACAAATATCAAGCTACAGATACAGGGTGATCAGAATTCTGAATCTTGAAGCACCCTGTATTTTTTTCAATTAAATTCCAGTAGATAGTGAATCAAAAGTTGAGATAGGGACATGTAAGCCGTTCTGATCGATAATGAATAGTTTCGACACAAAAAAATCTTAAAATTGAAAAATCTCGATTTTGAACACCCTATATCTCTGTAATCATTCCTGATAGACCCCAAGTGTGATGCATTGATGGAATCAGCTCTGCAGTAAGCATATAAAAATGCAAAAAAAACAGGGTGTTCCATTCGAAATAACGAAGTTGGGGTCCACTTCCGGTACAACCGGAAGTGCCACCACCTTCAAAATATTCTAGCCGGATAGCACTTATCAACAATAGTGAGCTACCAAATTTTCAAATTCGACCCACAAATGGTTCTCTATATATTGATCGATGCAGTTCCCGGAGGGACACCCTGTATACTCACCATATCCCAGCTGCCAATAGCAACTGACATTCAACTTGTCCGAGATCTCTAGCAGCGGCAACGTCGCCTTAGGGTTCCACACCCCTCTAGCGGTATCTGCGTCGTTCAGGCCGAAAATAGGGACTAGGTTGGCGAGCTTCAACCACTCGTTGATGCCAAACCACATGGAGGGTGAGATGACAACGTTGTTGCCGTCCTCAGACAGGTAAGTCGGCAGCCGGTCATCTTTGTCGAAGTATTTGACGAAAGGAGTGGACGGACCAGCTATCCTTATGAAGGCTGGGCTTAGCTGTTTCGCCAGACGAAGGGAATTTTCACTGAAAGAAATAAAGAAAGATATTACATATTTCATTCGGCTTGAATCTTCTAGACTATGAAAAACTTGTAGGCATACTGGCATACCTACACTGTATATCGAAGATTGGAACCTTTGGCACGATAAACCAAACCGATTTTTTAAACGCCTCAACAGGTGTTTCGCTAACTATGTCAGCATCTCCAGGAGAAGATTAAAACTAAATATCCCATTCTAGTGTGCTGCTCATATACTAGGTATATCTTCACCAAACCGTGGAAAATACTTACCGTCAAGTTAATGTTTGTCAGGGTTTAGTTCACAGGTTAATCTTAATTTTTATATTACTGAACTATATAGAGGGCTATTATGGAATAGGTCCATTATCCTTAGTCATAGATAGTACAAAGATTAATAGATAGTCATAGATAGTACATAGATTGATATAGATAGTCATGGAAAGTACATAGATTAATTTCATTCCCTCCTAGCAAAGAAAGATTCGATGCTGAAAGAAGTGTTGTTTATAAAGTGGCTGGTGTCAATGGCTATGATATCAAAATAGTAGATAAATTAATAAGTAGACATAAATTTGAGATAACACTTCGAAACACGACTTTTCGAGTGGATGAAAAGAACTCTAGAAGAATCCCAATCCCGTTCAATCCCAAGTATACGAAGGGACTTGATAAGGTTCTCGAAGACTTAGGTTTTGAGAGCGTTCATCAGTCTGGGTCAAAATTAGGCAATTTATTCATTAGGCATTCCGAAAGATAAAGTGGACACACTTGAAAAGTCGGGAATATACGAAATAAGTTGTAATGGCTGTGATAGAACATATATAGGCCAAACTAGGCGACCCATAAAAACAAGGTTCAAAGAACACATAGCACATTTAAAATATGGTAGGTTAGATAAATCGTAACACATATATTACTAACCTCAAATTAGTTAAGCAAGTTGATAGTATTAGGAAATTAAACGCATATGAAGATACATTTAAGAAGGATAATGGACCTTCTATATAGTTCAGTAATATAAAAATTAAGATTAACATGTGAACTCAACTATGATGAACAGTTAGTATTCTTCATGGTTGGGTGAATATATACGCCTAGTACAGGTTGAGTCGATAGTGTGTTCTCTTTCGATATTAGCCGAACCCTCAGATATATAGAAAAAATTCGGATACAACAGTTATAGGGTTCCATGAGAACTATGACCTAAAATTATTTTCATATCTATAGGGTGTTCGAATTCCAAGATATCGGCTTATGTGTTTTTTTTTTTCAAAGGGATAAACTATTTATTATCGCATTTTCAGGTTCTCTCTGAAGATCTGATTTCATCAATTCATCACACTTGGGGTCTAGCAGACAGCAGACAGCAGACAGAGATATAGGGTTTTTAAAATCGAGATTTTTCAACTTTTGGATTTTTTTGTGTCGAAACTATTCATTATTGGTCAAAACGGCTCACATGTCCCTATGTTTACTTTTGATTAACTATCTACTGACATTCAATTGGAACAAATACAGGGTGGTTCAATATTCATGAATTCTAATCACATGGTATCTGTCCCAATCAAATGTCAGGAAATAGTCAATCAAAAGTAAACATAGGGACATGTAGTCCGTTTTGACCAATAATGAATAGTTCCGACACAAAAAAATTCACAAGTTTAAAAATCTCGATTTCGAACACCCTATATCTCTCTAATCATTCATGCTAGACCCCAAGTATGATGTATTGATGAAATCAGCTCTTCAGGGAGAAAGTAAAAATGCAATGATGTATCCCATTTACGAAAACCATCATCAGCCGATATCTTCGAGTTCTAACACTCTAAAGATATGAAAATAATTTTAGGTGATATTCATAAAACTCTATAACCGTGTATTTGGATTTGTTTTATATATTTGACAGGTTGATGGTCAATATCGAAGAAGAACACACTATTGACTCACCCTGTATATAAGCAGCATACTAGATTAGGATATTTAGTTTTAATCTTCTTCTGAAGATGCTAACATACACGTGTCGAAGTGTTTGAAAAATCGGTTTAGTTAGTGGTAAAACAGGGTAGTGTATCTACAGGGTGTTTCTGGAATTGAGGTAATAAATAAAATGAGGTATTCTATGATATATAATGAAACGATAAATCACGAAAAATGATTGTTTAGGGCAAAAATAGGGATGTTGGCCAGCTTCAGCCACTCGGACAGGTAGGTCAGCAGCCGGTCATCTTTGTCGAAGTATTTGACGAAAATGGTAGATGGACCGGCGATCCTTATGAAAGCGGGGTTCAACTGCTTGGCCAGATGGAGAAAATTTCAACTGAAAAGAATAGATCTTTATGGGAAATCCGTTGGTATTCTGGCATCTACACGGTGTTTCCTGAATTAGGGCAATAAATAAAATGGGGTATTCTATGAGTCATAATGAAACGATGAATTACAAAAAAAAATTCTATGCTGAAAATAGGGACCTAGTTGGCGAGCTTCAGCCACTCATTGATGCCGAATTGCCGAACCACATGGAAGGCGAGATGACGACGTTGTTGGCGTCCTCAGACAGGTAGGTCCGCAGCCGGTCATCTTTGTCGAAGTATGTAAGGGGTAAAGTACCGGCGATCCTTATGAAAGCTGTTGGCCAGACTCAGTGCCGGATTTAGGGGGGGGCTATGGGACTAACAGCCCCCGGCGGTGAATTTCAAGGGGCGGTAGAGAAGATGAGAAAAGAGGAAAAGCAAGCAGCAATACAGTTGTTGACTAGTTGAGATACACTGTTTTAGTGAAAATCAAAGCATGCACTAATCTAGCGTCAGCTGTGTCTTGGACGCTACAATACAAAAGCGGCGGCGGTATATACTTCCATTTGATGATGAGAAGAAAAACCGCATTCTACTCGTCTAACTCAATAACAGAAAACAAAATCAATCAAAAACATTGAAACTTGAATTTATAAAAAATTAGTATAAAAGAAGGTGGTGTATTCTGGAAACGGCAGAAGATCAATAAACAAAAGCAGTTAGACGAAGTTGTCAAGAAATGCCCTGAAATACATTCATTTACTCTAAATTCGAACGAGACAGAATCAGAACAGACAGAGCCGTCTCCGGGAACTTCACGATCCCAAGACGGCAATGGTAAGTTTTATATACTTTTATATTCAATACGCGAAAAAGGAGGGTTAGAATCTCAAAAATAAATGATCAAAATATGAACACGACTAATCGTTATTTTAGAGATAATCACAACAAATTCCTAATTCATTGAATATTGGCAATTACTGAGATTTTTTTTACTATCCCTGATGATTAGTCATGCCAGTGGTGAAAGGTCATTCTCAACTTTAAAAATAGTGAAAAACTACCTTAGGAATTCCAATTGCATCAAAAAAATTAAGAAAAGTATTTCAGTATTCATCTGAAAAAAATATTTGTTGTTTGTTGTTATGTTCAACATGTGAAGTAAATTTAATTTGATTCCTTCTACATAATGCTGTAAAAAAAGCAGTGAAAGGATTATTTGAATTTTGAAACTGACAATTGGAAATCAAATATTTGGCGACGGCGCGGCGGCATCGTAAAAGTTAGCCCCCGGGGTAAGGGAGTACAAATCCGGCACTAGGCCAGACGAAGTGAATTTTTATTGATAACATATAGGAATGATGATCTTATTCAAGGGGGCTTTGCGGAGGATACAACCACCTGGTCACCCATGAAAATAGTAGAAAAGCGGGCAATCAATGGAATTCGGTTGGTAGCTAGTATATAAAAACGATCACTTGAATCCAAGTATTGGAAATATTCACAGGGTGTCCTACTGACAAATTTCATTTTGTGTTTTATTGCGAAGTTATTAATAATATTTTGTCGATATTAACCTACTAATAATGAAACATCGGTTCTCCCTTATGAATTTAAAACTAGAGTTCAAGATTGAGATAAAAATCACTCTACCACACTATTGGAAATACCGATTTCGATATGAAGTATGTGATTTATTCAATATACAGGGTGTCCCGAAATTAGCCTGCCAAGCTTCACCAGCGGCTTTTACTACCAAAAAGAAAAAGAAAACTTTCAATGAACATGAGTCGAGAAATGTCTCCTACGGGAGCTACGGCTCCCTGGAAGGGGGCTCCTGAAGATGATATTTCTTGAGTATTTCCGAAACTCAATGTAATATAAAGATGCAATTTGGTACAAGAACTAAAATTTCCATGCCAAATGCGAGGAAAATGAAATTATTTCGAAATTTCAATCAGGAGTGTATAATACAGGGTGGGACTACATTAAATATTGCTCAAAATTTTTTGTATGCATATTTTTCGACAATTCAATCTCGGATTATAAAATTTCACACCTATTCACAGAAAAAAGATACTCCAGTTCAGTGACGATCAGATGTATTATTATCGGTTATAAGCAATTTAAAAATAATGTTACATCTCAGATAACATTGCGATGAGGCGTAGTGAAAATGGAAAAAAGTGCACAAAAATTGAACTAGTTGTTTCATCATTATTTTTCTATTTTCCGCGCATTTAAGAGATTGTTTGGTAAACAAAAATTAGTTGATTTTTCCAAAGCCACTATGATTTGAAAATTGGCAACGTTATATCGTGGGTCATCTCACGTAATGACGTATCTCATAAAAATCGGAATCTGAGATACTTCGTCAAGTGATTTATATTCTTGTTCTTCATGATCACACAAAGTGGCGTAACTCAATATTCAATGGTTTTCGTGCAATTGAAATTATTGGACAACCGAATCTCACGAAGTGACCTAACTATAGGAGTTACGTCAGTACGTGAGATATATTTTCATTATGTGTTGAAAATATCGAAAGTGACGTATCTCACATAGGGTTTGTCGCGGAAATCAAAATATCTTGGGTGACGTATATCAAGGTACTGAAAGGAGAATTGTACAAGTGGAATGAATTTCTGTGTTTTTATCAATAAAAATGATTTTTCAGATCTGTTATTAATTTGAATTCACTCGATATCCATGGGTGTATCTAAGGCTTCATTAACAAACATGATCTCACGTAGTGACGTATCTCATAATTTTTTTTTTCGTTTTTGGGATGCTTTCCATCATCCACTGATAAATGAAAAAATGATGATCTTTCATGATCTACCCTCTGAAATATGAGCTAATTAAGATGTTGAAAATCTTTGAATTAGGAAAACTGAGATACGTCACTACGTGAGATGACCGTCGATATGCATATGAGATGTGAGTGTATCTATATTTTTAAATCGATTTCACTCGAAGATGATACATCTGATCGATGCGGAACAAGAGCACATTTTCTTGTGAAATGGTGTGGATTTTCATAATCCGAGATTGAATTGTCAAAAAATATGCATACGAAAAAGTTTGAACAATATTTAATGAAGTCTCACCCTGTAGTAAACACTCCTGAATTAAACTTTGCAATTATTTTATGTTCACCGCATTGGGCATGGTAAGTTTAGTTCTTGTACCGAATTGCATCATTTTATCACGTGGCGTTTCGGAAATATTCAAGAAATATCATCTTCAGAAACCTCATTTCAGGGGGCCGTAGCTCCCTTAGGAGACATTTCTTGACTCATGTTCATTGAAACTTTTCTTCATCTTTTCATCTGTATAAGTGTTTATGAAGAAACCTACATGTACTTAAATGTTTCTGTTTCGAATACGATCATAAGTCATAATATAAATTAATAATAAAAAGTACCCATCATCATCAGTGGCTATAATCTCTCATACTTACTCATTACAAATCATTAAGTATTTTATTATTTCTTTTTTGTGTGTTGGATTTCTCCATACAATGAATATTCAATCAGGATACGACAATGGCCATTTTGCAATATTTCTCAACATTGAAATGTGTATCCGAATTCACCCGTCGTTTAAATTGAGCCACCCTGTACGTACTCACCTCAAACTGACTCCTGCCAAAAGTACTGCCGGATCAATCGTGAAACTCAGGAATTTTTCACCAACGTACTGTATAGCTTTCTTCACGTTTATATTGCAAGATGTCTCAATTTCATCTTCAACCCCTGATACATATCGTAGAAGGCAAAATACGATACAAAGTTCCAATAGTTTCACATTCATTTTACACAAGGTTTCTGGTTAATTGAATTTTAACTCCATCGACGTTTTCGCGTTAAAACCTGATCAAATTTGAACTGATTCAGTGCGTACTTCGTGAAAATTGAAAACTGCAATGTTCGCTTTATTATAATGTTGAAATCATTTCAGTCAGCAAAATATTTCGTTAGTCCACCTTTATGTTTATGACCTAGTTGTTAATGAAATAAAACAAATCATATAGCTATACACATTATATGGAAAAAATTATTGACACACTTGTTTCTAGAATATTGATTCAATTTTCGCATTACCAATAATATAGAGACCATCATTTTTTGATATATCGTACCACTAATACAAGGTGTTTCCGAAAACTGAGCTATAAATTGGATGATAAGTATTGAGAAGGAATTTTCTCAAATATATTATGGATAAGAAAAAAATTCATACACGGGGTGTCCCGAAATTAGCCTCCTGAAGATGATATTTCTCAAATATTTTCAAACATGATAACATGATGCGTTCTGGTACAAGAACTAAATTTAGTTCAGTAAGGTGCTACCCTAAATATTGCTCAAACTTTTTTATATGCATATGTTTCGACAATTCAATCTCGGATTTTGAAAATCCACACCGTTTTACATAAAATTAATTTCGTATCGATCAGATGTATCATTTTCGAGTGAAATCGGTTCAAAAATATTGTTACACTCTGATCTAATGCATAACGTTGCCAATTTTCAAATCATAGCGGCTATAAAAAAATCAACAACTTTATTTTTACCAAACAATCTTATAGAAGCGCGTAAAATAGGAGAATTTAGATGAATAACTACTTCAATTTTCGTGCATTTTTTTACATATTCACTACGGTTGATTGCATGTTATGCATAACATCTGAGATGCAACAATAATTTTGAATCAATTTTACTCGAAAATAATAAATCTGTTCGATGCAGAACAGGCGAACCTTTTTTTTGTAAAAAGATGTGGATTTTCATAACCCGAGATCGAATTTTCAAAAAATATGCTCACAAAAAAGTTTCAGCAATATTTAATGTTGTCTCGCCCTGTTTTCTACACTTCTGAATGAATTTTTGAAATCATTTTATTTTCAATGCATTAGGCACAAAAAGTTTTGTGTTTGTACCGAATTGTGTCATTTTATCACATGGCGTTTTGGAAATATTCAAGAAATATAATCTTCCTGGAGTATCCTTTCATGAGGGCCGTAAAGCTTCCTTAGGAGACAGTTTTCGACTCATGTTTATTTGAACTTATTCTATTTTTGTCGTAGAAGTCGCTGGTGAAGTTTGGCACGGTAATTTCGGGACACCCTGTATATAAATAAATAAATTGAGGATTCGCATTCTTTATCTGATAGAAATATTAATTATTTCTTGGTATATACAACAGAAAAAACTACTTTCCTGACTATTTGCTGCGTCCCACATTGAATTATATTTTTTGTCCAAGAGAAGGATATGAAAATAATAAGCTTCTGAAATTGAGAATTGACATTTTCTTTCGAATCAGATAAATGATATGTATAATGATATAAAAAATATACTTAACCAAAATATTCAGTATTGAAATGAGAATTGGAATGTATACGAGAAGTATAATACTTGTACAAACTCTGATCTTGGTAATTAAATAAGGCCTGTTCGATTTTATTGTTGAACTTGCTAAAATTGATTTTTTCCCCATAGTTGACTCTGTTCATGACATGATGTAAACAGAGAAAGTCATGAAAAAAACAGGTACAGCAGGTAGAGCAGTTCCCAAAAATCATTCGTATCAGTGATGTAATTCAATGTTCGTTGTGGCATATACAGGGTGTTTCAGATTCATATTTACAAACGACACCTGTAGATAGAGGACACTTCGATGGTTCCAAATCACTTCTCAAGAATATGTTTACCGTCTTCTATAACTCAGATACAGGACGTTATCTTGATTTTGATAAAATCTTCATCTGCTCATAACTTTCGAACAACTTTGTATAATATATCCATACTAGGTAGAAATATTCCACCTATATTACCCATCAAAACTGAATGAAAATCGGGATCAGAATACAGGTCCGTCCTGAGGAAAAACAGAAAATTTCTTTTATTTAAAAATCAACACTTTGTATGGCAAAATTTTGTAGATCTGTTTCGATATTTGAAGAGAGCAAGAAACAACGAATGAAGTAACCTACTTTTAACGAGCGCGCATTCGATTTGACAAATGTTGCATTGTCATTTTCTGAAATACTCAACCCCATTTTGATGCATTTCTATCGAACTCGTAATTCAAAATCCAATTATTCAAAAAAAAAACAGTCTTCAGAGATCAACATCATTAGTGTCAGATTGGGTCAACTATCGATAGATTTAATCGTTTGACAGAAGAATTTGTCAATGATTTAAGAAATTTTTGAGGGCTCATTTTATTCTTTGCTATATCAATTCATGAGCTGTGGTAAAGTGGGCTATGCAAAAAGTTCGGATATTCTTACAGTTTCTATAATCATTGGTGTGATATTATCAGTAACGTTGATTGTTTGTGCTCATGTATTGGGTTATGTTACATTTCAAAGTGTTCATAATGATGTTTTTCTACAAACGTCAAAAAATGACAAGGTTCGCACATTGATAACAAATTGCGAAGTGACACTTTTTTTCAGTTTCCTACGTTACCATGATACCTTGCACAAAACAATGCGCGAAGTAAAACAGTGCGCGAAGTACCTACTTCGCGCATTGTTATGTAAAATATATGATATATTTATATTTCAACTTCATGGTCCTCAATCGAGCAGACATCCAGAAAATCATTTATTTCTGAATGTTCAACAATAACTCATGTTCGTGGAACATCGTGCGTACCTAGGGAGGATAGGGGGAGAACTTTTAAGATAGTTCAACACTATTTTTTATATCAAGCTAAGCATATTTTCACTTTAGAACTATATTTTTTGACGTTTGTAGAGAAAATTTTGTTTGCAACTCGAGCGCGAAATACTTTGGTCATCTCGACAATTTTTTTAACTCGGCTATCAGATGTCGATCACCAAAGTAGCATTATTTCGCGCTCTAGATACAAAAATAACTATTTTACACCATAATTTGATGTTACCAATAATATCACTCTGGTGATAATGAACTGACAGAATTGAAAAATTTGTTGCACTGCCAAGAATAAAATGAGTCCTCGAAAATTTCTAAAATCATTGACAAGTTATTCTGTCAAATGAACATGTCTTTCAATAATTGACTATAATAATGTTTTTGTATGAAAATTTGATTTTGACTAACGAGTTCAATAAAAATGCCTCGAAATGAAACTGAATATTTCAAAACATAATAATAAACCATCGGTTAAATGGGATGCGCGATCGAAAAAAAAGTAGTTCGCTTTATTCATTTTTTCCCATTCTTTCCAAATATCAAAACATATTCACGAAATTTTGCCATAGAGAGTGTTGTTTTCGAAATGAAACAAGTCTCTGTATTTCCTTAAGACGGACCTGGATTCTTATCTCGAATTCTATTTAGTTTCGATGTGTAATATATGTGGAATATTTCCACCGAGTATGAATAGATTAAACGAAGTCGCATTCAAAAATGATGACCAGATGAAGATTTTGCCAAAATCAAAATAACGTCCTCTATCTCAGTTAAAAAAGACGGTTGACACCTCAATGAGGGGTGATTTCAAACCTTCAAGCTGCTCTCTATCTGCAAGTATCGTATGTACATTTAAGTGTGAAACACCATGTATTGCCATATAGCCAGGAACGTGTAGTTGTTCTCTGTTGAATATACCGAAAAATAATTGATATTTATCTCAGATAGAAAATGCGGATTCTCAATGTATTCCTTTATATTGTTCCATTCTTTCATGTTCATAATATATCTGAGGATATTCCTTTTCAATACTTCCATTCCCAATCAAGGGGTTGAAACTAGAACGATGGAAATTTGTTATTTTCACAGACCTCTAATAACAGATTCGTGATTGGGTTTTCTCAATTCAAAATTTCTTTCCACGCCCTGTATATGATGGATATCAATTTGTCTTGCATCTAAACTAAATGAAAATTGTTTGAGACATAATGACACGGAAGGAAACACTATTTTGATGCAATCACAAAATGTTCAAACAATTTACGCTTCAATTATGTTAACGTCCTGCACCATTTCAGAAGTCGATAGGTATGTTACTCTTCTATTTATTCAAACTTCCATGATTTCCAATTGTCCTGATTTCCAAAATTGAACAGGGTTTCCGCAATTTAATTTTAAATTTCATTTCCTGAGAAAAAAGTGTCTGAAAATGGGTAACTCTGAAATATGTTGAAAACGTTGATGAATTGGTAATTGAGTTCCATTTGACCTAACCTCAGAAAGTGGGTAGTTTTCTTTGACTTGCTGGGCGTTAATTTTCAAGAAAATGTTTCGTTCTCCGAGGGCTATACTCTTTTACTGCATTATTCAAACATTGATGAAATAATCAATATTCAAACCTTGTTTTATTCATAATGTAGTTGAGGGTGGCCTTGAAGAACGAAACGTCGTAATGAGTATTAAGGCATAACAAATAATCAAAGTTAATTTGATTCAGAAAAAAAAGTTATGGGTACACAATTTCCGTATATTCCTGAAAATGGATGCGCTAGCGCCAAAAAAAAGAAAGCTAATATGGTATTTTTTCATATCTCTTATTTAAATCTCGAAAACGGTCCGTGGAAATTGTATCTAAGTTATGATGCATTCTCGGACTGAAATTCCTTTATTTCGCGAGTCTTTTTCACCTTTCGAAATTGATAAATAAAAAAAAACAATACTGAGGAGCAGGACAGTTCTGATGAGAGTTCTGGGTAGCGCTCGACGAGTTCTTCAAAATGTTCTCATTGTGTTTTAGAGATAAATCGTTACGTTTTCATTTATTTTAGCTTTCATGAGGTTCCGTCTCGAGAGTGCCGATAACTTGGTATGCCGACCACAAAAAATTATGATTCTCGATTAAAAATTTGTACTTTATTAGGACCAAAACAGTACTGATGAAAGTTTTGAGCAGTGCGCAATGAGTTCTTCAGAATAATATTTCAATTGCGTTTCAGAAAAAAATCGATACTTCAAAATATCCTTATCAAGCTTAGGGAACAAAGATACTTTTCCATTCATATCTGCTGTCATTAGGAACTCATCGAGCGCTATACTCTGAACTCTCATCAGAATTGTTCTGTTCAATTAGTATTGATTTTTTATCGAAAATGTTAATTTTTCAAGGTCGGCATTTTTTATGATCGACTGTTTCTGATATACAACAAAAAATTCCAGAAGTAGCTCCAATATTTTTCTTTAATAATCCATAACTTTGATAATTCACCAGAACTATTGATGACATAGGTTTGAAACTCCTGAAATCTTTATAATACCATTGATTATATACTCAATGATAATACATCAAGAAATATATCAGATCTCATTTTCTAGAATAAAACGGCGCAGCGTGAAGTTGGCGCTCGAAATTAATTTGTTAGTTCTATTTACTCTACATACGATTTGCTGGAACTATTCAAAATTTCAGTCAGGGACTCTGGAACCCCATCAAATCTACTAAAAACCCAGAAAAAAGTTAATATTTCACAAGCGCCAACTTGACATGAGTCGCATTCTCAGTTTGAAACGAAGATGCGTCGTTGCAAACTGGTGAAAATGTCTCATTCAACAAAATCGCAAAAATGAAAATTTCGATAAAAATACATTATTGCTAATAACTGAACTTTAAAATCATGGTTCAATTCAGTAGCGGCGTTAGGGTAGGGCGCGGTTGGGCGACCGCCCAGGGCGCCGGATGAAAACCTGCAAAAACCTCTATAAATTCCTCAAATTTTTCAAATCAACGTCATTAGCGCATCTCACAATCATAGATCTCAGTAAATGCACAGAAATGTTGAAAGAATGCTGCACTTTCTCGTAAGAATATAGAAATACTAACTCTGAAATCGCTATTTTAACTGCAGAGGAATTGGCTGAAGAACTAGAAATTGAACCTAAGCTTGGACCTAATCTTAGTGCCACATGGATAATTCGAAATGTTGAGCGTCAAGCTGGTGAAACTGCCCGCCACGTGCCAATAGCTTCTACAGAAAAAAATCAGGTTTAATTTTTCATTCATTTCAGAATGATGAAAGTAAGATATGGTGCGCGTATTCGGCCATTATTACGTATTGAAAATTTCAGAAAAATCACTCGACCGCCTACTATGATTTCTCTACGTCACAACGAGCGAGACGTTGATTCTACATTTTCCTGCTAGATGGTGATGGTGCTATTGCTGCTCAATTGCTGCTGTGACGAGTGGAAATAAAATAGCAAATGGGATTATTCAACTCTGAATTTGAAAAATCTGCGACAATTTCAAAACTGACAGATTTCACAATTGTGCAATGTCGCCATCTATTAGAAGATCGACGGAATCGCAATGCTCTCGAGAGGCCGAGTCAAATTTCTGAAACAAAAGCGCATCAGTTTACACCATATCGAGCTTTCGTCCTTAGTATCATCCAAACCGTTTTTCATTTGGACTTTTCGTTTGGCAGAAAATGGGGCTGGAAAATAGGTCTGCATAGCGATTGTCGTGAATCGTCGGTCTTAATGAAATATTTGAAGTTGAATGAGTACTACGAATTTTGGTACTTTTGTACAATATAAAACAAATTTCGAAACAACTCGACCTTTGACAAGGTATATGTGGTGTGATAAACTCACCTCATCAGAATTTGGTTAGCCCTGCATATGTTTTGAATTTTATAAAAGATCGCAACTAAAAAGAACTTTATCAAAATGAATGATTAGCATTGCGAATATTATTGACTTTATACAGGGTGGGTCACGGTCGATGGCACCTTAGACGTTTACGGAGAACGGGACATAAGATCATTCTGAAAATTTGGTTACTCAAGTAATTGCTCTTGATCTATCGATCTAAAATATTTTCAGCTCTGCGGCGTTGCTGCTTCTATCGAAAAGTAGCAACAACTTTGTTATTTTAAATGGAACACCCTGTATTTTATTGCATCTTCAGATTCTCTCTGAAGAGCTGATTTCATCGATATATCACACTTGGGGTCTAGCGAAAATGATTACAGAGATATAGGGTGTGAAAAATCGACATTTTTCAACTTAAGGATTTTTTTTTGTCGAAACTATTCATTATTGGTCAAAACGGCTTACATGTCCCTATCTCAACTTTTGATTAACTATCTACTGATATTCAATTGGGACATATACCGGGTAATCATGAATCTGAATTCTGCACCACCCTGTATTTGTTTCAATTAAATGTCAGTAGATAGTTGATCAAAAGTTGGGATAGGGATATGTGAGCCGTTTTGACCAATAATGAATAGTTTCGACAAAAAAAATTCCTAAAGTTGAACAATGTCGATTTTTCACACCCTATATCTCTGTAATCATTTCCGCTAGACCCCAAGTGTGATACATCGATAAAATCAGCTCTTCAGAGAGAATCTGAAGATGCAATAAAATACAGGGTGTTCCATTTAAAATAACAAAGTTGTTGCTACTTTTCGATAGAAGCGGCAACGCCGCAGAGCTGAAAATATTTTAGATCGATAGATCAAGAGCAATTACATGAGTAACCAAATTTTCAGAATGATCTTATGTCCCGTTCTCCGTAAACGTCTAAGGTGTCATCGACCGTGACCCACCCTGTATATATACCTGTAATGGTTGCTAGTTTTCAGTTTTCCTGAGCCTAATGTGATAAAAACCTATCTGCGATCGACAATATCTCAATCTAGATTGACAAACTTGACAACTTTGTCAATTGAAAATAAAATTGCTGAAAATATTGACTTTATTGATCTAATGAAAGAGTTTGCCAATACAAAGGCTAAAAAAGTGAAATATATTAGTTTTTAGGGGGCGCCGTAGAATTCTTGCCCAGGGCGCTGGTAGTGCTAAAACCGGCACTGGTTCAATTTCATGCAACCCTACTAAAACGTAGGTAAGTACTACAAACTTGAATTTGATCAGAACGTTGGATTTCTCTTTTTTTTTAAATCTCTTGGGTGGGGCAACGAGAAGAAATCCCTATAATCTTCGGATAACATCGTGCGTACCTAGGGAGGATAGGGAGAGGAGGTTAGGTATTGGAATTGTTTTTGAACTCTTATTGGAGATCATGAAGTTCTTGGGAATAGGTCTCATACTTCGTTTTGGTAAAAAAAAGCTCCGCCGGGTCGTTTATATAGACAAATTAGTTTTGGTAAAGATTTGTTCGACATATCTCATGGTTCACGACGAGGGGATGTGGTGACTCGACTCCAGCCATAGGCGGCGGGTTGTATATTTTCTTGAAAAAAATAGGTTAATTTGATGTGACTGATTGTAGCTACCCCTGAAGGACTATATAATATATATATAGGTAAATACATCGAAACGTTGACGTTTCACGCGAATTTTTAGAAAAATTATTCACCTCTCCTAAAATATCTCCCCGTTAGCGAATTTATTCTAGTTAAAAGTCTCCACCCTGTATGTACCCAAGTCATGGTTGTTTGAATCTGTGGTTCCGTCCTCGGTTCCGTCAGACAAAAACTTTTTGTGTTTTGTGGTTACGTTGACGTCGTTGACTTTTACTTTGTTATTTGTTTACAAAATATTACAACAAAAATAAAGTGGATGAACAACTTGAAAAATTTTGAGTATTTGGATCATGATCTGAAGATTTGGACATACTTGTATATGGACAGAATAAAAATTGTGTTATCTGAACACCTGTGGTGGAACAAGATACTGAACAAGGTCAAATCACTTCAGTATGATATTCATTAGATTTGTGATATCCTGAAGTGACTCAATTCACTGATTAGATAACTACCTCGATAACTAGTTTGCCTCTGACATGGTTCTTCGTCAGGAATCTTATTCCTACCCCTATATTCATTCACAATCATGATATCAGGAAAAATGGTAAAATCAGATAACAAAGTGTGTGGTGTGTGTGGGGATAAAGCTTTGGGTTTCAACTTCAATGCTGTCACTTGTGAAAGCTGCAAAGCTTTTTTCAGGAGAAATGCACTCATTACCAAAGACTTCAGCTGCCCCTTCAACAACCAATGTGATATAACAACAGTAACAAGACGGTTTTGCCAAAAATGTAGGCTTGATAAGTGTATTGCAATTGGAATGTGCAAAGATTTGATAATGTCTGATCATGACAAGGAAGCCAAGAGGCAAAAAATTGAAGAAAACAAAGCTAAGAAACGAAAAGGTAATAGTTTTAAGGCTGGCTTCAAGAAAATGAAGAAAGAAATAGTTGAGCCTGATTCACAAAAAAGTGAATGCTCCTCTAGTACTGTTTATTCCAAGGGCATTGCTACAGACACCAATTCTCAAGATGTTTTATCAGAAGATCTAGAAAAAGATCTGGTACATCCGAGGGTACATCCATTCTCTCAGAAAAATCCAAATACTGTCAGTGTTATCAACTACAATAGTTCTGTAAATAACCCAATAGAAAACTTGGAAAATGTTTCTTCTCCAAATGAGAGACTTGTTTCTTCAAGTGATGAAGTTATGAGTACACCAGTTTTTGAAGAACTGGATAAAAAATACAGTTCAGATCAATGTGAAGATCATAACCAAACTTGTTCAAGGACCAAGTTGAACAATTATGATGTGAACTGCAATAATAACAGTGTTAAATCAAATATTATTCATTCTGTCAATCCAGAGAGTACAAAGGAACAACCCTCAATTGAAAATATGACTCAAGATATCATCAATGATGTTAGAAGGTAAAAATAATTGTAGAAAAAGGTTATATCAATTATCCAGAAGTATTAAATGGCAATTAAGTCTTGAAAAGACTAGATACCTTATGTTTATATATTCAAATCTCACTAACAATTTAAATGATTTACATATATAGGGTAAACTCTCCCACAGTGAACTACTTTTGTTCATAATGAATGCTGATGACATAGTTTCCATCGAGGTTTCCATTCAACAGCATTCAATTAATTTTTTTAATATACTTTAGACAGAGTGTCAGCAAGAATTGCCCAGCTACAGTTATCACTTACACTGGAAACAGTGAATCAGTTGGATGAATTCACAGTGAACCAGTAAAAAACAAGATAAAAACATGAGAAAACATTTATTTTTTAAAAAGAGAAAGAGCATCTCTCATTTGTGCTTCAGTGTGTTTGTAGGTTTTTCTGCCTTTCTTTTGCCTAGCCATGCTGCAACAAATCCATAAATAGGAACTAGATGAGTTTTATAATAGTACACAGTGAACCATGTATTGGCTATGGTTCACTACTTCACTGTCTATTGGTTATGGTTCACTGTTAAATTTTCACAAAAATGTAGAATAAATAAGTACAATAATAATCCTGAGACTAATTGAAATAGTTTTTATTTTTCAATTTTGAAATAGACATGTTCAAACAGATGATACTCAACACTCAACACCACCAAATAAGAACGCAAAAAGTGAAAAAACATAACATGAAGGAAATAATGAATTTTTATTTGCCTACCTTAAATCACACCCACTGTGCGTTCCGGAACAAGCTAAAAGACAAAAACCTTTGTGGATACTGATACGGTAAGGTAAGTCATCTTTTCACTGGCATGAGTGCCTTGCTCAAAATAGTGGAGGGTGAGAAATTGAAAATGGTTCACTGTGTACGCCGGTTCACTGTGGGACAGTTTACCCTACAGGGCTTCATTTCAAAAGCCTATCACCCAGCATTTCTTAAAAAAAAAACACCAAAAATGAATATTAATTTATTTTTATGATGTTGGAGATATTCAAAAGAGGTTGAGAGGTCAAGAAATATAATATATATATACTCCAATATTAGGTACTCAATAATACAGTCTATTTAAGAAGTCTTGATGAACTTTTTGAAACGTTTTCCCGCGTTTTCCCGTTAAAATATTGTATATAGCTACTTCAAAGTTGGGAGCCAACTCCCCAGAAGTCAAAACTTGTGCGGAGTTAGGAAGAGTGGGACCTACAGCTTATAGTGGTATTAGAGCCACTTCTAGGGCGCCCAGGTTCTGTCACGATTACAACCAAAAATCACACATATTGAAGAAAAATGCTCAGCCAAGCCGGATGAGAACCAACAACACCTTCACATAATGAACGGCTATCTTGCAAATTTGAGCACAAAGATGAGTCGGACACTGCGCCAGTTAATTTGTGTACTCTTTGAAATATTTCTTAGTTTAAGCCCATATCAATATTTTCTATGTGACTCCCCAAAAAATGATCAAGAGGTGTCAAATCTGTAGATTGTGTCAGTAGTAAGCATTGATTTCATGTGACCCTACAAAAAATGATCAACAGGTATCAAATGTGGAGATCTTGCCAGTCATTGTATGGTATTGTTAAAAATGACTATTCAACAATATTTAACTATTGAATGAATAATTCTGATGGAGATTTGAAGAAAAAGTTGATTGAAAAAAGAGTAGATCAATTCATTTTTCATAGAATTTTATGAAAAGTCTACCTTTTTTTTTTCATCTCTTCGAGCACAGGAAAGGAAATTCCTATAATGTTGGAAGAACTAGGGAAGATAGGGAGAGGATGTAGGTACTTGAGAGAATAATAATTGATTACTCAAATGTATTTGACGTATAAAAGTTATTAGATTTAAACTGCAAAAAATTAACAGATAGGGAAATGTATGTTTCTCTTGCTGAAAATTAAAATTGTCATATCTTAGGGCGCGGTTGGTGCGATTTCTCCTTTTGTTTGATCTGTTGGCATTCATTTTCCACATAGAAAATAGTTTCAAAGAGAGATCAAAAACTTTTTTTTTTATCTAAAACAATATAACACACTAAATTTTCTTAACTTGTAGTAACATTCTTGATAGAAAACTCCATTTCTCTATATGTTCCTTTGTTGAATGGAACATGAAAACATTTGTTCCTTAGATTTGGCAATTGGAAATTCTTGAAAAAATCCTAAGGTTAACCATTCCGTTCACTAGATCTGATAGATATTATGATAATATTGGTTTCAATGTCCAAATTTCAGATTTCAAATGTTTTTCACCAGTCATAATAAATGGACACAAAGGCATATATAGAGAAACGAAATTGCCCTTTAAACAATCTCTACAAGTTGAGAAAATTCATCAAAGGGAAGCGGCAAAAAAATTAACACAAAGGGGAAAACGGCTGCAAAACTACATATATTCGCTCCTTGGTTCGCTCCTACGTTTGCAATATTTTAATTTTCATCTCACAACGAATATTATGTGTACATAATTGAATATTTGGGCATATTTTTCGTATTTGGGTTGATACAAACAACTGGCTGCGACGTCATAACGAATTTCCTCGAAAATGGCGATTGACAACAAAAAAAAAGAGGACGGGGATTCGGAAAAGCAGTTCAGGACATCCTATATATGGGTACAAAGGCGAAAGCCTGTATATTATTTTAAAATTTCAGGATCTACTCTGTAGAACCAACATCAATAGAATCCATACTCTGTGAGGCAATCAAATTAGAATTTGAAGCGTTTTCCTCCATGGCTCAGTATCGTTCCTCCAACTCCAGAGAGCTAAATGACGCGGAACAGGCCAAGCTAAACGAACTAATTGTTGCCAACAAGGCCACAATGATACCTGTCGATAATGAGTTGACAGATCTCATAGGTGACGATAGTAAGTTTAAGGTAAAATAACCAACTAAATGATATTTGTGTGCCAGGTGACCCGCCCCTGACATGTTTTTTTTACAAAATATAAGAATGATTCCTCTGTATTTTTTGGCATTCTCCGTCCTTATTTTTATAAATGAAAATATGATTATCATTTCAATACACAATGTATTACAATTTAGTCCACCCCACCCATGTACTTTCACATTCCTAGGACGATTTAGCATTTTATTCCCATAATACTACTCAAAATTATCTACTTTGAAGAAGGCGAGGTAGGCTTTTTTTCAAATATTCTGATAATGGCAATCGATTCGGGCTAGGGACTAATACTCCCATATCAATTTTCAAAACAATATCTTATAAGGGGTTATTAAGGATTGTATTTTTATATTACTTCATTATTTCTTTTTAACCACACATATTATAATGCTTTGTCAATGAGATTACTCTTTTCGGGACTAATAAAGCACAGTTTGATTTGATTTGAATTCAGACCAAAAAATAGAGAAGAGTTGTGACAAAGAATAATAACAGTTTGCCAAGCAGTTTGTAGAGGGATACCATCAGAAGAACTGAGGAGAATTGAAAATAACATGAAACATGTGAAAGAGATTTTGAGAAACACCCCTTATGAGATATTGTTTTGAAATTTGATATAGGAGTATTTATTTGTAACTAGTCCTAATCGATTGCCATTATCAGAAAAGCCTAATCCGTTTTCTTCAATTTTGCTGAAACTTTTGTGATTGCAGTAGGCCAAGAAATTGTGTTTTTTTTTGCTCGACAAAGAAGATAATGTTGAGTAGTATATCATGGGAAAAAAATCTTAAATCGTATTCCTAGATACGAGAGTACAGTGGTGGGGTGGACCAAACTGTAACACACTGTTATGTGTCATGAGGACAAATTGAGGGATTTGCCCCAAATTGACAATTCCAATCACTAAGAAGTTTCAAAGAACAAAAATGAGGTGATCCATATCTAGAATTATTTTCATTGTATATCATACCCTAGAGTTCCTAAATGTACTTGACACTGTTGTTTTGACGTCTTTTGTAAATTAGAGTACGGACACTAAAAAAGCAGTGACAATCAAACATAACCACAAACGATTTTGAAGCAAATCATATGTTTTTCCAGACAAAGACAAGAATATGTTTTTTGCTTAGATAAAAGATCCTCCTCCACAAGTCCTGGGAAGAATACATCCATATATCATACATATACTATTCCCATGGAATAAGTCCCTTGTATGTAGGTATAAATATACGTTCAGTTGAATATTCTTTCATCACAAAAGTTCAGAATGGGGTAAAAACTGATAAATTTCAACCAATGAAACATACTTTTTTTTATGGAACAATATCACTTATACAAGAGTGGTAGGTAATAAGTAATTATTAAATGAATAAATGATATGGCAACAATAACAGCTGATCTCAGTTAGGATAAATAATAATGGTTCTCCAAGACATTCGGAAGTAGGTATAAATGGACTTCAGCATTCGACTCACTATAGATCGCCCTTCACATTGCTAAAGGGCATTGTTGGTTTGAACCCGGCCATCGGTAGATCATTTTCAATACCTAACATAAATGGTGCACTCTAATTAAGCGTTCTTGTTCTGTGCTCTGATAATATCTTGCTCGTATCTTGGTACCCAAGAAGTGGTTCAAAATCCACTAGGAGCTATGTAGTCGTCTAGAACTTCTTAACTACCCATGTACATGCACATTCAGACTTATTTCCCAAGTCTTGATTTTTTTATTCTATTTGTTTCCTGAATTCCTCACTCTCTTCCACTCGTAAACCTTGGATTTTTCAATATTCTTGCTCTGAAAATTCTATTCTCAAGCCTTTTTTTCAAAATATGTTCGAAATGAATTTCATTATCTGCAAGTTTTTCGTTTCTTGTTGGTTCTAAATTGGAATAAGGTTTTTTTCGATATTCGCTCAGTTTATAAATTGTGGGTTCGGCTCTTTCTCTCAATACGATCCTATTCTTCAACATCAAATCTTCCCTTCTGAAATGTACCTGATAAAAATGCGTTGAAAAATGTTTTATATCCTTTGAAGAAATTTGATTACCTACCTATTCTATGCCGGTCGCATCATATTCTGTTTCCATTTTTGTAGAATTACTTTAGTGAATTGATTTTCCGTGTTCTCACAGTTGTAAACTGCACAAACTTGCATCTTCCTCCTAATTCTCTCAATTTGTCAAACCTTCGATATATATATCATGTACGTCCGTGTACTGTCAGTTCCCGCTTTTTCCATCAATTTATTTGTGGTAATGTCTATTGTCAGTGCTTGTCATAGTGTCTGTACTCTAATATACAAACAACGACAAAACAGCATTGTCACGTACATTTAGAAACTCTACCATACCCCAGTTCAAACTATCGAAGAATTGCGACCGGGTCCTGTATTGACATTCTATCCTATTATTCATAGCAGCAGAGTGGTCTGACTCGCAGTATAATATAGTTACGTCATAATTGCAAATATAATATACAGAGGGTTATCGAAATGAATACATTAAAAATTTAAACCCTAAGATAAAGTTTGATAGTGGCTAGAAAGTGAGCATATTGAATAAGTTATGAATTGGATCCAATCACTTGAATAGTCGTGTTCAGAATCGCAATATATGTATATTGTATTTGCAATCACTGCGTAGCCTGAATGCATAGTAGGCTGTACTTTAGACTACTGCTGCTGTTCTGTATTATAGTACAAAATTATTCCCAAAATACATGTACTGAATTACACGCGTTTTCGGAATTCAAGTATTGTTTGAAGCTGGAAATATTTGCAACTTTAGTTATAGACCCATCAATCCTGATGGAATATTTTTTTTACATAACTTTGTATTTGAATGATATAAATTCATATAATTCACATGTTTATATTCCCTTGAAAACATATACATATGTGGTTTTATATCTGAAAATAGACATCCATTATATGTTTGGAAATGAAAGTTAATGCAATGTTCCTCAAAGCCTACCGCTACACAACAAAAAATGGCTGCCGATCCAGTGCTGGTTGACGTCATCAACTTGACGGCGATAGGCATACGCAGGACCATCAAATTGGCGAAGAGGATCAACGCCTTCAAAAACATGTGCCAGGAAGATCAAGTGGCCTTGTTGAAAGGGGGATGTACGGAGATCATGTTATTGAGGAGTGCCATGAATTATGATAAAAATAAGCAATCCTGGCATGTGAGTACATGAACAAAATCATATGTTACTCAGTAGGTACGTTTTTTATGAAGTTGGGCTACTTTTCTAGAGACCCCAAAGTGATCTCAGAAAGTCTGAGAGAGCCTGCTCTTAGGTAACTAATCCTTCAGGTTCGTAAGTATATAAGTTGGGAAAATCAAAGTTAGGTTAATTTATTGTCACTTGATAAAGCAAAACATGTGCTGTTTTTGAGAATGCTGTGCAACATTTTTCCTTTGTGAAGTTTTCACATATACTATGGATATCCATCAAGTAACGGCCGAGACAAATTGTGATATAAAAAATCGAGTCAAAAATGCGGTAGCATTTGAGGTGCCTGCACATAGGGTTATCGAAAATAAAAAATTTAATATCCTTTATTCAATAAAGAGTGAAATACCTTTCTGAACAACCCAACCTAACTATAAAGGCGAACAGTAGTTGATGAGATAATTGGAGTTTTTTCTGATGATTTTAAACCTCACTATAAACATCATCAATACTAAAATCACAGATAATAATTTCATATTCCACATAGTATAGGCTCTGAACGTAAACGCCGATGTATTGAAATCATATATTACTCAGTAGGTACGTTTTTTATCTACTTCTAAAGAGACCTCAAAGTGATTTCAGGAAGTCTGAAAGAGCCTGCTCACAGGTAACTAATCCTTTAGGTTCGTAAGAATATATTGGTTGATTGTTCACATTTTTTTTTTTAAAAGTGACGAGGTTAAATCTACAATGATTCTTGATGCGATGGTAGATTTAAAAAAATCATTTTGTTTTGAGGTCCCTGCACATTGAGTTATGGAAAATAGAGGAATACAATATCCTTTATGCAATGAAAAGAAAAGGGAAACTACCCTTCTAAACAACCCAACCCAACCATAAACGCAAACAGTGGTCGATGGTTGAATCTTATTGTTAGCAGATCTGATGATTTTGAACCTCACTATAAACATTCTCAATACTGAAATTACAGATATTCTTCTTGATAATTTCAGATTCCACATAGTATAGAAGCTCTGAATGTAAACGCCGATGTATTGAAGTTAGCCAAAGGCAATATTTATAATGAACATGCGAGATTCATAACAACATTCGATCCAAAATGGATATGTGATGAAAATTTGATCTTGATACTATGTGCCATAGTTTTGTTCACGCCAGATCGCCCTAGAGTGGTACATCAAGATGTCATCAAACTAGAGCAGGTAAGAATGCAAATATGCTTAGCTGAGGGAAACTTTGTATTACTCTTTTAGATTGCAAGGAACACATTCCTGAGATAACCACCGCATTAGTTAATGAATTACTACAATCTGTTCCAGAAATAAGGTTCTTTCATATTGATTTTTCCGTGTATAAATACTGTTTGATGCAACGATTCAATTTTCAATAATCACAGTCAAAAACTTTCTTTCTTGTTAACGTAACACACCGACCACTGACCTATAAACATTGAATGGAAGGAAAATGTTAGCTCTTAGTTTCACGGTAAATTGAACTTGAACACGAGTTAGATTGTGGAAAATATGTTGCTTCATTGGTGTTTGATTTGTCTAATGCATTCGACAGTATACATTTTGAATTTATTCTTGGAAAACTTTGCACCATTGGAATTAGAGGAGTCAAGTTGGATTGGATTCATTGCTATTTAACAAACAGAAAATTATTGGTCAAAATCGAAAATGACCTGTTAGAAAGTCACGAGGTACCCCTTGGTGTTCCCCAAGGATCAGTTTTGGGCCCTCTCATTTTAATTATTTTTGCAAATGATCTACCAAGAAATATCAGCTTAGGTCAAATCACTAGGATTGCGAATGATACTACCATAACTGTATCAGCAGCGACCCTAGAGGAGTAACACGAAAACATTAAAGTTATCTATAATGAGATGACGTCTTGGTGACAGCGAAACAGACTCATATTGAACAAAGAAAAAACAGAATGTATCAATTTTTACCTGCGCCGTGCGGTGCCTTTCAACTTCTTGTTACCTGAAGAATTGTCTTTCACCAAAAATGTGAATTGTTAGGAACTTTCATTGACTCACACATATTAGGAAAGGTCATGTAAACTTGTACTCTGCTTTTGTGTATAGCCACATTCCATACATCATCTCATGGGGTTCATCAAGTGATTGGGAACGAGTTTTCATTGCTCAGAAGCGTCTAACTAGACTGGTATTTCAATTAGGATTCAGAGATAGCTGTAGATCTACATTCAAAAAGAAGCGGATTTTAACATTTCCAGGTATATTTTGAAATGCCTTACTTTCATCAAGAGTGATTTCAATAACGTTTAATAAAATCACCATAGTTATCAAACTCGTCATAAGAACTTTGACATATCGAGACATAAAACTGCAATGTTCCGTAGATCTCCTAAATTCATTGCATCAATATTTATTTATTGCTCTTCCTAATGAACTGAAAACCATGCTACGAGAATGTCAAGAGAAAATGTGAAGAATTCTCAATATCTGGCACTTTCTATACAGTGAATGAGTTCTTGGACAGGAATAGCCTTTAGTCAATTTACAGATCATTCTATATTGCATATTTTATTTAACCCTCGTTTATTTGACCCACTGTTTTTTTAAATGTACTATTATTACTGTATTGTATTGTTCTAATATTTAATATAATAATAGTGCCTTCTGAAAACGGACCCTCTTATGACGTAGAAACCTCATCTCGCCATAGTTAAAAGAAAATACCAAAAGCCCGACGGAGACTGAGACAACTGATATATTAATTCTTTCAACTGTGATCTCGAGCTAATTCACTCTGTTAGAAATCATGTATCATTCATCTCTGTCTGGAATAGTCTTGTTTCAGTATTAGGGTTTTGACGTCACATCATCGCCTCGTTTTCAGAGGTCCGAAAAATCGGGGATTTCAATAATTTTTTATAAAACCTAGGAAGCTCACAGCAAGAAACGGTTTGCGGTGATGAGCTAGTTTGGGTGAGTTCTATCGAATTATGAAATAAAAATTGTTTGTGATACAAGCCCATTGTGGTAATTCATGGATCAATAAAGTTTCTATCTATTTCTATTTCTATTCACGTGATCGGCTTGAAAAAGTTGATTGACGAGTATGCGCAGTGCCTTCGATAATATACACCAACAAAATGAACCATCTTTATGAGAGCAATGAAGTCAAAATCTGATTCAGTAAGTGGCGGTATCTACGAGCGACAAGGTGAACTACTTTTTGTTCAGTAGCGAAGGATAGAGATAGGTAATGCAGAATATATTCGAAGTATATTTTTAGATATTTTTATGCAAGTAGGAATATCGCATCAGGGCCGTATTAAAATATTTGTATTTGCAAGCCTTCAGAATATCGAAGTTAGTGATTTTTCTGCTTCGGAAAGAAGGATATTCGTAGATAGTCCAGCAACTTGTAAATTAGGTACTAGTGCAACCATATATTGCTGCCGCTAGTGCCGCTTACGAACCAGCCAAGAACGAAGGCCAAATTTGACTTCAATATTTCACATTGGAGGTGGATCATCTTGTTAGTGTAAGTAATAAAGGGCAGTGCGTAATGGTACTGGATTATCCTTTCATAATTTGAAACATACCATATATCACCGATGTTACTGCAATATCCCGTATGACAAAAAACAAACACAGCGGACATACATACATGCATACATACAAACTGCTCGAGATCGATAAAATAGCAAAACACTAGCAAAATTATTAATTATGTACAATACACCAAACACAAACAACGTAAAAATGGCTGACGGACGATCGATAATGAGATTAAATAGAAGCATGATCTGATAAAATCTACAACTAGTATTATAGCCATTCTAACAAGACTGCAATTAGAGATGAAAATTGCAGTGCTGACGTTGATACAAACCTGCGCAGATGCCTTAACCAATTTCACTTGTTGGTCCTAAAACTTATCAGCGCGTTCTCATATATTACCTTTCCATTTGTTGTTTATAGGTCAGTGAAACTGACTATCACCATATCTTTCATATTTCTCCACAACCAATAAAAACAACCACATAGCAGGAATTCCCTTCCAACATAGAGGTGTATACACAATACATACGTTGTATAATTATACATATAGCTGGATTGGATTGGTTGGTCACGGTGTATGTTGATTTCAATAAGTATTCAAAAAATGTACCAGGTAATTCAATAAGGGTGGCGAGGTACTGTATCTCAGAAACTAATAGTCTATAAAACACGCCCCTTAGCGAGGACGGTTATAACCCCAGAACGACATGTATGATTTTTTATTTCATTCGTCAAACATTTCTTTCTTTATACAGTCCTTGTTGACAATATTCTTAGCTTCTCAGATACAGATTCTCGTCATCCTTATTGAATCACCTGGTACGAAGCTATGAGGAGAAAACGGTTTGTGACATTGAACTAGTACTTTGAAATAATGTAATGAAATTGTTTACTGAAAAAGGAACAATGTGAATTTTACATTAAACAAATCAATCTGTTCGAATTCCCTCTTCGAGTTTCAGAAGTGTTTGAGGACGGGTAGAGTATACCATATAGATTTTTGGGATCCTCACAAATAAATAAACTGTCCTGTAAGGTTCGGTGGTATTCTCAAGTCTTGAAGTTAGCACAAAAGCCTGGGTCAGAATGAACTATTTTACAGGGGTGGCGGAAATTTGATCGAAAGAGAAATGATAGAAGTCTATTGATCGAAAGTGTTTTTGATAGAAATGCATTCGATCGAATGTTTCATGATAGAAAATACATTTGATAGAAACATAAATCATAGAAAATACAATTGATAGGAAAAATATTTGATAGAAAATACACTTGATAGAAACAGCATTTGATAGAAAGTTCAACGCTCAAGTTAGGTCAGTACGTTTGTGAAGATATGATCCTTCTTCATATATTTGAGAAAAAGAAGCTAGATGAAAATCGAAGCTCATATGAATTTATTGATACCACAAACTTCTAGCTCCTTCTTCTCAAATATATGAGGAAGTATCATATCTTCACAAACAAACTGACCTGACTTGAGCGTAGCCCCGTTGAATCTTCTATCAAATGCTGTTTCTATCAAGTGTATTTTCTATCAATTGTATTTTCTATCATTTATGTTTCTATCAAATGTATTTTCTATCATAAAACATTCGATCAAATGTATTTTCGGTGAAAATTTCTTTCTATTTTTTGATTTTCGATCAAAAGACTTCTATCAAATGTTTTTCTATCATTTGTCTTTCGATCAAAATTCCACCCATTTTACAGCAAATAACTGTTAATATTCTGTTGATTTTGATAACATAACAAAAAATCCTCAGCTATTCTGGTAATTGAAAATAATAAAGACGTATTATTATTTGTCTCTCTTTCTCATGTCATTCTTCCACTTATTATAATTATGAAATCAAATTTCGAAAGAACAAAACTAGATTTTAATATGAAACAATCCCTAAAATTATTAGTGAAAATAAATAATTTCTAATCTGCAGGTAACATTTTTTCTACCTATTTCAGAATTCGTACTATTATCTGTTGAGCAGATACCTTGAGAGTATATATCCTGTTTCTATCAAGTGTATTTTCTATCAATTGTATTTTCTATCATTTATGTTTCTATCAAATGTATTTTCTATCATAAAACATTCGATCAAATGTATTTTCGGTGAAAATTTCTTTCTATTTTTTGATTTTCGATCAAAAGACTTCTATCAAATGTTTTTCTATCATTTGTCTTTCGATCAAAATTCCACCCATTTTACAGCAAATAACTGTTAATATTCTGTTGATTTTGATAACATAACAAAAAATCCTCAGCTATTCTGGTAATTGAAAATAATAAAGACGTATTATTATTTGTCTCTCTTTCTCATGTCATTCTTCCACTTATTATAATTATGAAATCAAATTTCGAAAGAACAAAACTAGATTTTAATATGAAACAATCCCTAAAATTATTAGTGAAAATAAATAATTTCTAATCTGCAGGTAACATTTTTTCTACCTATTTCAGAATTCGTACTATTATCTGTTGAGAAGATACCTTGAGAGCATATATCCTGGTTGTGAGGCGAAATCGACTTTCTTGAAGTTGATACAAAAAATGGCGGAACTACATAAAGTCAACGATGAGCTAATAAGTGTATACCTTGATGTGAACCCTTCCCAAATAGAACCATTGCTCATAGAAATGTTCGACCTGAAGCACTGATTTTTAAAAATGGAACGCCGAATTTCTTATGAAAAACGATGGTTTGAAACCCAGGCACTAATCCTTTGTAATTAAATGGAATTTGCTCAGAAAGCACAAGACATAATTACTTAGGGTAAGGTACAAATTAGAAGTTTAAGACAAGCTAACTGAATAGATTTTGCTCAGCTGCATGGATCACCACATATAATGTGAAAAAAAAATGCAATTTTCTTGAGAATATTTCAACGATTTATTGCACTCTTTAGTGTATCTAGAATAGATGATATCGGGAAGTAAACCAACGGCTGGCAGCTCAAGCACGAAACAGTATTCGTTCGTTTTGAACACGGATATTCCAAATTCATGTAATTGGGTGGTTGAATGAGAAAAGCAATGAATAATCGAAGAGTACCGAAACTTTCCTGAACTGAAAGACAACGGTTTTTTCATAAATCGGTTCTTAACAATAATGAGAAGATATATTGGTGTGGACTCAAATTTGAATTCAAAGCTAATAATCAACTTAACAGATGGAGCAAATATCGAGAAATACCTAAAAACTATTGTATATTGGCAAATCATTAAATTATTCTGTGTGTCTTTCTTCCAGTGTGACCACCCCTCATGTTTTGGAGTAGAATGATCGATCCATTTTCTATAATAGGTCAATCTCTCAGTTTTTAACAAATTAATTTATCTCAATTTGGTAGAGAAACATATTTTCTTACAAGGAACTTATCAACATTATTATAAAATGAATTCGACATACTCTGAATTTAAATCTAAACATCATTTCACCATAAACGTAATTTCATGCTCATTTCCCCAAGCAAGAGGGAATTTGTTTAGTTACTATGGTATTGATACAAAATACAGGCTTTTGATGGGTCGAAAATGTTAGGTGTGAAATTTTCATGAAAATTGACTCTGACACCGACATCAATTCTCATCCTCCTAGTTTGGAAACAATTTTGGTCACAAGAGACCAATTAAAATCAATTCACGAAACATCTGGTAGGTCTGCTCTTTGGGCAGTATATTTGTTAAACCGTTCATTCTACTGCAAAATACGAGAATGGTCACACTGTATATAGTTCGAATTCTCAATTTAAGTTGAACACATTTCATCCAAAATAATTAGTACATTTTTTCATAATTTTCTCATACCAATTACCAGATATTTGGATTTTCATGATGATGAAAATATCCACAAAACCATAAGTTTTTTCAATTTCTTCTATTTTGGGACATTTGGTGCAATTGTAGAATGTTAGAATCCTAGAATGTAGGAATCCATAAACTCTATTCGAGGTTAACGACACCTTAGGTGAATATGGATCAGTGAGAAAAAAAAGGTTTCTTCTAGTTATTTAATCAATCAATCAAAACTTTCAAGCAATATATTTTTATATTGTCGTACTCTATTGAGTTAGTATGCATATATAATTGGTCAATCACAAAATGTTCTTGATTGAATGCAATAATACAATTAAGAATATGTGATAAGATCTGTTTTCCTGTTGGTGTGTAAGAGAACAATGAGTTTATAAATTGCGCTCGATTTTCCGTAGCAACTGTGATGTTTTTTTTCTACCTTATTTCTCTTGGTTCCCACGATGTTCTCTGAACATTACAGAATATCCCTTCTCGTGAGAACCAGAACCATAAAATGAACGAAAGGGAATTTCAATCATATTCATGGAACCTCGAACGTATCTAGGGATGATAGTAGTTTTAGAATAAGCAGCCTCTTGTAGAGTACCAACATAGATTTGACGTTTTTTATGGTTTTGTAATATACCGGTTGTCCCAGTATACCAATTCCAACGAAGAACCTTCCTTCAATTTGAGGTAAATATAACTAAAATAACTTTCCGTAGACACTTCTGGTTTGACCCCTATATTTTTCTCACTTCTTGATTTCCACCCTGTTGGAACAGGGGTATTGGTACACCCAGTATAGAATACTAGGCTCCGTACTCTAGCCTCTACAAGTCTACATGCATATTTTTTGTTTTGGCTTCCATGAGTTGCCCACGCAAAATCGTTAATCGAATATTTTTATAGATAATCCTTCATAAGGTTTTCGATTGTATTTGTTACCCTGCTATATTTTCTTTGTTTGTGACAAAACAAAATTATTAGAATCCAATTGTACTCATTTTATGTTCATATATAATCTGGATGTATCATTTCTGTAGGATGACAATTTTTGGATGCGCCACTTGGTTTTTTTGGAGACTACACTTTTTAGACTACCAATGGTAGGATTCTGAAGGTTCTTCCCTATCCTCTCTGTTTGTATCCTTGAGGAAAATATCGTTGAAAACTAAATCAGTACGCCGGTAAACGCAGTGGGCTTATGAAATCCAACATTGGATGTTGGGCAAAAATGAAGGAATTTTGTTCCGTACCTACTTAACATTACGCATCGTCTTTTATTTTCAATTAAAAAATCATTGAAGGCTGTCTTCATCATTTACCAACCTGAATAAATACGGCGTTTGTATTTATTTGAAAGAATCACTTATGGGAATCCTGATTGGCGATGAATAAAAATTTCCGCATGTTTCATCAAAAACTAATCAAAGTGCTTCGTTTATTTGCTATTTCATCAGGTTGCTTGAAAAAAAAAAAATGCAATCGATGACGTCACAGTGTCGCCATATTGATTTTCCTGCGCCACCATTTTGAAATCAAAGATCCACTTGTGTTATATCATTGAAAAGGGATTATTTCGCTCTATCGAATGGCGTGAAAATATATGCAGGGTTCCGTTCAAAATTCTTGACCTGAGTCAATTTCCGTTGAAACCGTGAACAGTTTTAACAGATAATTCTATGCGCAGCTGAAAACGATCGGTCTGCTTCTGGCACTTTGATGGGATACAAAACAAAAAACGCGTGTGCTAGCCTATTATTATCTTCATTATAAATAAAATAGTTACATGGTATTACTACGATATTTACTGAAGTATCTTCAATAATCCAGCAGAATAATGATGTCTCTGTTTATCACTTAGAAGTTGGAATGAACAGTTACGACTTGTCAAATGATGTGTCAAATTACTCATATTTCTCAATGTATTCGTTGATGTCAAGAAGAGGAGATGAGCTTTTAGCGTCTACTCCAAAGGAGAGAACTGAAATTTCAGCTGGGATATTAGAAATAATGTATATGTATACAATAACTATCGAGGTGGTAAAAAAATATCTTGACTGTTGACATGCATTCCTATATAAATGATGGTCTCATTAACTAAAGCTTTATTCAATATAGGATTCGAGGTGAAAGTAAGAATAGCCTATATTTAATTCTATTCAGATATATTTTAGTTTCCATATACAACCAAATTTTTTATTTTTACTCTTCATAATAATTGGCAATTAGATTTACACCAAATTAACTCACCGGCAATATAATCGGTCCAATCGACGAAGTTTGCTAATAAATAATTCCGTTAATTCAAGTACAATTTGATAATTAGTTTCATTATAGCATAGGTGAATTTATAAGGAATCAGACAGAAGTTTCAAAATTCATGATAATCAGTTTTTTATACATAAAAAGCGCCTTCTTACATCAACTTTGAAACAATCTGTAGAGAGTTATACACCTACTGGCTGTCGTGGCTCCTTTATTCAATGTGACCAAGTCCATCTGAGCTTGATAACTATGCCACACCATTAATCACTCTAGACGAACTTTATTTCTACCATATGCAGAAATGTTACGTTTTTTCACAACCCTTGTAGCTTTCTCAAAGTTATAGTTATTGTAACAAAGAAGAAAATGTAAGGAATAGATGTAGTTTGATAACAAAATAGAAATCACAAGGTTGACCACTGAGATTATTTTGAAACTAGAATAAAAGGGCGCGTCAGTGTCACTTTGCATGATATGGAGATGTGCTTAATCTTCAAATATCAAACTGATGTCAGATACTTATGATATAAAGAAAAGAATGATCAAATCGGACTTCATCGATGTTTTGGGTGGATCGATCATTTTGCTGGTTAGTCTTTTTTCAATAATGAGTACCTAGTCTTGAAAATACACCAAGTGTCAAAACAAAACATCATCGATTTTTTTATACTTGCATATGTATTGTTCAGTATTTCTGATTTGATTGACATTGATGCGTAAGTGATGTTTCAACAACTGAAATACATAATTCAAGCTCCAACGTTCTATTTTGTCTCATCCAGTTCATAATAGAAAGAAAGATTTTGACTTAGTGTATTTCCAGGACTTTACGTCCTTATGACAATTTTCATCATTCCTAACATTTTGTCTTATCAGATTGAGAAGCTACCACTGTGTTTCACTATTGGTTATATTTATTTTCCTTATACGGAGCTTGCAGTGTCACCAATAAAGTGTGCATTGAATTGGTTGAAATTGTATTTTGCTAAAAGATTTTGATTCAAAAATCATTTCGTTTGTGATATCAGAAAATCCTAGAGTTTTTTCATCATTATTTTCGGACACAGTATAATTTTTTTTTTCAAAATGGGTTGAGAGATGTCTATCAAATAATTGCACAATGACATTGAAAAATTCTCCTAATGTTTACATAATTCACATTTCGATGTATTTCTCATTTGATGCACATTAAATTGATGACACTATATTGTTTGACTAAAATGTTGTTTTTTGTAGCCAATTATTACTATTGAAATTTTATTTAACTGAATAAAATATATTTTTACATCAAATGCGGAAAGAGAATTTATTTCATTACCGACCATGACCGGATTAGAATATCTACTAAAAATAACCTAATTTCAATATACTATTTAATATTGTCAAGGAATAACATTATCATCGGTTTAAAAATCTTCAAAATGTATCTAGTGTATAAAAATCACTCATTTTCAATACAGGGTATGCAATGCATCATCATTAAAAAAATACCACTGTTGGATCATTATTTCTTTGGCATTGTTATTTCTTCCAAAATATCTACCAAATATTCAATTGGATTTATATTGGCCAGTAGTTGAGAGTGTACATTTTCTTACACAATATCAAATTAGATCTGGTTTTTTATGCCGTTCAATGTGCTTAGCAGTTCAGAAGTGCCTGGGATGAATGTTCCCACTTTTTATTTTGGTTTTCAGTCAAGTAGCCTCGTTTTAAAGCGATAATTCATGCCTAATGTTATAATCTTCATGTTTCTTAGGAACGTGGTATAACAAGAAGCTTGTTTTTTTTTGCACTCACTGAAATATAAAGAACTGAACAAAATGGGGGCATTTTTGATCAAAATCATATTTAAAACGCATTCTCCACCACTTATCACAATGAATTCAGTGGCACATCTAATGTTTACCCCTTGAATATTTTTAACGTCAACATTCTGTATCTCGAAAACCAAGCTTCACAATTTACGAGTTTATGTGAAAATTTGACAGACATTGTATAATAACATCTTCTATATACAGTGTGACACACACAAGACATCTCAAGATAAAGACACCCCTGTATTTCAGTCATTTTTGAAAGCAAAGATTTGAATTTTGGTACAGACGTAGACATTTATGGGACGCGCTTTTGTGCAATATTGCGGTCCCCCAAAAAGGGCAAATTCTTGATATTTTGCTTCGCATTAGAGATACCGAAAAGTTACTTGAAAAAGTAGCCTAAAAATCGATTTTAACCCTACATATCAAATTTCATTGCAAAATTCGAATTTTGAAAGACTAGTAAAGGAATTTGATTAACTTAACATTTGATAAAAAATTAATTCTCAGTTTTAGTTATTTCAATTGTTTATTCAATTGATTCTGGCCATTCCATCATTTTTGTAGCTTTTTATTCAGTACCATTAATCGAAAATCAGACGTGATAATGAGAATTACAAAAAATTCAAAATTCGAATTTTGCCTTGAAATTCGGTATGTTGGGTCAAATTCTTGAGTGTGTCACACTATATATTTTGTCTCAAGTTTTCCCTTAACGATATGATTTTATCTATATTGAGAGGGTTATTTTCAACTAACGGTATTTGAAACTGAACGAGAATCACTGACACTTCTGTCATTATGGACTTGTAAATTGTGTAATTGCATTTGTAAGTTTTGATTGAACACGTTTGGAATATGAGGGAGTGTATGATAACATTGGAAACCATAAAAGAAATAATTTGTTTCATAATAATGATGATTACTTGGATTGCAAAGATCTTATATTGACGGCAAGAAGGCATGCTGAAGCCAATTTATTTTACCTCCCACAGGAGGTTATATTGTTTTCCTCCCGTGAAAGTTAATTGACAAATTTGTTTCGTCAAATGAAGTAGTAAACACCTAATTTGGTAGACAATAGTTATTCATCTTACTATTATAGGCAGCAAAATAGTAGATTGGTGCAGCTGATAGTTCATAGCCAAGAGTAGCGAGAAATTACACCTTTGCTGCCTATTAAGTGACATAGAAAAGCCACTTTCTATGCCGTTTGGAGAAAAAGAATAAGAATATTCTATCACTCACATCCGACCAGTTCCTGTCTTCTTTCTAGCGCCAGAATTGTCTTTCCTCCCTAGAATTGGACTGGCGCTACTGCTCATATTCCGAATGAGATTCCTGAAGCTTCTGGCCTGACTCTCACCCAAGCTATTCTCCTGGGCAATGACGTAAAAGTCGTCCAGCAGATGTTGGGGCGGTTCCACTTGACATGGGGTGACGTTGGCCTGGGGACCGCCATCGAGTAATAAGGCGATGCGTTTTTTCAGGGACTCGTTCCTTTCTTCTAGCTTGCTGATTTTATTGGCGTCTTCTTCGTGATGCATTATAGTAGGAGTGGGCATGTACTGGAATAATAATGATTCGAAAAAGGTACTAGCGTAGCGAGATAGTCTTCAAAACGTCGTGTGACAGTCGTGGGATGGTCGTGTGCTACAAGACTCGCCATTTTGCAGTGTTATATGCAAGAAATTTGCAGGGGCAGAAATGAAAGGATGGAAAGTGCCGACTTAAGGAGAAATTATCAGGATTTTTATTAAGGTTAGGTTCGTCAATAATCATTTGGTAAATAACAGGGTGTCCCCCAAACTATAACTCTTTTCCTCTAGGGAATGTATAGATGGGGTCAAAATATCGCCAGTACTTCATATAACTATTTTCCTAAAATCTTTCGTTACCAAGTTAGGGGCCCTCAAAATTAAAAAATTAAAAATGATAACTTTCAAACTGAATATTCGAAATCATCTAGATTTTGGTGATTGACTAAAGAAAAGAGTTCATGAGCTTCCATCAGGCAGGAGTCAGATGTTCTGCTACAAAGTCAGGAACGGACTACTCCCGATGGTCCACAACCCAAAACTTTGAAATGACAGATATTTTTCAATATTTCTTGACACAATGATTTTTGATGAAAATGCACTTTTGTTCAACATCAAACATAAAATAAAGTCGTAAACAAATAGTACAGTACCTAGGCCCGTAACTTGCAAGAGGACCCTCCTAATAGATGGTGTGACTATTATGATATAAGCTTATAATATCCCGGTCAGAAATAGAAGTAATTACTCACCTGTATTATCATGGCAAGGAAATTATGTAATGATACCAATAATGTATCTTGCCACTGTTTGGTGAAGTGGAGTGAGAATATGGGGTTTTCTTCTGGATTCTTTATATAAGGTAACACTGGAACATCAAATCATGCATTGAAACTGTCCTACAGTTCTAGAGTTCGATAACAAGAAGCTTTCCAGTGGATGTCATTTGGCTAGGCGTACAATCGTCTTCAGAGAACATGTCGCACATGGACGGTGTCAGCTCTCTTAATCACCGCTGCAGTAAGAGCGCTAATACTATCCAACCACGACATGTTTACTGAAGACGAATGTACAGGGATATACAAGATATCCATTGGTGGCCTGTAAACTCCAGCCACTGTCCAATAGATTTCCATTGTACAGGTTGTCCCATTTTCGATGTCTTTATGGGATATCTCCCTTATGTTCAACGCGAACGTTGGCTACTTTTTTGTGAAACTCACGATATCGCAAACAAAATTGTCATAGCACGCTTCCTTTTTGAGATACAGGGCGAAATTAAAAATGTTTCATTTTGAGACCCCTCTGTACCATCTTCCAAATTATCGAAAAAGTGAAAACTGTCGCTCATACACTTTTTCACGTAGAATCCAGTGGCGTAGTCAAATTTTCAGAATACGCTGTTATTATTCAGATAGATATTCAAAGTTAGGTTTTTTCAAAAGGAATATACTCTCTATATTTTTTCATAGTCATGAGAAATTTCAGGTATTAGCCATGAATTTAGATAATTTCTAGTTGTTCAGTAGATATTTCATTGATGTGCTTTGTATTGTTAATTTTTTTCTTGTTGCTGATACAGTGTTTCGTCACACATTAGTTTTAATTTTAGCTACTTCCAACTCAGCACTATTTATTATTGACTATAAAAGTTATAGACCTAATTAGTAGGTGGCTATGAAAAAAAGCGAGTGCAGAATGTTTTATAATCTTTGTCACCTACCAACCTACCTGTCGAATTTTCCATATTTTCATGCAATGGCATTATGATGAACCAGAATATCAAAACTACGAAAATTTTGAAATCAACTTACATCCCAACCATATCGAATTTATTGTAATTTTCATATCTTATGGAAAATTTGAAAATTCGACAGGTAGGTGACAAGGATTAAAAAACCTTCTATTCACTTGCTTTTTTATAGCCACCTACAAGGTCCACACAGTCCACAGCTTTGATAGTCAATAAATAGTTCTGAATTTTTATAAATGTTGAATATTGTTGAGATTTAAACTATTGTGTGACGAAAAATTGTGCCATCAATGAGATAAATATGCAAATTTGTGATATGGACAATGTTGCCACAATCTTGCCAATTGATGGAAAATCCACTGAGGAACTAGAAACTATCTAATTTCATGGTTGAAACTCAAAATATCACATGAGTGTTTTACATTTTTAGAAAGAGCAAAGCATCATTGTTCCAAATATGAAAAAATATAAAGGGTGTTCCATTAGAAAAAACATAACTTTGGGTTATATCTGCATAATTATAGCTTATTATGAAAATCTACGTTGAAAAATGTGTGAAAGGCAGTTTTTACTTTCTCGATAAGGTGAAAGATTACTGAGATACAGGAGGGAGGGGTCCCAACTAGGGTCCCAAAATGCAACATTTTCAATTTCGCCCTGTATCTCAAAAAAGTAGCCAACGTTCGCGAAAACCGCAAATCTCTACCTTGAAAATGAGTGAGATATCTCGTAAGGACATCTAAAATGGGACAGCCTGTACATCCACAGGTCACAAGTAGAGATATTATCCATTGGATGCCTATCATGTAATTCATTTGATAGGTTTTTAGGTTTATGCAATGGATTTATGTTCATGGGCATTCAGAGCGTTTTTGGAAGTTATCTGGACATCCATTGGAATAATAACATTGGTAAATAAATGCAAAAAGCTCAAGGTCATTTCCACACAGTGTTCATAAAATGAACAACAATGGTAGATTTCGGGAGAAAAACAACTACTTCCCTGGCTAATGCCACGCAGGATATTGAATTACATCCTCCCGAAATCTATGCATCGACTCGTATAAACGAATACTGATACAAGTGATTATTTCCTGAATGCCTATTGATTTCGATTAAGCCAGGCCGCTAGACAACCACAGACCGGTTTCGAGCTCTTTGACTCTCATCAGTGCAGTGTAGTCTCCAGCCAGCAGTCCTAAGACCGCCGACTCAGCGAAGCCTAGCCAAACAAAAATCAAGTTGGCATTATATCCACCCCGAGGCGTATTTCATCGAAAAAATGAAAGTAACGCCATCTGAGTAGAACCGAGGAAAGAATCACTCCAAAACTGAAATTCCCATACGGGAGTGGCTGGTTGCCCGACTGGCGTAGTTTCAACTAGGAAATAGCCACAATACTCAAAGTGGAATGAAATGTTAAATAAATGCAAAAAGCTCAAAGTCATTTCCACACAGTGTTCATAAAATGAACAACAATGGTAGATTTCGGGAGAAAAACAACTACTTCCCTGGCTAATGCCACGCTTCGCTGAGTCGGCGGTCTTAGGACTGCTGGCTGGAGACTACACTGCACTGATGAGAGTCAAAGAGCTCGAAACCGGTCTGTGGTTGTCTAGCGGCCTGCTTAATCGAAATCAATAGGCATTCAGGAAATAATCACTTGTATCAGTATTCGTTTATACGAGTCGATGCATAGATTTCGGGAGGATGTAATTCAATATCCTGCGTGGCATTAGCCAGGGAAGTAGTTGTTTTTCTCCCGAAATCTACCATTGTTGTTCATTTTATGAACACTGTGTGGAAATGACTTTGAGCTTTTTGCATTTATTTACCAATGTTATTATTCCAATGGATGTCCAGATAACTTCCAAAAACGCTCTGAATGCCCATGAACATAAATCCATTGCATAAACCTAAAAACCTATCAAATGAATTACATGATAGGCATCCAATGGATAATCATTCCACTTTGAGTATTGTGGCTATTTCCTAGTTGAATAACATTGGTGTTCCATTGGATAGAGATTCAAGTTCATTCAATGGATGTACAATTATTGATGCCCCTGGATATCTTACCCTTTTTGGACTTGAACTGGATGGACAACCATTATTTGTATTATTAGGGCGCGGCAAACTGAACGATGTGCTATTCATTATGATGTAGGTACCGCAATCATCTATACATATACTGGGTTTTCAAACTTAATTTAAACTAAATGCTAGTAAATGGCACTGATTATGATGATGGAATCGAAAGAAAAATCAACATCCCGTTCATGAGATATGTCAAAAGGTTAATTTTTTCGAAATAGGACACCCAGTATACAATATTCATTGATAAAAAATTCGATTCTGAACAAAAATTGTCCCATGATCTTTTTTCCAAATTCAAAAATAATTTTATAAGCTGATGATTTTTCAAATTTGTCAATGTTGTGTTTTAGTTGAGGATGGTCCAGGTAATTCTTGTCCTAACTTTGCCTTTACCATGAGGTGAAGAGGAATCGTCAATAGCAATAGAGCAATTCAGTTGGCGTTGAGAGAGAAAAAAATGTCTTCCCTAGAGTTACTATAAATAACCTAACCTGTTGTTGTCTTCAGTTTTCCAACATAAAATAATGAAAATTTTATGTTGGCAACTTTGGAAATGGGAAGAAATGGAGAAGAAGACCATTCTAACCTTTTTTATATGGAGCTATGATCCAAGGCTATTTAACTCATATACGTATTAATAAACAATACGGATCATAACGGGTGCCAGGCATATACGTATTAATAAACAATACGGATCATAACGGGTGCCAGGATGAAGCCAAAAATATGAAACAAATGAATATCCATAGGGATTTGGTGGCATGATACGCATGCGCCATGCGCTATTATAGTAGTCATCAACGACATGCGTTTCGGTGGACAATGACGTTTACTAGCCTTTCAATCAAAGCAGTATGTGTCTGATCGTTTCAAAACTTTTCCTTATGGATAGTCATTTGTCTTCAAAAATCGGCTTCATGTTTCGCTATGGAAACAGATAGAGATTATCCGTATTGGTTATTAATACGTATATGGTGCCAGGATGAAGCAAAAAATATGAAACAAATGAATATCCATAAGGATTTGGTGGCATGATACGCATGCGCCATGCGCTATTACAGTAGTCATCAAAGACATGCGTTTCGGTGGACAATGACGTTTACTAGCCTTTCAATCAAAGCAGTATGTGTCTGATCGTATCTCACTTTTCCTTATGGATAGTCATTTGTCTTAAAAAATCGGCTTCATGTTTCGCTATGGAAACAGATAGAGATTATCCGTATTGATTATCATACGTATATGATGTGCATATGCATGTGAAGTGAGAGTTTGTGTGGTGAAGAGGTTATTTGTGAAATTCTGATATTCATTTCGGATATTAGTCAAGTAGTTTCATCAATATTATATAAAAATGGGGTTATATTTATAGCTGACATTTTCACATAATAGGGATGTAAATTTTACATAACATCTAGAGAATGGTATGTAATATTTATGTCAGTTTGTTATATTCGTAACATTATATTTATATATAGCAATGAAATTAGGTATATAAAATATATATAAAATATTGACATAATTGTTACATAAAAATTATGTAGTATTTGTGGCGGACTTTCCGCCATAACAGTAATGTAAGTTTTAGATAACATAGTTACATAACACTTTTAGAATTATATTTATTTTGAATTTTTCATTTCCAATTATAACCTTCAAATACCTACCTGACCAGTAGCAATTTTCAGGCAACGACCATACCACGTTGAAATATACCCACACTCGTCTGATCGTGGAAGTCAAGCAACGTCGGGCGCGGTTAGTACTTGGATGGGTGACCGCTTGGGAACACCGCGTGCCGTTGCCTTTTTTTGTTTATCATGTGAAATGCTGACTAGATTCTTTTTTCATTTAGCCGACATTGCAATGCAAGTCCCTATAAAAAAATGTGTTTACAAAATCGTGACCTGCCTGCTTCACAGGGACATTCACATTGCCACAGCTCATCATTTTCCTTTGGAATTAACTGAATCTCATGTATGGAGGCTGGCCAAGAGCAGATGATTGTAAACACAGGCATTTTATAACATTTGTTTGTTCTATATTCACTCTTGACTCCACACATAATAATATTATGATGTGACCAGCCTTGAATAATACTACACCATAATATTATACAACCTCTCACACTCTTTTGCAGATATCTTCAGTCTTCTTGTCACCATGTTTTCAACTAAAGTCTAAAATTCGCGATTCTTTGGAATTCAAATTCAAATTTTTTTTCAATCCATTTGACAGTGACACAAAACGAAATCTACAATCACGTGGCGGGGAAACAGTGACGTCACGCCCCTCCGCGCACCCCCGCACCATAATGCTATACTATGAGGTAACCTTTGGTTATGATCTCCATTTTTTCCCTTTCCAATGTTACCAATATAAAATCTCCATTCGTTTACGTTGAAACACTGAAGACAAGGATATATAGTTCACAAAATTACAACCGGCCGCATTGGCGCTGTTATCTTAAATTCAGTACAGAGACTTGCAGTCTCTGTAAAATTCAGTGACTTGAGACAAATTCAGCACAAAAACCTCGCCGGCGGTATGCGGTCCCTTTACTCCCTTTTGAACTTTCAAAGGGGCCGCGAGCCGCAGGCTGAAGCTAATCTCTTTTGATGGAGCTGACTTAACATGCATTTTGATCACAAAGCACAGAATCTTGATATTTCTAATAATTCAAACTCACCAAACCATTCTCTCCATTCCCCTTGGTTTTGTAACTCAGGAGTCATTCTTATAAAGAAATCCGTCATTTTGTCTGGTTTATTATTGACCACGGTATTGATGAGGTACATTTTCAACACTGCATTTTCTAACTTCCTCACACCTGAGGAAACATTGTTATATAATAATGACTTGGGTTAATAGTCCAGAATGAGTAGAATAGTAAAATTTCGAGCTCTTGATAGAAACTAACAGATGTCAAGACCACTGTACAGGGTGTTCCAGCTTTTAGTAGCCAGGATGTGTGACTTATACAGGGTTTTTTAAGTAGGACACACATTAGGATTTTAAAACTCGCAGTTGGATTAAAATCTTGAATTTTGGTATGTTTTTATAATAATTTATAATGACAAGAGTTTGTATGGGTCAAAAAAAAAACTTTAGTGGACACTTAATCAGAATGGCCCATCGAAAAGATTGCTTATGTTATATTTACAGTCCATTAATTGATGATTTTTTTTTCATTACAATTCTGTTTTTTTTATGAAACAATCCTGAATTTTCTTCTTGTAGATAGAAAATCTGAAGTAGGAAACGAATTCCTAAATATTTTGACTTATTGGTGTTATTTGAAAAACCATAATTAGTATGACTTCCAGGATTAAACCAGAAATAACATGCTTTATGTGAATATTTATAAAATATCACATTTCATATATACAAGGTGTTTTTGAAATGAGTACATATATTCAGCTCATCTATATGATATACAGTCTAAGGAATATTCACATATCAGATTTTTTTCTAATTCTTCTGATTAATGAGAAATCTCATCCCAAAAATTGAATGAAAACTAGGAGAAGAATCAAGTACACCACTTTGAAACAATTTGAATGATTGAACTCCCCCTGATTGTGCCTTCAGCTGCCTTTCATGGAAATTTGAACAGAGGTGGCATCAGAATTGCTACAATGTAGAACTTTGGGTGTGAAAACCTAACCCCAAATTTTATTTTGCTCTGGATATTTTTTTATTGGGCCATTAGATAGTATATGTAGAGCTTTCTCAAGGTTTGAAATATATGCACTTATTTCAATGCTATCATGTATATAGGATCATTATGATACATGAATTTAATTATTCTGATTCCATGAATTAACTGTGTTTTGGAGGAGTTTGCCTAGCTCCTGGGTCACCTGGACTAATTGAATTGTGAAACAAGTCTTGTTTTACCCAACAGATGTAGACCTCGAAGAAGAGTAGTAATAAGGAGTAACCAGCTCTATGCAGATGACATTTTGACCATTGGTTGGTAAATTCAACTCTGCTTTTTATGGCTGACAGCTCCATTTTGGCTATCCTGATGTTAAAACAATTTTTTATTAATTTTTTATGGAATTGTGGAATACCTAATTACCCATATATCCCCTGTTGAGAAATGGAGATATAAAGATTTACAAATGACTGAATTTTGGTCAAGTAATGTAACCAAAGTATGTTTGAGATGGTTAGAAATTTCCTTTGGAAGAGACCCATATATTCTATAGATATGAAATACAGAGGATGAAAATTTGAAAGATCTACAGGGTTTTCAGTTCAAAAAAACATCCATGATGAGGGAGTTTTATGGTCCCTCCTGAAATCAGACAAAATGCTGTTCAAGTGAGGGTCCAAAAACTGTTCACCACATAATATGAATATGTGACAGCTCCTGTGTGCCTGGCTCATAAGAGCTGGAAGATCCTGAGCACCTTTCATTTTTAGTTTTTGGCTGAATACTTGAATGTATTGCTGGATTGTAATAATGTAACCTTTTTTCCTCGAAGGATACTATACTTGCATTGAAATTAGCACTGATAATTCAACTCTGTACTAACATACTTGGCATGAAGTGGCTTTCCAGTTTTGAAAACATATGCTTATTCATATGGCCCCAAAGTTCTCGTAAAGAATTCAGATCATAGTTATTTATAAACTGCATGAACTGGTCTATGATTTTATCCACTCTGAAACTTTTCATTTTGTCCCCTTTCAAGTCAGCATCAAAAGCTTTCAAACTTGGTCCAAAGCCTCTGTACAATAAATATTCGCGAATCATTTCATCCAAAAATTGTGCATGTGCCATTTTTAGCACTGAATGCTGTGTGAATGACTAAAAAACTAGTTTCTGAACAAAGATAAATACCATAAATACTATCCTGATCCTGAAGAGACCTGAAGCAAAACAAAATTTTAACCTGATTCCTAAATGTAAAAAAAGGTGCCTTTAGGCCTAGGCCTAGCCATCTTCTTCTCTTTCTAAGTTCCTTAAGATCTTGTACTTCTCTTCTCTACACGTAAACAGTACTGAGCGGTTGAAGTCAGTTGCCTTGAATCACAAATCTACAACTAATTATCAGTGTATCGCCCTAGCTTCTCGGCTCTTCCCAGTGTTGTTTCAGGGTGTACAATTGTAAAAAAAAGCTGTACCACTTGCATGTTCAACTTTACCAAGGTGATACAATCAGAAAATATGTACAAAACTGTACAATTCGACAATATTGAATTCTTTGTTGATGTATTCTGATATTTCTGATTCCACACAATATGTGGAGTGAAGAGTGTTCATTGTTCCGTGAATCCGAGAGAGTATGTTTTCGCCATTGTCTGCTAAATATGGAGAAAAAAATCTAGTGAAAGCATCGGTCACCTCGGTTGATTAACGCAACATATCCAATATATAGTACCATAGATTCGTCAATCCCGTCGTCCCGGTTGGAACACCAGAGCAGAGAACCAGAGGATTTGTCAAAATCTCCGGTTGGGGGGTAGTGTGCCCAGCGGCGTCCGAAATTAGAATGATGGAAATAAGTAGAAAAAAAGGCCGACGTTAAAAAGAAGAAGAAGTAATTGTCAAAGAACAGCTGATAAACAGGATTTAGCAAAATTTTGACAGAAGTCAACAATCAACATTGTTTTTTGTTTAGTGTTTGGTGTTCTTTTTAATACAAAAATTATCTCCATATTATTCATGTGATTCCTATTTGCAAATTCAGCAATGTCAGGCACCCCTAGAGAAGAGCAGAACTGTTATATTCCTGCAGTGAATAATCTTTCAGAGGGGCTATTGAAAATCTATGAACCTTCTTTAACAAATCTGCAAATACAACTTGCTGAAATGCAATCAAAACAAAACAAACTAACCAGTCAAATTCATGAAGAAAATATCAGTTTGGCAAAAGTTCAATATTCTACCGAAATACAAGATACATTCAAGAAGATGTCACTTTATCACAATAAGTTGTTGGGCATCAAAAGAGATATGAAACAGATACATGAAAGGAGTATGAAACTCAAGAAGCGAGCAATAAAAATACAACAATTTAGAGAAAAAGAAATGCTAGCAAAAGAGAAGATTGAACAAGAGCTGAAACGGGAACAAGAGTTAATTGGTCCAGGACCAAGTAGTAGTGAATCATCATGAAATATTACCATAAACTATAGATATATTTGAAAGATAAAAAATTTCTGAGGCAATTTCTATTAAACTGAACTTTTACCAAATGATAGGTATTTGATAATTAATATCATAAAGGTAATTAATAGATAATTTTGAAATGAAGGTTGGACAAAATTTGGTATTGTACATATACATATAGAGACATGTATTTTTATCATTTTTATGTTAATAAATATTGTCCAGAAGGGCACAGTAAAAAGGTATTTCCATGTACAGAATTATTATATACAGGGTGTTACAAATTCCTGGCTAAGCATGATACAGAGTAGGTTAAATTAGGGTTAAAGTTGCACCATTTTATGCTCAACAAAATGCAGCTTTGAAATTGGAAACATTTTTATTTTTTCTGAAGATATTCAGAAATAAAGGAAAATATGCAAAATCATGTTCATTTAATAATCAGTTCATTTGGAGATATTTCAAAATAAATGTCAATTCATCATTGCCACTTTTCCTCCTCTATGAAATGGAATTGTCAAATTGGAAATCCGACGTTTCTTCTTCAAGCGGCCATCATCAATTTTATTTATTTGAATACGGACCTGGATTTTGCATTCCATTCGATAGTTTTCGATATCCTTATTTGTTCATTAGGGTCGAATTATTGAACAAAAATCTGGTCCACCGTGTATAACCTTAGTGCCAATTTCTTCCGCTAGTCATTAATCAAGTATAATATCAGTACCAGTGGCATAATAAAGATTGATCCCTGGGGGGTCTAGGTCCAATAGTTAGTAAAAAAAAAGCAATATGTAACCTATATGTTGGTTTGGCCACGTTTATGTCTTGGTTAGCTGACTAATGACTATATTTTATTTTGGTCAGTGTGGTTTAAACTGTGCCCTTGGTGAAGTTACCAGGTTGATTTGGTCACCGGTTTGGTACCGAAATTTGTTGCATGCCTCAAAATAGTGGCCACGTTTATACCGTATGGATATTTGGTATGCTTACCGAGGCGATTTGACCAAATCCCTTAGTTAACGCATGTTTACACCATGTATCTTTAGTTGACTAACTTTACCTTTACCAACTTTGTTTTGATTTGATTATATTTTTGAGGTTAGGTTGTGGAAATCCACTCAAATTCGTAAATTATGAATAATAACTTTTAGTAGGATTCGAAATTAGCTGAAATTGAATGGAGAATTGTCATGAAGACTCATGAAATATAACAAATAATTGCACTTAACTCTAGTCAAAGCTATACAAAAGTAGACCAAAGTGTTTATTACACCGTTTTGGTTATCATACGATTTTAGTCTGATACTGATACGCAACGAGTTTCGGTACCAAACCAAGCTGGAAATTTTACCAAGTCTACAGTTTATACCACACTAACCAAGAGTATTTAGTTAAAATATAGTCATTAGTCAGTTTACCAAGACACGGTATAAACGTGGCCACTCAAGAGGGCCTCTTTGGTCCACTTTTGTATAGCATAGCCTTGACATCTGTTGAGTGCAAGTGAGCAAGTGTCAGTTTTATGATTTTTCAAAACAATCTCTCATTCAATTTCAGCTAATTTTGAATCTTGCTGAAAGGTTTTATTCATAACGATTTATTATTTACTTATTCAAGTAGATTTCGACAACCTAACCTCAACATAAAAATCAAAACAAAGTTGGTAACGTTAGTCAACTGAAGATATATGGTGTGAACATGCATTAACTAAGGCATTTGGTCTGAATTTGGTTAGGGTAAGTATACCAAATATCCATACTGTATTAACGTGATGGCCAATAACAAAGTAAATAAAAGAGTATTGAAAACTAAATCACCACCGCGAGAATTACCTAATACCATCTAATACCTACCATACTCATCGCATTGCAGGACAGCCAGGAAGAATATTCATATTTACATAGGGTTCTTACATCCGATATCCGTTCGGAAGGTTTCAACAAATTACAAATTAAATTCCCCTTCATTAGAATTGCTTACCAGATTGTTTCGGCTTTTCAGACAGCTCTGGGGGGGGGGTCCAAATCGCATAGACTCCCCCCTTGATTACACCATTGGTCAGCAATGATGGAAGTAAGATATGGTGTAATTACTGATGCGCTTTTGTTTCAGAAATTTTTCTCGACCTCTGGAGAGCAGCGAAAGCAATGGTTCCGTCGATCTTCTAATAGATGGCGACATTGCACACAATTATGACATTTGTCAGTTCTGGAATTGTCGCAGATTTTTTGAATTCAGAGTTGAATAATTTCACATTTACATATGTTTCGCGTACCTAAAATGCCATTTGCCATTTTATTTCCACTCGTCACAGCAGCAATAGCAGCATCACCATCTAGCGGGAAAATGGTAGAATCAACGTCTCGCTCGTTGTGACGTAGAGAAATCATAGTAGGCGGTCGAGTGATTTTTCTGAAATTTTCAATACGTAATAGTGGCCGAATTCCCGCACCATATCTTACTTCCATCATTGTCAGTACAATCGGAACTTGACCTACATCTCAACCCTTGATTCAATTTTTTTTTAATTTGTTTATTCAAATGAAGGTGCGTAACTTGTGCATCCACGTGAATGTTGAGAAGAAATAGAAATGTACGTCAATCCAAGACTGACCGAATCACTAGGGAATTAGAAATTTCGCATGTTCACTGTATATTTTTGTTCTATGAGATATAGTTGTTTCCAATATTGACCTTAACATCGATAGTGAAGAGGCATAGTAGAAAGCAATAGTGAAAAGCAGCCTCACATTACTTATCAATTTATTATGGAGATTTCCAATTGAATACAGTAATTATATTTACAAAAAATTAAAACTTCCGAAATAAATACATCAATTTAATATTCTATACAGGGTGTTTCAAAAAAACCTGACCTTCTTACTAGGGTAGATAGAACACTGCAAAATAAGTTGGGTTTACTCAGTAAAAAAATTTCGTAACGGCATCCGTTATCAAGATACAAGGTGTTGAAAAAATTATTTTTGTACACATTTTTCGAGATTATGTCGAAATTACTGGCAACATTGTAGTGACATTTTGTATGGATGTTTCTTGGAATCTGACACATCGCATGCATTTGTTTTTATATTTGACTCTCATAGAGGGCGCTAGTTACACGGTTCGTACCGAGTAGTTTTGAACATAACTTTTTTGAGGTTAGATTTGTCAATCCAAATTTGATGTGAACCTGAATATCATTCAATTCCACACAAAAAAGGTACTCTTGGTAAAACTCGATACTGTGTTCCGTTTTCGGAATATTTCCAGTCGAAAATGTTGAAGTGATAACTGTTGCTGGTATAAAGCCATGTATTAGAGTGATATTATGAAAAATCATCACCTATTTATTGAAAACCGAAAACAACAATACATTTCTGATACAAAACTCATTGATTGAACAATAAATCACAAGAATAACATCGAAACAGATTTGACTAAGAACATGCATTACACATTTTTGTTGTATCTTGAGCAGAAAGTCTATGCTACATAGGTAAATTCACGTCAAGAGTTGTGAGACATAATTGAACATCACTTTAATGACTCAACAGCTGATCCTCAACTGTTCAGAAGAATAATACATTCTTAAAAAAAGAATACAGAATCGTGTATTCCTCGAAACGTGGGACATTTTGAACACTTACTCCAACTGATTCAATATTTCATGTTTCAAGTCAAATATCTCTTAATTTTCTACTTATGATTCTTTGTTCCATCAATAACTTCAGCACAAGAATGATTTCATTGTTTTTGAATCTGAATAAATAGGTAATTGAACTCAATAAGATTCATTTTATACCAGCATCAGCTGTTACTCCATTATGTCAAATCGAAATATTCCGAAAACGGAACATAGTATCGAGATTCACCAAGAGTACCATTTTGGTGTAAAATTGAATGATGTTCGAGCTCATATCATATTCGGATCGAAAAATATAACCTCAAAAAAGTTATGTTCTAAACTACTCGGTACGAACCCTGTAACTAGCGCCCTCTATGAGAGTCAGATATAAAAACAAATTCATGTGATGTGTCAGATTTCAAGAAACATTCATACAAAATTTCATCACAATGTTGCCAGTAGTTTCGACATAATCGTGAAAAATGTGTAAAAAAATCAATTTTTCAACACCTTGTATCATGAAAACGAATGCCGTTACATTTTGTCACTGAGCAAAACCAACTTATTTTGCAGTGTTCTACCTACCCTAGCAAGTGGGTAAGGTTTTTTTGAAACACCCTGTATAGAAGTTAAGACACAGAAAGCTTCCCCTAGACGTTTTTAAGAAAATGTTGCCAATACAATTCTTAGTTTTTTTTAATCAGGATCTTTGAAATTTTTCATCTCAAATATACCCATGAAACCCACCCCTTCAACATAAGTATAATCTGATACCTACTCAGGAAATTTATTCACAACACTTTAGAATGGAGTCTGAAGAAAGCTTTCCATGAAGAAATCCTATGGTTCACTCAAATTTGAAGTGACCCTGAAAATTTATATTTCATTATATACCTTATTCAATAAATGCGCGATATGACTTAAATAATCAGTTAATAATCTATAAAATACAAAGGCAATAAAAATAATGAATGATCAGTTCGGGAAATCAAATATCTTGTTACAAGATACATAAAAAAACAGGCCAATAGAGAGAGGGCGAATTACCTAAATACAAATAGGACGAATAGGTGGCATAGTTTGAAAATGATATTGAAAATAAAGTTTATGCGAAATTTGAATAGGTTTCAGAATGAAATGTGTTTTTTTAATACATAATTTCTGTTCCTCTGTGTAAAGTGGTTATGTTCAATATTTCAATATCATTTTCGGAAAAATGCCATTTGTGATGATATATTCAACAATTTCATCGTAACTCATTCTATGGGCCTGAAAAGTCACATCCATGATACATCGTTAATATTACTTTAAGTAAACACAACTACAGAAGCTGCAAGATTCCATCCGGAAATCCTAAAGTACATTGTTCTGCACAAATAGACTCTGTTTATTCTATGTCTATTCGAAACATGTCATGCAAAACACCGATTCAAAACTTAACGTGGTTAAATACGAGGAGTTACAGATCTTTCACTTAACACGATTGCACTACAATAAGAAGAAGGTTGGTACAAACAACTTGCACTTTAATGTTTTCAGGAAGGTGTCATCTTAGAATCACAAACATGCTTGATGTGGATGTCAAACATTTCGGGCGGCGATGGATTCAAAACATATTTACGTTTCAAAAGCTGAATTCGATAAATAATTTTGAGTATGGGTAATTCATGTTTTTTTTTTTTCTTCTTCTTTTTTAGTTTGCACCTTCCTTCGATAATCACGAACTTTGTCGATTCTGAATAATCATTAAACTATCTTTGATTCCCCATACTTTGCAATGATAAATAATGCTCCGATTAAAAAGTTTATTCAACAAAACTATTGCGAACTATGCAGCACTCGTTACTTTGAGGCTGATAATGAATTTTCCTCAATATCGAGAAAAAATTATAACTGGCAAACTACCAGTATAGGTATAGGGAACGTCAATTTGATACAGATTGCTGCGGGATAACATTCTCCTTTATTAAGTAAAATATAAAAATTGGCATTCCATTTGCTAGTGGAAGGTGCAAACTAATAAAAATTTGAAAAGTCTGTATATTTCAAAAATGGCTAGACTTAGGTATAGAGAAGGCTGATGAAGATCATCTTGAAATAACCTAAGGAATCTGGAAAAGCAATAAAACATATAGCTTTCCATTTAAAATAACGAAGTCGATGTCTACTTCCGGTACAACCGCAAGTGCCGCCTTATTCAAAATATTTTCATTGAACAAGACAGGACCCAATTGATAGCCCCTCCCCTGTACATGAATTTTCAGATCAGTGTAATTTCAAGTCCAAATATGTTTAACGCCGGTTTAGACGGAATAGCCTGTATTTGTAGGCGATAATCTATAATTTTATTCTCATTGATTACATAGGATGTCCTAGTGTTGCATGAAAATTAAAATAGCGTCTCCTAAGGTGGCTGATGAAGGACATCTTGTAAGGTCGATGACGAGTAGTTGATGTTATTACCTCTGGACCGATTGGGATGTTTTTAAAATGCGATTTTCTCTAGAGCGGTACAAGATATTGATTGAGATAGAGTACTTATACTATTTTTGTAGAAAAAAGTTGAACGAATCAAACGGTAGGCAAAATGTCAAATTTGTCAACTCTGTCAAAAATGCCTCCATTAAACTGAAAAAATTGTCTTGTTTATGAAAAAATTCGTCCCATCCTGTATAAAACATGATCACTGAACAGCCTTTCACATATCGAAAGGAGCGTTAGTATGAGATAACAGAAAATTAAAAGAGGAATCAATCTAGATTTGTGGTTGCATCTATGTTTGTGAAATATTTCAACCGGAAAAAACAATTTACTACACTTAGTAGGTACTATTGCATAATAATAGCATACCAAAAGAAAATCAACAATCGTACATGCTGCTCTTGAGCCATATATTTATATTATCATTATTATATGTGTAAAATCATCGACGAGATTGAATAATTTAGTTATATATACTTCAACCGAAATTTTAGGTAGAAGTCTCTCTAAGTGCTTCATTATAGACCTCTAATGTATATATTAGGGGAATCGTCCTGTATATACTCCAAATAATTGATGGCAAAATTTCATAGATGAGTATTTATTTGCATGATTATACACAGGATTCTCATAATAACAAATCATTTCCACTAATTTAAAATTTTCAAAACGGTTTTTATTTCCAACATAAAATTGTTTTTTTCCCGAATTCATTTTTTGCTAATCAACCTGTGTGCAGATGCTTGATGTTAGAACCTGTCATTGTTTTCAACATTTCAGAATCATGTATGAATAATCCAGAACAGGTTCAATTATCACATGGAACAGAGCCTCGAAGGTTTGCATGAGTTTCGTGTCATTATTACTTGTCTAAAAGGAAGACCGGCATGATTAATAACGAATACTGAAAGGAGGACCCTTTTACACATCATGGAGGATTGAAACAAAAATCAGAAACTTCAAATTGTCTATTAAAATGTTAATTATACGTCATGAAATCCATCCGACCTTCTCGTGGTCCAAATTTTTTTTCTTTGAGGAAAACAAATGTCAATTATACATTCTATGAGTGAAAAGAATCAACCATCAGTTATTACAAACCTTTATACTTGAAATTGAATGGTCAACTGAGAAGTCATTATCATCCACAAACAGGAAAACACATTGGAGTTGAACAAAATGAAATAAATGTGAGAATTGTCAGCTAACCTGCTTCACAAAGACTGGCATACCCATGCCTCAAAATGTGTTGGCCTTTGTTATCATTAACAACTTCTTCTTTCAACTACAAATTCATAGTCTCACATCTTTTGATACCCTCGAATATTGATGCACAGTTCCTCAAGAAAGATTGACACCTACGCTCACCTGTCATATCATTCACCTATAAACTATCTCCGCCCCGCCTAAACATTCGGATAAAAAGAGGCGAGAGGCGGAGCCTGACCCACCGTACTCGGGTACTGCTGGTACTCCCTGTATGCAGGGGCGGGTGCTGATGGTACCCCGTGGCGTGGCCGGAGTGGCGTTTATGTAGTCGTACCCGGGCTGAGCGGCGGTATTTTTTCCATTTCTATAGCCTTGTGGAGCGATTTTCTCCCATCGTTTCTTTCGTGGACATTTCGGGAACGAAACTACTTCCATTTTCTACATATAAATAGAGGTTTTATTGCGAATTGTCTCTTTGACATCGTCCTATTTTGATAATTAACCTGTGTGCAGGTACTCGATATCAGTGTTCGAACGTGTAATTGTTTTCAACACTTCAGAATCATGTACAAATAATCGAGAACATGTTTAATCATCACATGGAAATAGTGAGAAAGCCTTGTTGAGTTTGGTGTCACTCTTTGTTCAACAAATGATTTATGATAAATACTAAAAGGGGGTTCCTTTTGAAAATTTGCAGTTATAGGTTGATAATTAATCAACCAATGGTTATTACAAACCTCAATAGCTCAATGGTCAACTGGGTAATCACCATCATCCACAAACAGAAAAACACAATGGATAAACAAAACGTGCGAGAATTGTTAGCAAATTCGCTGTCATGAAACATTCCAATGGCTGACATACCCATACCCATGAATTTGTTTGGCTTTGCACACATTAGTTAGTTCATCTCACCGCATATTCCATCTAAAAATTTACATCAAATTAAAAAATTTCACTTTCAACTTGTACGGCAATGGCTCATTTCAAGGTGTAAACTCAAACACTGAAATAATCTCATGTCTCTTGACTGGGGTTCCCAATTCTGCCGGGAGACTCAGGTAATAATGGTGAACCTCCCGACCTCTTGGGATGCAATAATTTGTTCTGATTGATTGAATTGAAAAAACTTGTTACATTTGTTCTTTAAATTCCTTTCGAGAGCGTATTCACCATGATAGAACAAGTTTATGGAGATAAAAAAGAAACTGAATGAATATTTCGATAGTAAAACCAAAGATAGATACTATAAAACTTCGTTTTTCATGTAAAAACTGAATGAATATTTCGATAGTAAAACCAAAGATAGATACTATAAAACTTCGTTTTTCATGTAAAAACTCTCATGATTCATATGTGTGGTGAAAACCCGACACATATTAAATGCTGCTAGAAAGCAAAGTGAGTATAAATTTATAAATTGGTGAATGATGAGATTCTCTTTGAACTCTTGTTGTCGGGTTGGTCGTCTCAAAAGTTGGCAACCCTACTCTTGACACCCACATACAACAATCCAGTCGTACCTGCGGTTGCACAAAAACATTTTTTCCGTTCCTGCAGTTTTGTGGGGTGATTTTCTTTTATTGTTTCTTTCTTTGACGTTACGGTAAGGAATCTACTTCCATTTCCAAAAAAAAATTGAAGTTTTTTTTCGCGAATTGTCTCTTCATCATATTTTTTTGATAAATTAACCTGTGTGCAGGTATTTGGTATTGGTGTTAGAACGTGTCATTGTTTTCAACACTTCAGAATCATGTACAGTAGAGAACAAAAGGTGGAGAATACCAAAATGAATTAAAATTAAAACTAAAAGGGGTTTCTTTTTACAGAAATCATTTTAAAGACTGGCATACCCATAACTCAAAATTTCTTGGCCTATGCACACAATAGCAACTTCTTATCACGAATTCCGTCACAGTTTACATCCAATTCAAGAATTTCAATACTTTCAACTTGTTCCTTGAAAGTTCATTTCAAGGTAAAAACTGAAACTGAAATAATCTTATGTCTCTTGAGTCTTGACACCCACATACAATGGTGCGCAGTTCCTCAATAATCAGTCACACCTACGCTTACCTGTTTCTTAACACCCTCGAATAATGATGCACAGTTCCGCTCACTTGTCACAATATACACCCACAAACTACCCCCGCCCCGCCTAAGTATTCGGATAAAAAGGAGCGGGGGGCGGCGCCTGGCCCACCGTACTCGGGTACTGCTGGTACTCACTGTACGCGGGGGCGGGGCCAGCGGCAGGCGGCGGGGGATAGTGCGGCTGCGGAGGGGGCGGGTACTGCTGCGGGTACTGATGGTACCCCGGGTAAACGGGCGTGGCCGGAGGGGCGCTGTTGTAGTCGTAGCCGGGCTGCGGCGGCGGCGGCGGGCCGTAGTGCGGCTGCGCCGGCGCGTAGCCCTGGTAGCCGTAGTTGTACTGCGGCTGCGCCGGTTGCGGGGGATAGCCCATCATGTCGTAGGGGGGCGGGTGCTGCGGCGGGTAGGCGTAGCCCTGAGGGGGCGGGGCGTGATAGGGGGCGGGGGGCGTGTTGTAGTTGTAGTAGTTGTAGGTGTTGGGGTCGGTGCCGGTGGCGGATTGCGGTGTTTGGGGTTGGTATTGAGAGCTGCCGGGCGATTGGTCGGAGACGTAGGTGACTTCGTCACTCTGGTCGCTCGCCTCGGAGTGTTCTGGATTTTTGGGCGTGTCGGAGGTTTCGGAGATGTCGTCTTCGAAACTCTCCATGTTGTCTTCGTTGGTGGCTTGGTAGGCGCTCGTAATACTGTCTAAGGTGTCCTATAGAACGTGTTCGAGTTTTAGACAATTTATTGAGGACATTTTGCAATCATCATGAGATGGTTTATTTTTCGAGTTGTTTTTGATACCTACATTCTCTCGTCAGAAAAACACGAATTTCATAACGACAATATGAACAAACCACTATTTCCGGAGATATTCACGAAAACGTTCGAAATTCACTCTTCCTTTTCCGCCTGCCTTGAATACGCATTTAGAGCTACTTGCTATTTGTATTTTGTCATTTGACACTTCATATACTCAAGATGTACTTCACTGACACAAGATATTCATGAAGATCAATATGATTATTTTGTCGACTTTTTCAAATTTGCCTGACGGCCATTCAATTTTCCAATTAATAAGACATACGCTACAAATACGAGATGTGGAATGCAGTTCAAATGTATGTGATGAATTTTCAGAGTAAATTGAAATTCAAAACAAATTAAAATAAATTAAAGTCTTATTTACCGACGGTAAAAGTGAATTGATTGTTCAGTAAGTATGAAGAAATCACAAAAAAAAAAACATATTTTTAGTTGATTTCCGATTATAAAATGTATCATTGAAGTACATTGTGAGTATTTAAAGTGTCCAATGATGGATAAGTGGAATGGTAGTAGAATATCTCGCTGAATAGTGGTTTGTTCACATTTTCATAAGTCCGAAATACCCTTTATTAATATGGTCATAGATATGCTGAATCTCAGAACACTATCATAAACGTGCCAACCAAGAACTACTGAAATAATTCGGTAACACGGTGATCATTTCCTTGCTGCGTCTCAAAGTTGCGATATTGATAGTTTATGCCAATCTTACCTGGAATGGGGTGCTGTCCGCACTATCACTCATCATTGAATTGGCCGTACTCTCGAGATGCTCTAGAGCAGTACTGCTATCTGGGCTGCTCTCTTCCTTTTCCTCAACTGGGGGCCTTTGGACTGTCCTTGATGGCATTGTAGGAGCCTGAGGGGAATTTCAATAGTTTAGTTCATCATTTTGTACCCGAACAGAATAAAATCTATCAATCTATCACAAAATGCAGGAGTGAATTGAAGAAATATATTGTATCAATTCAACTTTTTTATTTTTATTGATTTATTCTAGTTCAACTGTAGATCTTCTATTATATTGAGTATTTGATTTATTAATTTATTTGTTCAGTTTCTTTCCATGAACATTTAGATTTTTTTAATCAATAAATTTCATTACTATTATTGTGGGTACCTTCGTCTTCAACATAAAAATGCAGTAGATTCGTTCCCGAAATGTCTACTATATAATTAATATCCTTCTTATTCAAAATTTTTGTGACTGTATATCTTTTTTTTTAATTTCTGATAGGAAAATCATCTGGTTTGTTCTTATATTATGTATATTGTAATAATAATATTTTTATTTATAGAGACGGAGAGAGAAAACCTAAAAAATATAGGGAAATTAATATACTAATTCCTTGATTAACCAGACAGTGTTTAGGTTGTGTGTGCTTAGTAATATTGAGATTATTGACAAAAATGAATGCTATAGAACATAAACTTTATGTTTTATGTTTTATGGCTAAGATTTGAATTTGATCATAAAATAGACTATCACATACAAGTACAGGGTGGCTGGAATCAGAGCCTTAACATTGGGAACGGTTAAATTATTGCAAAGTTCCGCAATTTCATGTCTAACAAAATGCCGTTTTAAAAATTGGAAAATTCCGAATACTCTTGGAGATATAGGAATAAAAACGAAATTTCCTAAAACCCGGATATCATGGGTACTTCATCTTCCCTCTTGGCGTTTTCAAATTCTAAAATTAACGTTTCGTTTTCCACAAACTATCATCAACTTATTATTTTAAATATAAACCAGATATTTAATTTTTTCTTACCTTCGGATATCCCAAAAGGGAAGGAACTTTTCGAATCGTTATATCTCAAAAACGGTGGCTCTTAGAAAAAAACTAATTGAACATGTTTTATAGATAATTATCTGATCTACAATTTTTATCCCTGCTAATTTTATGATCAAACTCACCATTAGCTGAAAATCGCGAATAATCCGTTTTTGTGACCTTTGACCCCTAGTAAAATTTTTTCCAGGTGTCGGATCGATGAGGACTTTTTAGATTACATTTATGATGGTGTTTTGAACAATCCTACCAACTTTCAGCTTGCTGCAAATTTTTGTAACCTCGGACGTTTAACTTGACCGGATTAATAGTATTTTCTGAATTTTCTGGCAGACTTAGTTTGCCTACCTGTGGATGCTGCTGCATCCCTGGCGGTTTGGCCGCCCCGCTAGGCACCCTCTGGATAGATATGTTCTTTTTGAGCATGGAAATCCGCCTTTGGATCTCGTCGGCGGTCTCCGTCGGTGGTTTTTGCTTGTCTGCGTTGTGGTCTTCCTCACCACTGCCCATGGCCATGATTTCGCCCTCTTTGACGAGCGATTTGGCGATTTCCACGCCTACTTTTTTTGGATGGGTCTTGCCTATGATTCAATCGGATAGTAATAAATTGGTAATCGGTAGGTGGAAATTTGTTGGTACAGTTCTGATTTGCAAGAATTGAGAAAGAAGCCTTTTGATTAATTTGTGTAATATCCTTTTAATTTACATCAATTCAATATCGTCTTTGAAACTGATAGGGGATCTAAAGTTATTTGCAGATGATACTACAATAATCTATTCCTTTAAAGAATTCAATGATATGATTGATGATATGAAAGTTGACTTGAAAATGATATCATCTTGGCTACAAATTCATAAGCTGACTCTGAACTATGACAAATCTACGTATATGTATATTTCAAAAAGAAAAACTGATATATCGAAAACAACAATATTTTTCAACCAGAAAGCCATAAAATATTTAGATGTTACAAAATTCTTAGGTCTTTATGAATTATCGTGGGCTGAACATATAAATCACCTGAGAAAGAAGCTAATTCCAACTACTGGCATTTTATACAAAATTCGATATTTCATTCCTCTTAGATATTTGAAGAATATATATTTCTGTCTGATTTACTCAAAATGACAATATTTAATATCGATTTGGGGAAGCACAAGTATATCACATTTGAAACCATTAATGAAATTACAAAATAAAACAATTAAGTGCATTTACAATTTACATTACCTGGAACCAACCATGATTCTTGACAAACGAAAAAATCTGTTGACTTTATCATCTTCATATAAAATGAAAATTTGTTCTTTTATTCATTTTGTGAGAAAAAAAAATATTCAACTTGAACTTTACTGAAGTAAATACGAGACAATTGAATTCATTAATGACAAACCCATATTCCCCGTATCTTTACATATTCAAGTTTTATGTTGTTTTCCGCAGCTTACCTACTTTAAAAATTATTCGAACTGCAAGGAAACTAGTTGTTTGAATGTATACTATTTGTTACTGCACCGAAACAAAAATTATCCAGGAGGTAAAATAAAAAAAAACAATTTCAATTTATTTGTTCGAAAAAATTACATTTGACATAGAGATTGTACTTGTTTTGACCTGTTGAACATGTATGTGTGAATATACAGGATGTTCCATTTGAAAAAACAAAGTTGCTCATTTCCAGAAAAACCGGAAGTCCGCCATATTGGATTGTAATGTGATCAAGTAAAAAATGGTTGCTTATATATCTGTCAGAATAACCCGATTACGAATGCAGAAGTCACAGGGGTGGCACGATACCCTGTTTTACACGTTATAAGGTGTCCAGTGATGGAAATAAAAGAGCCAGTAGCAAGTATATTGCGATTATTGGGCACCCAAAAGGGGCGAAAAATTAAGGTGGAATTTCGATTTTTCAAGTGAAATATCTCGATGAATAGTCGTTTGTTCACGTTTCCATTGAGAAATCCTGTTTTTCAGACAAAAATACGTAGGTCCAGAAAAAAAATCCTAAAAAATACCCATCGCGTGATGAGTCCAAACTTATCTTGACACAAATAAAAGTGATAGTGGGCAAGTAGGTATAATAATCGGTATAGTGGCATAAAAATGCGAAAATCGTTCTTACTATGCCAGTTTCATATAGCGTAAAGACATCTATTACAACCTAGTCACCCCTTTTTTATTCCTAACCTATACATTTTGTACTGAACAAATGCTAAAAGAAACACTCAATTTGTTAGTGTTACGGTGCCTTAGTTATGTGCACATACCAATGCATGTTTTGCACAGGTTATCACCTACTTATATCTTTTTTATCAACATTTCTACCTTTGTTTCCAGGGTAGGCTGTGGATGCAAAGGCATAAGACATACAGGCAACTTATCTATGTAACGAAGTTTTCTATTAGTTTCTGTAAAATTATAAAATAGTTTCTGTAAAATTATAGAATAATTATTGTTGTAACCAGGCAGATCCTAGAATGGAGCAGGGGTAACCTGCGAATTCTGACAGGACTGCTTACGGGACACTGTCGTCTAAGATATCACCTGGGAAGGATGGGTCTGAACACATATTATGTTCATGCTCTTACTTAGAGAGACTAAGTTTCGATATATATGACTTTACCAATTTAGAACCTATCGATTTCAGACAAATCTCACTTAATTCAACCATGAACTTTGTAAAAAGATGTAGATTGTACAGTGAACTGTAACCTCTAGGGGTGAGCCACAATAGACCCATCTGGAGTCGCAGTGGAGGGGCGGTATTCGCCCCACTCACATTGAACCCAACCTAACCTACTCCTTACAGACTGGGTGATTACATGTAAGGCAGTTAACTGACTAAGAAAAATGGTATTGAAAATATTGAATAAAATGAAATGGAATCAAACAGAATAACAGAGACCTACATCATAAAATACAAAAACAAAAGAAACATAAGGACCTATACCACACAAATACTATCTATATCTTTGAAGAACATTTAAGATCTCAGTGTAATAAAATTATATCTCGTTACTCTCTGACTAGTATTAAAAATATCAATATTACCAATTTTCTTGATAAACGTATTCCATTCTCTTAGCATGGAATTGAGAGGTAAGGAGCTGTATATATCAAAAAATAATAATTATCTGTTCAATATTCTTAAATTAATTTTTGGTATTGTAAATTTTATGAAGTCAATCATTAGACGATCTTTGTGCTTGGCATTATTGACAATAAAATATATAAATAAAACAGACTGTAGAATTCTTCTTCTGTTCAAGGATTATAGGTTGTATGTTGTCATGATAGATTCATAAGTCATCCTATGCGGGTAAATATTGTCATCTTTCAGTTACAAATATCTTAGGAAGCGTTTTTGCACTTTTTCTATCAAATCTTTATGACTATTTGTCTGACGTGTCCATATTACTGATGCGTACTCCAAATGATATTGAATGGGTGGAGTCATTAGACAAATCGGTCGATGCAGTGACGTCTTTGAGACGTATGATTAGTAGTTGAAGTATCATAATAGCAATCCTCACCCGCTTCGAGCCGCTTCTGTATACTCTTGATTCGCGACACCAGATTCGGCACGGCCTGCTTGACGCTCTGCGTGGCGAACTTGGCCGGCCCGCCGCCTGGCGCGAACGGCTTCACCGCCCGCTTCTGCGGCACCACCGACAGCGACGGGTGGCCCTTGAGCATCGCCCCCGGAGGCAGGGGCGGCTGCTTGGCCAGCTGCTTGCCCATAGGGTCGCCGCCGCCCTCGTCCGTCTTGCCTTTCACTTTGATCGCCGTCTTGATGGCGACGATCTTGCCGCTCTCCAGTTGCATGTAGACACCTTGAATGAAATTAATAGCTTATTCTACTGACTGCACTAGTGCGCATATAATTCAAATTTTTGTCGTGCGTATGTATTCAGCTGCTGTGCACTAGCACAGTACCAATAGTGATTCTCTACGGTTGAACAGGCACTACTCAAGGGTAGAGCAAAATTTATGGTAATAGCGCTCGCTGTTAATGGGCCTTTCCAGTATCCTAAAATTCGACTTTTTTCTCTAATGTTATGAAGGGAAGTTAAAAACATATTTATCGAGAAAATCGAACGACAAATTAATTATTTAATATCGAAAATGCGATTTCAATACCTGTGAATTCGAACGCTACTGAGCAGTGATGTCAGTGTCTACTTGCAATTTGATTGGTTGGAGTTCTGACGGCTGGGAATTATTCCCCCGTTGCCAGATCTCTATAAAATCCTCGAATTGATCCTATGTGCATTATGGTGCAAAGAATGCGATGATTCGAAATTACTATGTAGTTAGTGATTAGCTGATTGGAAATTCACTGCTGATCACATCCAATTTACTCTGCACACCAAAGTATTCCATTAGTTTCAAGATTAGCTAGGATAAAATGTGATGCAGGCATCTAACAGTAAGACGATTTTTACAAACTTAAATAGTTAGTTTGGTTTTAGAAATTTCGTTGACTAATTGTTATAATCAACAAATTGCACAGTGTTACTATATCTCGAGCACTCATAACCAGAAAATGTGATTGCTAATATGGCAACTATTTCTATAAGAGAAAGAGATGAAGCACTGGCGCTAGCACAATGTTGCCAAGTTAAAAATACCTCATTGCCCGCAAACTTTACTGTTCTTATTTCTCATATTATTGAAAAGAAAGCAGTGATGCTTGTACTAAAATCAATAAAAATAGAATCAAGTAAGCAATTTAGTATTGATTGATTCAGAATTTGTTTCTTTCCCTGTGGTAGAATGTATAGGTAGGTACATAATTGGTGGGTACCTAAAAACTTGCAAGTACTTTACTGGAAGGGTTTTGGAACTGAATGTCATGAATATATGCACTGTAAATCGATACAAAATGAAATTTCACCTACAAATTTTGAATAATACTCCAACAGAAATCAACTAACTAACTGATTATGCAATAGAAATTTTTAATACCACGAATTTTCAGGTAAGTAATTATTAGTTGAGTCATCTAACATCATCTGTATCATTTGCCAAAATGAAAAAATCAAGGAATGAATATCCGACATGATAGCTTTCCGTTCAAATTGGCAACATTGTCAAGTCCATCGTGAACTTCAATGGCACCCGCGAGAAACTGAGGATATTACCAATCCAAATTGCTCGCGCACTGACGTCACATGTTTGGCGGCTATGTCTGATCGTTTGAATTCGCTCGTTCATTTTGGCGTAAGCCCAGTCGATAGCAATGAAATTTTCGAATATATAAAAGCGGAGGAAGAAATTGTAAGAAAAGATTCGAATACCCAGGTATTGGTAGTAAATGACAAAATTGAGTTATACTATGCATCAACAAAAGCTATAATTATGCACAAACTTTCTCAATTTTCCATATGCCGCAAAGATTTATTTTCACCATAAACGAAATTTTCCTTCATATACGATCACCATACTGTGGAACTCAAAAAATAATTGGATTTGTCAACTATGAAGTTAGATCCTTGGTTAGAGCCAACATTGTACAGTCGAATATCCATAATGTCAATATTGAATATCGCATCATCCACATGTATCTTTATATCAATTCAAACTAAATGGATACTGTAAAAAGTCAGTGCAGTGTTAAATACGCATCTACAACGCGTCAGTGCGATTCAGTCGACCATGCTATAAGATAATACAATTTCTGATGTCTAAAAATCAAAATGATATCAGAAATGTAGACTTCTCGGAAATCAAGGACTTCTTATGTAAATAGAGATGTTTAACCAGCTCTAGGAGAAAGAAAATATGCATTCCATTCTTATGCCGTGATCATGTTGATGCAGTGATAGATGACAAAAGCTGCGATAGTAGCAAAGAATTTAATAAAAAGCACGTCTTTTTAGGCAGGTGTTCATGTCAGAGCGGCAGTGACTTCGATAAGTGCGAGACGGTGTTCATATCTTTGCTATTCACTGCGAGAGCGTATCGATGAATAATCGACCGATTGACAATCAGTCAACAAAGGTATGCGGAAAATGTAGTGCTGAACAATGGATATCAACAAATTGAAAACAAGTGTACTTCAGATCATTCTTCTGTGAGATCAAAGATAAAAGAATGCTGCTTGAAACATATTGCCCATTAAGCAAACTATTTGTTGGGTCTCTTTTATGATGTTGAAGACCATTTCAATTGCTAATTTGAAAACCAAAACTCGTAACATTGCCCTGATATTGCTGATAATCAAAAGAAGCTAGTGAAGTGGACAACTTGAACCAACATGAATGCATCGAGATACTCGTCGAAGTAGGATAATTTCGTAGCTAAACCAATGTTTTCATGGCCCTTGATGCCGCTCCATTATGTTAACTGTCTTAGATTGATGAGAGCTACATGAATGTCAACGTTACCCGGTAATCATTTCATTAATCATTAATAGTGATATTCTTTCGTTCTGAACTAACTGACATATTCAACTTTAACTGAACTGAATCAGTTAACATGCATTCTAACTAATCAAAGTCTTCTGAAAAAACGCATATTATCAACTGATTCAGTTCAGTTCTGGTGAAATATTTCAGTTAGTTCAAATTGGAAGAATATCACTAATGTAGTAAATGTATCCAATACAGGCTTTATATCCATTGCCAATTCTACAATTTCATATCCTACATAATTACTAGTGAATTAGGTTTTTGCTTCAAAAGGAAAGACAACCGAGGAATGAAATCCGTCCAAACCCCTTTCAATCGATGAATCATGATTTACATTCAATGTACAATAAATATTAAAAGTTAAAGTTGAAGGAAATCGAATCTATAGCGATTTGAAACCAGCATATTTCCTTAGATATCTCGCAAATCCAGAACTGTAGCTATCTCCGTCTAATACCTTGCTATTCTTCAGTGTTGCAGTTTGATTGGTCAGCTCAAGGACAATAGGCGTATTGGAATACGTCACAACAGTTACACCATTGAATGGAGACCATTTCAAATGACGCAGGAGGTGTGTTTAGAAATGAACATATTTTAATCTATTTATTTCATCTTCCTTGTATAAATGAAAGAATTCGAAATTATATACACTGGTAGTTTTTTTGGTATAGAGCTCACGATGATGTCGTTTAAAAAAATCAGTGGTCTCCCGTTAGCAACGGCTAAATTCGGCATAATCTAACTACACGGTTTTTATTCACCTTCCAATGTAATCAATCCTAAAATCTGATGATATCACTCTAACTCTCACTTTAAAACTTATTCATCCATGGCATTCTTGAATTATTGTTGAAATCAATTAAATTTTGGGAGCAAAGAGCTGATGAATGTTGAAATATTTGAACTAGCTACTGAACATTGTTGAGAAGAAGCAACATTGAGACATGATTTTTTTCAATATGATCCACAAAATGTCCATAACCATAGGCCAGTAGGCCACAGTGCACCCAAATTAGAAAATAATCTGTCATCTTTTCCTTTGAATTACAGGTCAATGTTTTTTCCTTTCCTATCCATAAAGGTCAATAAACACCCTCCCTCTACGTACACAAAACAAATTTTGACTTACCTTTTGGTGATTTCAGGACTAGCACTTTCTGTCCAGCTTTTAGTACGATGTTCCCTTTCTCGGGTTGGTTGGTGGGGATGACGACATCCAGAGGTAGTGTCATTTCTTGCGCCGTCATGCCCTGCCGTTGCCAGTGCTCGGCTGGGATCCAGCGGGATGGTCGTTCGTTCTGTTGCATGGGCCTATTCAAGAAAACAATCGATGCAGCTTTTTCATACTGAAAATACTTACGAGCTCGTATAACCATAGCGATATCTCTCACCCAAGAACTAGTTAATGTTTGCATTATGATTGTTTTCCCAGCGAAGAGACACTGGTTTTTCCTTTGGTATTCGCTATAATATACATGTCTGGCAAAAGAAATCTTCTCAAAAACTAAACAAAGCAATACTACCAAACCTTGCCTTCCACTTACGTATCGCGTACGCTTAGTAACATGTTTGTCACAGGAGCTACACACAAGTCGGTATAATGGCAACGTCGCTTCCTCTCTATTAGATACCCATGAATTTTTAGGCGTGTTCACTCCAATAGATGATTTTCCTATGAGAGGATTTTTTTTGCCAGACTATTTATTATTCAATTTTCAACTGAAATTCAGATGTCACTTGATCAAACTGGGTTTGACATAGGGTTTATCGATGTTCTAAGTCGGTATGCCATTTAAGGGACCCAAGTTAACAGGAAGGAGTGCTCGGAGAGTCGCAACCCCTGACCTCACCTTTCGGTTGGAAAAAAGTTCAAAATTTTGTTTAAGAAGAAGCTCGGCAATGAAGTGCTATGATCTTATCCCACGAAAATTGGGGCGCTTGCCGGTTTGCATACGCCTAGGTCACTCCCCAAGGGCGGCATACGAACCGGAAGTGGCAATTTTTCAGTGTTATAGTCGATGATCTAAGAATGTATGCCCTTTCATCGGTCTAAGGCAGTACGAGCCTCTGGGCAAGAACTGTTCATGATTGTCATGAATAATTTTGATGCACATGCGTGTATGCTACATATTTTTAATTTCCGAGACACCTTCAAACGAATTAAAGGCTCTAACTAATTATCAGAGAATCGATCAAAAATATCAAACAATGGAAACATTTTAGCATCAGCTCATCATCCTCTTCAAGATCAAATGAGGTCTTAGTTTTTAGGTTTCTTCCAGGTTAATCTAACTTCAACATAACCCACCAAACGCACTACATTTGTCACTTTATTCTCGAAGGGAAAAACCATGCAATACGCCTTTTTTGATTCATCGGCCTTCCACTATCCCACTCACTCATCTCGGATTGAATTAATGCGCACCTCATTTCGCGACTTTGCTATGGTCTGCCCCTACTTACGAAATCGTGACGTCAGTTTTTACTGGTGGTAAATTTCTAGCCGTTTGAAAATTACCGTGGCATTATTGATGATTTTAGCACCTAAAAATCGACCGAAAAATTCTTTAAAAATATTAAATTGAATAGTATTTGAGTGATGATTCTATCTAAGAAATAAAAAAAATTAGTCCATTCGCCTATTCGCAACAGAAAATAAGCGTACGCCACCTACCGGAGTTCTTGAAAGTTGTCTAAGCAGCATGTTCACTTTGTTTTCATTGGTTCACACTAGTTTTTTGTTTGTGCTTATTAGTCACATCATCAAAACAAACTGCTCAGAAGTGTTGGAGTTGTTGCCGTCAGGTTGAGCGACGTGTTATTTTGTATCGCGAATTGGATCTTGGACTGCAAGAAGAGTTTCAAACTCTTCCATATATTTTTGAGATCAAGATAAATAGATGAAGGTTAGGTTAGGTTGATATAGAAATGCCATTACCCAAATATGCATACAGTGAATGACGATTTTCAAAAAATCTTGCTTTTTCTGACAAAAGAAGAATAGGATTAGATTAGTCACGGTGGAAGTCTTCAAGCCTAACTTTCAGTTTTCCTACATTTTTGATAGTATCCTTGATTGATTAAACATGAATTAAACTGACAAGATGATCCACCTCCATGTAAAATGTCGCAGCCAAATGTGCCATTAATTCTTGTCTGGTTCCTAGTGGGCGCTAGCGAAACCCAGCAAAATATGGCCGATTTGTCTATACTCTCGGAATCTGCTCATGTATTTGCAAGGCGATAAACTATCTAGGAATATCCTTCTTTCTGAAGACGGAGTATCATTAACTTTGATACTCTGAAAGTATTTGAATGAAAATAATGTAATCCGGCCCTAATGCGACATTCCTTCTTGCATAAAAACATCTACAAATAAACGAATATATTCTGCATTACCGATCTCTCAACAAAAAGTAGTTCACCTTGACGCTCATAGATACCGCCACCTAGTTAGAGTTTCTGGCTTCACTGCTCTCATAAGGATGGTTCATCATGTTAGTGTGAATAATCAAGGATATTATGAGCTCTGAGGATGAAAGGGTTTGTGATAGTGGACTATTTCGGGTTAGTACTTCGAAATAGTGAAACAGGTCCATTGTAACTACAATCCTCACCTGACGGAGGCGACTGGCCTGTGTCCTCTCGACGACCCCAACAGGCTGTACGCCGGCTGTCTGGACGCCTGCTTCTCGCGCTCGTAACCCTTCTTGGCCAGCCGCTTTTCCTGCGACGACAGCTGCTTCTCTTTCCTGTCCACCAGCAGCGACTCGTGTTGGAATGGCTCCTGAAAAAACAGACAAATTCATTCAGAGGCCAAAAGATGCAGATTTTTTCATCGTCTCTTCATGACACTAATTGAAAAACTAGATATTGAATATTTCAGATGTTTTCTATATTTTTCTCGAAGTGTTTCATTAACATGTTTAATATGACAAAATCATCGTTTGTAAATCACAAGTGAAACAAAAAATAACTATGATACTGAAATGAACATCCCCAATCAGCTAATGCTGGTGATCATACTCTAGCGAACTAGTAAATACTATGTACAGGTAAAGTAACAAAATTTAGTATGTATAATCTATCTATGATTCATTTAAAGAACTAGTAACTACTATTTACAGATAAGTAATGAAATCTAGTATTTATAATCCTAGTATGACTCATTGAATGTACAGGGCTAGTTTTATTAATGTGAACCGCCCTTCATCTTCTTTGTATAGGAAACATTCAAGAAGATTCAAAACTGATTTTTTTACGATATTCCATATTGGTTTCAATCATATTGAGGGAGTGTTGCAGTATCCCTTTAAATATACAGGGTATACCGAAATATATTGATATTTTTATATGGAATGCGCTGTTTATTTTGATAGATAAAGATCCCCAGATATAATGCATTACACCTTCACAGATATAGGAATATTGAATAATGACTCTTCAATTGTACTAGATTCCAAAGTGTACTTGATAATAGTGTATAAAAGATTTGATAATAAATGTGTCAATGATCAGTGAATACTTTATATTTTAAAATATGCAGAGAATACTTTATGTCAGCAAGACTGTGTGCTCCACCAGGTTCCAGATTCCATGGGCATACGAGTCTGCAGAGATGTCAGGTTACCTATATGTATACTTAGTCCAGCCAGTAGATTGAATTTATAATATCAAGTTGGAAATTATCTATATCTTCTTGAAATTCACATCAACTTTTCAGTGAAAACAGGAACAGTAAATCGGCTCTGATAGCCAGGACAATCTTTCCATGAAGACTGTTTCATCAAAATCCTCACAAATGCTCACTCTTTCGAGTCCATGAAAAGCATTCAGCAAAATAGTTACATAACCGTCCAAATAGTAAAAACAAAAGTAAAAATAGAAGTAAAAGTGGAGATAAAAGTTAAAATGAAAGTAAAAGTGAAAGTCTAGCAGAACTATAACATAGGAAAAATAGAAAACATGTTGTAATAACGTAACCTTGAGATGATGAAAGTTTACAAATTAATTTCTTTGAATATGGACCAAATTCCATAAAAATAATAATCTCAATAAATCAAAAAAGTTCTTAATAATTGAATATTTACCTCTAATTAGATGTTTTTCACCAAAAATTATGGATGATCGAAAATGTGATTTAGCGGACATCCACATAGTTCATTTCATGGTGGCCAGATGGGAACGATTTTCAATTTTTCTTTCTCTTTTCTAGTTGACAATCAAAAATTCAAATGCCCATGTCATCAAAGTCAAAAAATTATTGTAACCAAATAGCCAGCATCGATTCAACCGTTGCAATAACCGATACCAGGTTCAAATGAATAATCAATCAATACAGATCAATAAGATGACGCTGACGGCATACTGCTTAGATATGTTACTGGCGCGACTCTGCTCGTTGAAGGCTGAACGCTGAACTACTGGTTAATGCTACATGAGACAATGGAACAAGAAAAAGAAGAATTGAAATTAAAATTTTGAACCTCAACAACTTGTTTGACATTTCACCTGAATATTTACAGAATAAACTGAAATAATAAACTTTCATCAAGTCAACAAAACATAACATGCAATTCAATCCAAATTATGTAAAGAATATATACAGTATATATTCAGTGACTCCCAGCTTCATAAAATCTGTAACATATGTAAGAGAGTATCGTATCCAGGAGCTACGTACATATACAGGGCGTATAGTGCTGCTAGATTAATGAGTGTCGATCTATTGATGACACACGGGGCTATGTATAAGGTGACGGGTATTTTGGGTAGAATTTATCGATGTATGAGTAATATTGAGTAGTTAAGAAGTAGCCGTGATACGGCTAGGTTGTATCTGATACCTATTGTGAATATAGTGGAAATCGTGAAGTACCCAGAGTGTTTTATTCTAATAACCGTCCACCAAGCTAACACATAGAAGCTCAAAATATCCTACGGCTCAAGTTTCGTTTAGCTGAAATCAGTTATGAAGAAACTGTTGCCATGAAAACGATCGTCATGATAACTAGTAAACAAAACCCAATTCCCGTGGTGAGGAAATGCGTGGTTGCCAAATTGTATCGGGTTTAGTATAGCTGAAATCAGTTATGGACAAACTGTTGCCATGGCAACGATCGTCATGGTAACGAGTAAACAAAAATCCTATTCCCGTGGTGAGGAAATGCGTGGTTGCCAAGTTGTATCAGAGAAATATTGCTTCATTCATCAATTTCGAAAACACTCTTCAATGTAACTATCCTTCGCGTGCCGAGCTATTCGACAAAATCGAAAAGAAACAGAGCCATTTTCGAATATTCATTACGAGGTATCGCGCAGGATATGGGAAGAGAGACTACAGGTACTGATTGTCTAATACAGATAGAAACATCTCGTTAGGCCCACCCACATTTCCATTTGCCTTCATTTTGATTCACTCATACATTTCTTCACGCGCAAATTTTGATTCAGCAACAGTCTTCAAACATACACGAACGATGCTCTGCTACCAAATCTGAACGATGTTGGGAAATATATGTTTTTTAGGAAGAAGGTTGATTTAAGTCGAGTCAGGTTAGATTGTTTGGAAAAAGTAGTGTCCTTCTTTATGCGGTCTTCAAACACACACGAAGGATGCCTTGCTACCAAATCTGATCGATGTTGAAAAATATATTTTTTCTAAGAAGGTTCATTTAGGCCGAGTTAAGTTAGATTGTTTAGAAATAGTAGTATCCTTCCTTATGCGCTATTTGTTCCGCACTATTTTGTCGCTCGCTATTTTGTCTAGCTCTGTTCAATAACAGAGCCTATTTTTTCCTGACGTTATTTCCATATATGATTGTCAGAGAAGTAGCAATTTGGGAATCGATCAACGACGAACAGTCTTCAAGAAATTAATAAGAGTGGTATTCATTCGAATCAAGTTATTGTTTGAATACTAGCAAGAACTTTTGTGAAACAAAAGTTGAGGGACGAAGATTGCGCTGATTTTTCCATTTATTGATTAAGAAATGTCACAAGAGTGTCAGTTCAGAATGTCTTCGTTCGGAGAACTTTCTCTTCCGAGAAATCAGAAAGAGTCATGAATTTGCTCTGAGTCAAGGTTTGGTGCCAGCAAAACCTTATTGCAAGTCCAAATTCAAGGGACACAAATATACGGGAATATGATTTTTGTTTACTCGTTACCATGGCAATAGTTTCTCCATAACTGATTTCAGCCAAACCAAACTCGATACAACTTGGCAACCACGCATTTCCTCACCACGGGAATCGGGTTTTTGTTTACTCTCTACCATGATGATCGTTGCCATGGCAACAGTTTTTCCATAACTGATTTCAGCTATACTAAACCCGATACAACTTGGCAACCATGCATTTCCTCACCACGGGATTTTGAATCCTGTTTACCTGTTACCATGACAATGGTTGCCATAGCAACAAATTTTCCATAACTGATTTCAGCTAAACGAAACTTGAACCTATCCTACAAAAGAGAATGCAAATTCTCAAAATACATTCAGTGAAAACCACAGTTGAATCAATTACTCTGAAAAGGTCAGTTGAATACCTGGTACTATCAATATTTCGTAGAAAAAGTAACATTTATTAAAAGTAGATGTTACAACCAACCTTGTTGAGGGTACGTCCGTGCCGCTCGAGCACCTTCTGCAGCACCACGTCGATGTAGTTGTCGCGCGTGTGCGCCCACTCCTTCGCCTCGCCGTCGTCGCACTTGTCGTCCCAGCACAACGTGCTCACGTCCTTCATCGTCAGGTGGGCGTCGGGGTTGCACTCGTCCACCACGCGGTCCGACATACCTGCACGAAAAACAAAAAATATGTACAGGATGATTCACCATAAATGTCCCCCCCTCTAGCTCAGTTATTTTTGAACCGATTTCAAAATTTGAAATATCATCTTGAATGATTTTTGATAAAGTTTTTTTTCGCTACATCAGCAAATACAGGGTGCTCGGAACAAACGATCTACAGGGTACCATTTGATTTTTTTATATGGAACACCCTATTTTTCATTGTATTTTTAGATTCTCCCTGAAGAGCTGATTTGATCAATGTATCACACTTGGGGTCTAGCGAGAATGATCACAAAGATATAGGGTGTTCAAAATCGAGATTTTTAAAACTATTAATTATCGGTCAAAACGGCCTTCATGTCCGTATCTTAACTTTTGATTTACTATCTACTGACATTTAAAAATCGGAACAGATACAGGGTGATCAGAATTCTGAATCTTGAACCACCCTATAAATGTTCCAATTGAATGTCAGTAGACAGTAAATCAAAAGTTAAGATGGGGACATAGAAGCCGTTTCGACCAATAATGAATAGTTTCGGCAGAAAAAAATCCTAAAGTTGAAAAATCTCGATTTTGAACACCCTATATCTCTGTAATCGTTCCCGCTAGACCCAAAATGTGATATATTGATGGAATCAGCTCTTCAGGAAGAATATAAAGATACAATGAAACACAGGGTGTTCCATTTGAAAAAATCAAGTAATACTCTGTAGATCGTTTGTTCCGAGCACACTGTATTTTCTGATGCAACGAAAGAAAAATTTCTGAAAAATCATTTCAGATTATTCTTCAAATTTTTAAATTGGTTAAAAAATAAGTGAGCTAGAGGGGGGACATTTATGGTGAATGACCCTGTACAATATTGTAATGATATTTCCCTGAGAGGGGCTGGAATATCTTTAAGAGAGAGGTATAATAATCTAAGGTTGTTCTAAGAAGGGCATGGAAGGAGATAAACTCATCCAGAAGCAAAGAAACGTCACATGGGTGTCAGGGTTGCACTCGTCCACCACAAGTTTCGACATCATTAGAACTATGAATATTGTTATATGCCTAAAAGTTTTCTTTTTTTTGCTCAACACACCTAAATAAGTTTTCACTTCAGAAAATGAAGTGCTCAAAGATACAAGCGGACCACTGAAATTTTCGACAATTTTCAAACTGTCATAACTTTTTGGAAAATGAATGGATTTTCAATCGGAATGCAGTGTTAGGAAAATGCGATCTTTCTGTTCAAGATTCCTTGTTCAAAACTCGTCGGGAGTTTTTCTGTCATTATACACCAAGTGTTCGAAAAAAGTATTAAAAAAATGAGAGAATTCAAATGCTCCCGTATTTCAGGGAATTTTTATTATTTGTCTTTCAATCTTTTTTTTCGAACGTTCAAGCCAATATCTCGAAACGGTTTTGTAATTTTCCATATTCCTCATACAGGATGTTAAAAATCGATAATTTTTCGTTTTTACTTTGTTATCACATCATTTCCCATCTTGAAATTATGCAAGCCACATTCAACGTATTTTGTCATCGATAACTTCAACAGACGAATAATTAATTTCTTTTGGAGAAATGTTCAGAATTTGGTGAAATCGTCTGTTCAGTTTGGTGCTCCAATAACCATATGCTATGCTCAAGACAAATCCTTCATTTAGGTCGATTGCTCTGCTCAGTATCTCGAATTGATTTCGTAATTTTTCAAATAAGGCAATCCAAGGGGGAGCAAGGAGGCCCTTCTGGATTTTTCTGGCCAATACATACAATAACGATGCTACAATGGTTTTAAGATATTCCTGAGCTGACATGAAGTCAAGGAACCTATTTATCACATCACATTTATCCAAAAAAAAAAAAATTCTTCGTCTGTTAAAGTTGTTGATGATTTCAACGCAATAAGAATCCATTTTCTGAAATGTGTTCCATCGTATAGAGCGGCAAAAAATGTTGAATGTGGCTTGCATGATTTTAAAATCGGAAATGATGTGATAAAAAAGTAAAAATGAGAAATTATCGTTTTTTAACATCCTGTATGAGGAATATGGAAAATTACAAAACCATTTCGAGATATTGGCTTGAACGTTCGGAAGAAACGCTTAATAGAAAATAAAAAATACAATCCCAGCAATACGGAAGCGTTTGAATTTTTTCATTTTTGTAATACTTTTTTGGAGCACTTGGTATGTATAATGACAAAAAAAACTCCCGACGAGTTTTGAACGAGGAATCTTGAACAGGAAGATCGCATCTTCCAAGCACTGCATTCCGATTGAAAATCCATTCATTTTCTAAAGAGATATGGCAGTTTGGGAATTGTCAAATATTTCAGTGGTCCACTTGTTTCAAAGAGCACTTTATCAATCAACGTGACCGTGCGTTTTTTCGAACACGCCCCCGGTTATTCCTTATAGAATTTATTCCATTTGGCTGATACACACTGTATATGACCTTGTGTAAATAAAGACTCATTTTGAAAATTCAAAGTTGATCCATTGCTCATAATCTGAGTCATAATCCGATATTATTATCTCGGCTATCATTCATCAACTATTACTTTCAAATGATTTTTGCATATGATTACAATATAGAACATTAGAAAGGAGATTACCATATTATATAACCACCAATCCATTCACAAGTATTTCTAATTATTATTCTGCGAAAAGAACTATAATTCTTCCAATTGTACTTTCGAATGAAAGCGCGTAGTGGATCTTTGTCATACACCAATCTCTCTCTCTCTATCTCTATCTTCACTTAAAAAAATTAACACATTCCCATCCTCACCTTGCTTGTTGATCTGCCTATCGTAGATCTTCTTCTCCAGACAGTTGTCGACTACCAGGCGGTACACGAAGCACGGCTTCCGCTGCCCGTACCGATACACGCGGCACACGGCCTGTGTGTCGTGGCAGGGGTTCCACGACGCGTCCAGCACCACGACGCGATTGGCGCCCACCAGGTTGATGCCTAGCGAGCCCGCCCGCGTCGACACGAGGAACAGATGGATGTTCGGATTGGAGTTGAACTCGTTGATGAGCTTCTCGCGCTCCAGGGCGCTGGTCGACCCGTCCAGACCTAAGGATATCGTTTCCCCACTGTAATGTCTTTCGCTATACGTTGTCGAGTTTAAGTTTTAAAAAACAACACTAATAGCAAATTCGATTGGTAAAACTGGCTATTTTGTATTCCATTGGTAAAACTGGTATCAGGTTTTGAATTTCATTGGAAAACACGAGGTCTAGATCGTGCGAAGTCAGTGCCTGAATTGTTTGAAAGGCAAATTGTTAGTGGCAATTTTATCATCATCACAGTTCATAATCAAGTAGTGATGAAGAGTTAGGGGTTTCAAGGGATGAGAGCAGAATACTTCCCAAAATTCATAATTTTGTTGAAAGTATTGTGAACCATTTCAACAATGAAGAGGTACTCATATAGTCCGTATGACATGGGCCAGTTTTTCATCCATTTTCTGAATGGGAATTTGTATTCAGAATTTACTGCACCGTGTATTCCAGAAACACAGTTTGAATGCAAAATTGGATGAAAAATAGAACATGTCCTATTTTTCATTCATTTTATGTTGAAGCGCTTGCGCATAACGCCGTTATTCAACCTTCGAATTGTTTGTTTGTTTTGAAGTGAGAAACAATTTCTTGGGGATATGGTAATGTCACTCTGTTGGTATTTTGAAAAGGTAATTGATGCAATATAAATTACAAATAATATATGTTCACTGATTAATTTTACTGTTATCTCAAATTTAGATAACATCAGTTCTATGATGGTTTGGTCTACGGAGCATGGTGCTTTGATTGAGAAATACCAAAAATATCCCTGATTGTTTGCAATCGCGTTTGCAATCAAACACCCAGAAACGCTCGAGTCGACTGTAGACGCTTTGACATGCTCTGACAAAGATGAAATATGGATCGAGTACCTACCTCATTTCTGGTGAAATACATTCTCGCATATTTTTGTATCTTTTTTAGTTTGTTTTGTTCAGAACAGAAGTGAACTGATCATTTATTCATTCTTATGAATGTATTTGTAATTTGTAAATACTTATATGATGCAAGGTTCATGCTTTGGAGCGATTCACGAGTCAATTTTTTCCATTCCGATTTTATTAAACAAATACGCTGAGCATATCAGCCAATTTTGCAGAACTGCAGACAGATATTTTTTAAGAGAAACTATTACTAATACCATTCTTCAATTTTGAATATCTTCTTCCAAAAATATATTTGAGGTTACTACTGGTACACGTACAACCGGCATGAGCAAGGAGTATCTGTATATTATATCATTGCCATGCCTATGCCCCTTGTCACAATATGGTATCTGTGATCTTATGTCGTGTCACAGAGCATTGCATTTTCCCACAGAAAATTATTCAGATGATTCTGAATGTTTTATTATGTTCAATAATGATCCATTTTATGAGTGAAAAACTGACCCGTGTCATACGGACTTAAGTTTCATCCATAATATTTTTTCAACTCTCAGAAAGGCGAATTATTATATTGTTAGCTATTTTATGTATGTATTTGTCATTTTATTGTTTATGCTCTGTTTTTGCGTTTCACATACAAACAACATTCGTAGACATTTGAAGCACAGTTTCATTGAAACCTTCAGAATCCACGGAAATGCAGTTGGCGGTACGATTTTTGATCGGAAGTCAATCCTGTTTAATATGTCTGAAAATGACGGACAACATCATTTTGGCATTTGAGGCGTTCACGATTTTGAATTCGAGATCGATAGACGAGGCGCCGCCCGTCTTGACTCTGCAAAGCCTCATATTTTGACATAATCAAGTAGGTTAAATTGTACAGTTTTTTAATGTTTGGTAAGAGATGGACAAGAGAACGTTGGAACATCGTTCTAGAAACGCCTTGACTCAAACTTATCTGGAAGATCCATACAATCCGTGAAAAAACTACAAGTTTCTTAGTGTCACTTTGGATAATAAGCTAACACTATAAGCACACATAAATACTATTATAGGAAGCCCTACATACTCTGCAATAAAAAAAAACGTTCAATCAACTCTGTATTTGAATGATTTCATGCGGATGGCTAACTTACGGTAATAGCTGGCATTTTTAGCCCAATTGAAGGTCTCTCCAGGAACTTGACTACTTTGAAGGAACTGCTCGATTAAATCTAGAGTAATCAGTGATTGACTGAAAACTAACAGCCTGTCTCCTAAAGCTATACTCTCACGGATTATGCAGAATAAGATCTCCATTTTAGCACCATTTTCGATGTATCCGGGTTTGTAGTCTTTGAGAAGTTCGATAGCCTGTAAAGAAAAATGATATCTAAAATAAAAGAAATATGTCTAGTGCAAAATTATGATTATGGAAGATTGTGTCATCACAAATAGTATCGATTTCGTTTTGCCGTCAAGCAGTTCCAATTCTAAGAAATAACCAACCGTTTTGGGTATAAATCTAACGAAAAAAATTCACTCAAACTCCACTGAATACAGAGTTCATTACTTAAATCACTGAAACCCGAAAAATCTGTTGAAACAAGTGTATATTACTTGGTAATTTTATAAATATATACAGCGTGTCTCACTTTAAATGCCCCCTTCCCCAATATATCTCTGCTATCAGTCGTGCGATTCGTACCAAATTTGGACTGGTATGGGGTAAATTTTTCATTAAATCATATTAGGCATTTTTTGCAGGAAAACGTCATATTATTGTTCCTCACGCTTCCGAACCTCCATATGCAAAAAATCACTTCAGTCTGAATTAACAGGATTGGTTTTACTCTCTTCATTTTCTGCCTTGAAAAAATAGTGAATTCATATCAACTGCAAATTTTGGGAAGTTCAATTGCTCTGGTAGGTAGAAAATCATGGTTTGAAAGAAAAAAAATACTTTGTTCTGTTGAACGCACAGTTTAGGAGTAAATAATTATTTCCTTCGGAAAAATGCTGTTCGAATGTGTTTGTTTTTTTGGAACCCTTCATAGAAACCATATTATTTTATTATTATTATTATATTATAACAAGGGCAGAGGCATGGCCTATTTTGCCCAACAGATACTTAAGCTTAAAAATTAGTTACAACTATTAATGTGTCAAGTCCAATACATTTCTAATGATACACTATTGATACCTAATTTAGTAATCACTGTAATTGTTGAAATTGCAATTGCACCAAGTCGTAGCGGTTTTTGAAACTATTCACACTGGGAGCTGACACAACATCACGAGGTAATGCATTCCACTTTGAAAATACTCGATTTGACAAAAATTTTTGTCTGAGTGTGGTTCGAAAATGTTCTTGCTTCAACTTCATAGAATGGCCTCTCAATCTATCATCATTCTGTAGATGGAATAAGTTAGATAGGTCAACAGAGAAGTCATCGTGCAGAATTCTATACGTCAGAATAGCGTCTCCTCTAGCTCGTCTATCACTCAGCAAAGGAAGCCTTAGCCGAGATAGCCGTTGTTCATAGGAAAGATCCCTGAAACTTCTAACCATTCGTGTTGCATTGCGTTGGGCTCTTTCCAAAAGTTGAATGTCTTTCACCAGATGAGGATTCCATACCTGCACCGCATATTCAAGGTGTGGGCGAACATATGCTTTATATAGCTTATTGAAGAGGCTTGGTTCAGGTTGATCAAAGCATTTGTTAAGGAGGTATGTGCGACTGTTTGCCTTACGGACAGCTGCTGCTACTTGATTGGACACAGTTAGTTTCTTGTTGAAAATGACTCCTAGGTCGTTATGGTTCTCCACTGCAGGAATGATTTTATTACCTAGGTAGTAGTCTAGTTCTGGGTTAGTGGGGCCAACATGTAGAATAGAGCACTTGTCGATATTCAGAGGAATGTCCCACATGCCGCACCAGCTTTGTACTGATAACAGATCAGATTGTAGTTCATCGAAACTGGATAGTGGGTTGCCAAAAAATTTGCTGTCGTCTGCGAAAAATGCATGGTCGGACCTTAGAGCGGTATGTAAATCTGATGCGTATGCCAAGAATAATGTTGGACCCAAGACCGATCCCTGGGGTACTCCAGACGTAACATCATGAGTACTAGAGTGACTGGTACCCACTCTCACTCTGAAAACCCTGTCAGAGAGAAATGCAGCTATCCAGCTATGGAGTTTTCCTCTGACACCAAAATGTTCAAGTTTATGTAATAGCTTATTCCGTGGTACCTTGTCGAACGCTTTGGAAAAGTCAAGGTATATAATATCGATGGGTGATGCGGAGTCCATTGATTTGGTCCATTTATCCAAGCAATAGAGCAGGTTAGTTGTTGTAGATCTTCCTGGTATATGCAAAATTCCATATGGGGGTTTGGTATCATGAAGAACAATATTATGAGATCAGCTTTCCTGTAAAACAAATCCCAACATGATTTCATAAAAAAATACTCTTTTTCATTTTGATCCTAATACACGAGAGTGTACAAAATGCTGGTTGTCTCTGAAAAACTGAGCATATTAGCTGAGATATATATGAGGGGCCGTCTGAAGTGAGACGCACTGTACATACATATCTATTCATTTTGAACCTTTATGAAGCATTCCATTCATGAAAGTTATAACTTGAGAATTGATAGATTAGACTTTGGATCTTTGCCAGAAACCTCAGCAATCTGCCATTTTTTTTTATAAACAATTTAGCCGATTTGCCGAAATTGTGTGAAATCCTTGTAAAAAATGTGAAAGTAATGTTATTACAGTTTTGTACTGGTGATTTTTTTTCAATTATCCGTGGAAATCCAATTTGAATTCTTGCAAAAGTTGTGGCAGGTAAGCAGATTCTTTTTAAATTGGTTATAGAATGTGAATCACAGTGAATGTCTCAAGAATATAATTTAATATTTCCATGAATTTAGCCAGAAGTTGTTTTGGCACAAATAGAAAATCTACGTGCCTGAGCTTTTTCCCCAATAGTCTCATCAAGCTTTTAACGAATTTGTTCCAACTTTTACATGCTCACTGTACACACACAAAGACAATAATGAGAGAGGAACAGAGTAGAAATCACATGTAACTGCACAGACTTGAAAGATAACCATTTAAACTGAAATGTTAAATCATAGAATCGCGCCTAACGAAAAAAAGGAACCAACCAAAAAAATTAACAAATGAGACAATGAGTAACAATAATTAGATTTTGAATGAAATTATACCTGTCTTTGTTACTCTGATCGTCTCTTATATTAGTTTCAATGCTCCATACACAGTTTGATTATTAATGTTTATGTTACCATTCTTGGCGTCTACGTCATTACGATCACTCAACTCAAATTCACAACCAAAGTGATATTACCATCTGCCTGGTTTACCATAAGTTTTTACATAGCATACCATGACATCTGAGCTACAGCATAAGGATTAAACAGCAGCGTCACGTGTATCCGCGATACATGCATTCGAGTAAGTGTATTTCTGTTGACCTTGAACCTCTGCTTTGCTCATTGAACCATGGCTAGCGCGTAGCTCGTTCAACTTGAACGAAGGTAATTCAACGGAGTGACACTGCTGGTCAATCCATATGCTGTGTCTGAACTGTGACATGAACATTCGATATTTTTCAAATAAGAATTTCTTTGAAACATAATAGGAAGTGTGTTACTAATATCTCATCATACTTTACTCACCCAATCATAAGGAATTCCACTATCCTCTTTTGATTCCCTCAGAGCCAAAGGATTCATCTTCGCAAATGGATTATCCTGTTGAGCTGGAGGCGGAGGAGGTCTCATTTCTTCCAACTTCACCTCAGTCTTAACCTCACTCTTGACCTCGCTTTTAACATCGCTATTGAATTCATTCTTGACCTCGCTATCGAACTCATCTAGGAACTCTGCTTTTATTTCTCCCTTCAACTCATTTAAAAATTCGTTCTTGATAGGGCTCATTTCGAACATATCTATACCCTCTTCCTTTACCTTAGGTTCGATTTTGATATCACTCAAGATCTTGATCTTGCTGGGACTACCAAATACTGAAGGTAATTTTATATCACTGATTATGTTTATTTTTGGCTTGGACTCACTGCCATTATCACTTTTCGGGCTCACAAACTGTTTGGAATTAGAGTCTTCCTTCTTTATCCAAGATTGATTTGATTCACTATTGGCAAGGTTAGGATTGAACTGGTTGTTTGGAGGGCCGAAATAGTCATTTTGTTGGTTATACGTGCTATTTTCTTTCTGCTGACCCCAGTAGTTTTGTGGGTACTCCTGAAACTGATTCTGATTGAAATTCTGGCCGTGTTGGTTTTGACTAAACGGAGTTTGATTCCCAATATCCAATAGTTCACTGCAATTTTGTAGAGGAGTCAAACTAGAGTTAGAAGTCGGTACTAATGGAGTCAACGCACTATTAGGATCATCGAGTGATGTCAAGTTGGTACCATTAGTATCTATCCTTGATATACTAGTACTCTTCAACGTCAAACTAGTAGTCATATGATTCAACTGACTCAAACTGTTACTGGTTGATGCTGCCATACTTGGACTGCTCAATGGAGTCAAACTGACACTAGTACTTTTTAAGGAAGTCAGAGTTGAATTGGTGTTTTTCAATGGCGTCAAACTGATGTTTGAATTACTTATAGATGGCAAACTGGTATTCAGCGTATTTGGATTGTTCTGTTCTTTCCGTTTTGCAACAGGAGTTAGGGAAATTTCAGAAGATAAGTTGGCAAAGCTATTACCAGATTGTTGAGATGAATTGTTCATCGTTTGCTGGTCTAAATTCAACAAAGTACTTTTCGTGGTAGGTTGACTGTGGTTGTTTTCTGAAAGATTGAAACTGGAGTCACTGTAGTTGGTACTGGGCGTATTCGGGAATGACTGATAGTTATTAGTCGTATTGGGAAAGGACGAGGGGAACTGAGCGTTCTGATCGAACTCTTGATCATAGTAGGGCTGAGGAATGTTCTCTGGAAAACTTTTAGAAACATCTTGAAGATTCGTGGTTTGAGGTTGATTGAAACTAGACGGTATGTTATCTTTGCCCTGCTGTGAAATAGCATTGCTGAAGGAAGTGATGGGAGAGGAATTGACAATGCTTCCACTAGGACTGCTTGAGGGAGTGTTGACTGTGGAATTTTGAGGATCAGTTGAGCTATTGTATGGTGTTACCGACGCTGCTGGTTTCCCCTTTTGGCCTTTAGCAGGTTTCTTGCCACGTGGTCGTGGCGGTGGTTTTTCATTAGTGGGTTTTGCGACAGGAGCACCACCCACTTCCTCCAAATCGATGTCAACAGCTTCTCCACCTGCACGCTTTTTCAAAAAGTTGTACAAAACGTCTGGATGGTTCCAAATTTTACAGCAAACGGCAAATGCTTTCAGAGGGTTCGGCACAGCTTGTATTCGCACGACTTCATTCATAAAAGTCTCATAGAGAGTTCTTTGGAACGGAGTCATCCTAACCATCAAAACATATTCTTCTTTCTGGGGTAGGGCAGAGTGTAAGACAGTATGGGACCGTCTTTGCACGAAACCAAGGAGTAAAGAATGTAGTACATGGGCTCTGTATCGCATTAACTTGATATCAGCCTCTGTGGAATCTATACACTGCCCGTTCATGATTGGGCGTTCGAACATGTTGCAGAATTCAGTCTTTGAACCGAGGTAATTGGGTCTGACGAAGTCAACCATGCACCAGTACTCCATCAGGTTGTTCTGGAGGGGATAGCCTGTTAAAACGACACGGCGTTTTGTTGACATTTGCTTGAGAGCTTGCGATATCGAGGCGTGCGAGTTCTTGATGCGGTGACCTTCGTCGCAGATGACGAGGTCTGGGCCGGGTGTTACCAGTGCAGCTTGAACCTCTGAAATAAATGTTATTGCGGCAGGTTTTAGATGAAAATTTGGATGACAACATATTTTTTTGGTCGACTCAACTAAGAGATGCTGAATTTGTCAACAAAATTCAGACGCTCATCCGCTCAGAATGTACAATTGAAAGAGTTTATATGAACAGTGTTTGAAAAAACTGTATGCAGTGATCCAATCTTCTAGCTCAATCAGTGGTTTTTAAAAACTCTAAAAGTGGGGTAGTTACCTCAAGATATAATAAAGCTTCAATACTAAGAATTGACTTAAGATCAAATTTTCAAGCATTCATGTCTAATATTTTTAAAGAAACTTCAGTCTTCATGAATAACATAGTTTGTGAAATGAAGCACATATTGGTTAATTTCTCTTCTCTTGATTAGTAAGAATAGTATATAATTTGAATTCAACAATATTACTTCTGATGCAATGCAAAGAATACAGTCTGAGTGACAAAAATCGCCCAAAGGCATAACGCCGTTATTCATTGCTTGATTTAGATGAACAAGAAAGAAGATGGGTATAAGAATGTAGTTTATTTTCATGCAAAATAATTCAGCAAAAATAATATAATATGCACAATAACAAAAAAATCAAACGGTGGAAAATTTATCAATATTTGAGGTCTCCTGAAGTAATCTTCATTACTTTTCAATGAAACTTTTTTTTCTTCGGCATTTTCGAGTAACATTCTGTGTGAACATATCACAAAATCCTTTTTTTTTCAGCAGAGAACTTTCTATATTTTTCATTCAATCTATGGCGACTAACATGTTTGACTGATTGTCAATAGATTGAGCTACAAAGACGTGAATTCTTGCATGACATATACTCATGAATGTCTTCTTCTCTGTGTCAATGTAAGAGTTGCGCTCGAATTTTCACAATGAAACAAAAAAATCCAAGCCCAATCAGCTAAACCATAAATCGAGTTTTTGAATTTCTGTACATAGGACACTACTGTTTCTTTGAATTTTCGGTAAAACAGGCCTTAGCCTTCAGGGCTATCCAGCAAAATTTAGGGCTGACTGGTGAGCTAACACTGTTTGTGGGCATTACACAAGTCAACTTTGTTATATATTACTGGATTCAGAAAAAAACTCATCAGGAACGTTTCGGAAGATATGTTACAATTAGAAAAAAAATTACAGTCACTGACATCAGATTCAAAATTGGGAAAAAATAGTAGGGTCTCCTGTTATTGAGAAATCACTTTTTGGTTTTCTGTTCACCAATATCGGAAAATTAATAACTGCAAAGGTTGATTGATATTCCGCAATATTACCTCCTAATGGAGTTGCATCTATACAAGGGATTGTCCAGATTTTACTGTGGAGTATTTTTTTTTATATAGGGTGTCCCGTGACTCGATGCCCATAGCTTAAGGGCATATTCCTTGAACAATTTCAAGTCGAAAGTGCCACATACACTTTGGTCAAAAACTCTATAGTTGAGGAGTAATGAGCAATATTAAATCTAACAGAGTGTGTTATGACCGAGGTAATGACGCAAAGAGAATATTGAATAAAGTAATGAAATATTTTATCAATTCAGAATTTTTCAATGAAAAAAATTTAATCAAGGTTTTGTTCAGAATGTTTCCCCGCAGCTTCACAACATATTCTTGGTCGTCTCATTATTGAAAACATTGCTCTCTGAAGAGATCTGGGTCCTCTCTAACGGATGCAGCCACGATGCAGCTGAAGTCATAATACATTGAATTAGCTCATCTCTGGTTTGTGGTTTATTTGAATACACTAGACTTTTCATGGGTCCCCAATAATAGTTTAATAGTATAGTCAGGTGACCTCGGTGACCAAAGAACTGGACCACCTCTTGCAATGATGAGCAAAGTTGTTATTCAATTGCTCATAACTCCTCAACTATTGAGTTTGAGACAAAATTGTATAAGGTAATTTCGACTTGAAATTGTTCAAGGAATATACCCTCAAGGTATGGCCATGGCTTCATGGGACACCCTATATATTCTTCAATATTTCGTTATTATATAAACATCATTTCTAAAATCTACTGACAGTTAATTCATAAAATTGTGGACAAACAACTCTCAATTCATTGATGTCCAGAAAATTATTCACTATTATGTATAGTGTCAATGACAGTTTTGACACTGTAAAGACACATTGAAAAGCCTTCTTATAATAGAATTGTCATCTTCATGACGGCTTACTCCAGCGTCAGAATGTATAATTTTGACTTACCGTCAAACAGAACTCTGTTCTTGTCATCCTCGGCAGCTACGCTCTCGGTACATCCCTTCTTCCTGGACTTCGGAAATTTCCTCAAACTCAATAGCCTGAACTGCTCGTAACCTATCATTAGGACGCCACCCTTTGTCCGCCATTCGTGGATCACCTTGGCCCTGGCCACTAGCGTCTAAACAAAAATAGTTATTTATTTACCAAGGACGAAAAACTCTAATATAGTCGAGTCTGCGAATTGATAGATAGATAGATAACCTACCGACCTTTAGTTGAAATGTATATGTATGTACCAACATTCCCAAGCTGTAAGTTTTCATCATTATTGACAAAGAATTCTCGTGAATTAACCTGTATGGGATGGAGATTTCCAATTCAAATAGAAGGCCGGGATATTCCCCTGATAGCTTAATATTTTTGGAAGGAAATCCAGCATACATTTTGGGAATGAAAAGTTCTTTTGAAGGTGAATTTGTATGTTTTTTACTTGACTTTTTACAACACAATGATGAAATACCTCTATTTATATGCATGATACAAAAACAGAATGTTGAAAATGTATCAATTTTCAGGTACATAGGAAGACTCACAGAAGCTCTCCAAAAAATCAGCTAGACTACACAAGTTCTTCTTCTTCTTTTGGGTTTATTGGATTTCTGTCACTTTTCGGTAACAATTTATCCAGATCAGGTAATTAATTTTTTCAAGAATATATATGGTTATGTAATAATATTATCTCTCGACTCGAGCACTAAAGACACCGTAGTCCGTCACCATGCCCGGAAGCCGAGTTCATCAATGTCAAAGATTCTATCGTATGTGCTCATGCTGAGCACGTTTGATTTCAAGAATGGCCCCTTTATCCGGTGAATCCGTCACCATCCGGCCTCTATACCGGCGTAGAGATAAAAGGGCTTGATAATTTTCACAAACACGTATTAGACTTCACAATAAATATTGGATTTTAATCCAGATCAGGTAATTAGAAAAATTAAAATTATAGACTTGCACACACATTAACCTGAATTTTGACCTGGAGACGCCATGTGTCTCCTTCCATGGTCAAAAGGCGAATATCTTGAAAATTTTCAAACCAACACTACATAACTTGGTGAAATAACTATTATCGAATCCCGACGACTCACCTTGCCATGTTGATTATTTAGACAGTGACAGATTGACAAGTTCGTTTTCAATCGGCGTCTCAACTAGGGATGTAGAGGGTAGTTGGCTTCATTCTGACAGGTTATAAATGTAGTAGTTTTATTATTTATAACAAGTCAGAACAAAATAATTCCGACACCCATTTTACGGTCCTGGTTCGAGACACTCGTGACTTTCAGGGCTACTGGGCGGCTGCTAGTAGTTTCCAGATGAATGACGCATTCACGAACCAAGTTTTCTTCGGTGCAGGATTAATATAATCGACGGAAAAGAATTGTAACCAACTAGTAAACTCGCTTTGCTCGCATGTAGAAATATATCCATCAGTAAACGCCCTCATTTCAACACTATTTGGTTCAATACCTTTGACAAGTTCGTTTTCAATCGGCGCCTCGAAGTAGGGATGTAGAGGGTAGTTGGCTTCATTCTGACAGGTTATGAATGTAGTAGGTTTATGATTTATATTAGGTCAGAACAAAATGAAGCCGACACCAATGATATGGTCCTCGTTCGAGACACTCGTGACTTTCAGGGCTACTGGGCGGTTGTTGGTAGTTTCAAAATGAATGATGCATTCACGAACCAAGTTTTATTCGTTGTGGGATTGATATAGTCGACGAAAAAAATTTTAACCAACTCGTAAACTCGCTTTGCTCGCACGTTGAAGACTCACTTTGTGGCTGTCGTTAAGCACATGCAGGCCGAAGTTGCGCGGCCGCACCTCGCCGTGCGCGTTCAGCGGGCAGTCGGCGGCATTCTCCTCCGTCGGCACCCACATGTTGAACTCGGCCATCCAGTTCTGCAGAGTGTTGATGGGCATGATGCAGAGGACGGTGCGCGCGGGCGTGTGCCGCAGGAAGATGTCGGAGAAGGTGACGATTTGGAGGGTTTTGCCTGAAAAAAAAAAAAAAATTAAAATGAACATCTGGACTGGTTGTTGATAATTTGCATTCAATTACTTGACCTGAATAGGCGAGTGGACTATTTTTAATATTTTTTATATAGAATCATCACTCAAATACCTCTGAACTTCATATTTTTTAAGAATTTTTTTGTCGATTTTCAATTGCTAAAATCTTCAATAATGCCACGGTACTTTTCAAATGGCCAACGCAAACCATAGCACAGTTGCCATGTGCTAAAATACGATTAGGAACTTCATAAATAAAAGTTAATCGATAATTAATAAATACTCAATTGAGTTTTGGTAATACTCCAAATTAGCAACAAAAATTCAATTGTCTCAAAATGTTTCCACATGATTTGTGGCTTATTGCTTATAATAAATTTGTGTAAATAATAACTATATTAATTCATACTAAAGTCCTTGATAAGTGTGCTAAGTTTCATTTTAATTCGAAGTTTTGAAGTGGGTCAAAATCCCGTTACAAACATACACACCAAGCTGATAAAAGCATCTTTAAAAGTTAGTATGTAGAGTAGTTTGAGGAATAGTAAACTTTGGTGATGTGAAGTAAAGAAAATAAATTGAAGTAAACTATAGTGAAGGACTGAAGTAAAGCAAAGGTGAGTAATGTTATGCCATGAAAAAAGCTATGCCGCTCACGATATAGAACGATAGAACAGGAGAACATGAATCATGCGCATTCAGAACCTGTCATATATTTTACTCACTCTCATTAATATTTCCGAACACCAAGAAACATGACTTGATGTCATGAACGACAGTTTCGAAGTTCCTGCGCATTGAGCAGAAGCGTTTCCAGGCGAGCAATTTACCTGAGACTTTCGGGTTCCTGGGATATGATATATAGCGGTCTAGATATTGGTTATGTCAGTGATCCTATCGACGAAAAATTATTATTCCTCATTGGAAAACAACCAATGCATCTTTGCAGAAATTTCTCGGCACTCGGGTATAATTACACGCCTATCGGCAACACTGGATTACTAACATTCCATAGCGACAAACATGAGCATTTCAGCGGATATTTTATAATTTTGTCACGTGGGGTACGGGAATTAATGAAGGCACTGTACCAAGCGTGCTAAATAGTGGATAAAATAGAAATAATAATAGTGTATACAATTATGTGAAGTGAAGATTGAAAAAATTTGAGTAATCTAGTGACGAAATAGGAGTGAAGTGACAGTAAAATGGCCTACTATCACTCATTCTGAAGACCCTGATCAGGATAATGGAACAAAACCATTAAATTATGCTATTGTCATCGGTCCTCGATAAAACAAAAAAAAATAATAATAATTTTTATTATAGCAAATTTTTTTCAACAATATAAACATGTATCACACGATTTTCTTATAAGAATGTGCGTGTGCTACGTTTAATAATTATTAGAAACTGATTTTTACTATTTTACTTTTATCAACTACTACACAAGTGTGCGATGTTTTACTTCAATTCGACGTTTTGAAGTGGGTCAAAATCACGTTTGAAGATTCCGTTACAAACATACATACCAGGCTAATAAAATCGTGTAAAATAGTAAATAAAATAGTAGTATAATATAATAGTGAACTACAATGATGTGAAGTGAGAATTGAAAAAATTGAAGTAATCTAGTGAAGAAATAGGAGTAAAGTGGCAGTAAAATGGCCTACTCACCCAGCCCCATCGAATGCGCCAAGATGCATCCGAACCCCGGCGAACTCTCGAACCGGTCAATGCTCTCCACCAGATTATCGTACAAGAACCTCACACCCCCGATCTGATGAGGCTTAATAATCCTTGCGATCTGCGGCGCCACGAACACGTCCGGCTCCCCCTCCGGGTGCCCCACGTTGACCAGCACGCGGCCGAGGTCGTCCGGCCGGTTGAACTGGTCGTTGGTGTGCAGGCCCGAGTTGGTCGGGTCGTCGCCGTCGTCGTCGGCGTCGTCGCCGTCGGGTTCCGAGACGACGATGCAGTCGTCGTCGGAGGAGATGTCGATGGTCTGCACCGGCTGCTTGCCTGCAAGGGAACGGAACAATTCAAATAACCGTATTGAAAAGGAAAGGGAATACTCTCAGATATACAGGGTGTTCCTAAAGACATGCTAATATTCGAGGGGGTGATTCTTTGACTCATTTCAAGAAGAAAACTTCATATGGACATATGTCCTAAAAGTCTCAACTTTTGAGATACAGGGTGATGAAGTTTTGAAAAATATTCAGTTTTTTTATAATAACAGAGACAATATTGCATACATCTTCATGAAATTTGGTACATGTCTTTTATGCATCAAGGTGCATGTTCTGATGTAAAAAAATTTCATACAAGGTCATAGAAGGCAACTTAATTATGTACAAAAAAGACCCACATAATATCATTCTGAATATTCAACAAAAAACAACTACTTTCCTGGCTATTTGCCACGTCGAATATTGAATTATATCTGTTGAATATCCAAAAAGAGAGCATGAAAAATCAAAATCCTCTGAAATTGAAAATTAAGTCAAATAACCGTGACTTTGATATGGCTGCATATCCAGAAAGTATTATGTATTTTTGGCATGTTTAAATAAAATGTTAGTAATTCATACTTTTGAATGATCCTCAAGGGTGGTTAATAATGCTGAATTTTCAACTACCTTCAAATTAAATATCAGTAGATAGTGAATCAAAAGTTAAGATGAGGACGTGTGCCGTTCTGACCAATAATTAATAGTTTCGACACAAAAAAATCCCAAAGATAAAAAAATCTTGATTTTGAACACCCTATATCTCTGTAATCATTCCCGCTAGATCCCGGGTGTGATGTATTGATGGAATCAGCTCACAAAGGAGAATCCGAAAATGCAATAAAATACAGGGTTTCCAATAATAAAAAGTATAGCTTCGATACGCCACCCGACAGCTGGCAAAAGTGACAACAAAAAAGCATTATCGTTAATAACATAATGTGGAAACAAAATCACACTCCAAGAACCTCTGGAAAACGGCTATATAATCGATAATTTGATAGGTTGATTTGAAAAAGGGTACCTATAATAATTAACCGGCTGAATGATCGATAATTTGATAGGTTCATTTGAGAAAGAGTACCTATAATAATTTACCCATAGTGTCAGAAACAGGAACTTATAATTGGAAACTTCAATATTCATGTTGGAATGAAAAATCTATATTGATTGTAGGTAGATCAATGTGGCAAGACTGCAGAAAATCATAGAGAATGAATTCTATGCATGGCAGAAAATATGTAGTAATTTTTTATCGTTTGTGTTTATCATGTTTTCCGGCATTTGTGTATTTGGTATACCTTGTTTTAGTGAACTGTTGAGTGACTGTCTCAGCTCTCGGCTTTTTGTGACAACACAACCTCGAACTACAATCTAATATTTGTTTCCTTGTATAATAATGCCATGTCATTATTGCACTAATACATGTGCCCCCGATTCCTGTTATTCCCACCATTAGAAATTTCATTAATTCATGTTGGAGTTTAGGACTTTTGGCATAGTTTCAGGGTTTCCAACATTGAACTAACATGGTATAATGCCACCTTCAAACAAATATACAGGTTAGAACATTTTGAACATATTTAACCATATATACTACTACACAGGGTGTTACGCATTTCGAAATATCGTTGTTTTTCCGAATTTTACCGAATTTGATAAATAAGTTATAATAAAAGTTATGTCGAACATTTCAATATGAATTCCATTGATATTGAACACTTAATGAGATCTAGAAGAAGAAGAAAAAGAGGAAAATATTTACTGTACTGAAAACCAAAAGTTTTTGTTGACAAAGCATGTGTATAATGAGCTATAACTAATATTAAAACTATAAAATCATGTAAAATATGCTCATATATAAGGAACAAAACATTCAAGTAGAACATACACTAGTAAAAGTTACTCTATAAAAAGAAGATATTGAACAACTAAAAAACGAATTAAAAAACTGACTAGCTTAATTAAATGCGTCTTCATAAAATTCTTGCAAGGTATAAGGCTTTATTCAATAGTAGCTCTCTGAATGTCTTTCCAAACTTGATATGTGTTAACAATGAACGAATATGTGAACGCAGGTGATTAAACATTTTTTTGGCATTATACATTTTTTCATTCATGTACTCCTAGAAGTTAGTAGGGAAACCGTACAGTCAACATTCTTCGTGTTGTATACCGACATCGAATGAATGTTCGTGGTATATTTTTTGTGAATCATACATACACTCTCTAGAATGAAGATGCAAGTCAATGTCAGTAGTTTCTGTGCCACAAATAAAGGTTGACATGGTTCTCTGGATTTACCTTCACTAAGGTATCTTACCACCCTCTTTTGTAAAATGAACACAGAGTTCAATAGAAATTGAGAACTATTCCCCCAAAAACAAACTCCATATCTCAAAATTGAGTCAATCAGGGCAAAATAGACTGATCTTGCTACAGATATATCCAATTCAGATGAGATCTCTAACTGCAAAACAACCAGAAGATAACTTTTTGCATAAATTTGTAATGTGGGTGTTGAATGAGAGACAGTCTTCCACATGGAGTCCTAAAAACTTAGCCGATGATTGAGTACAAATTCTAGAGTATCATTAAGAGTGCACTTGAACGTCAAAATAGAAATATTGAATGGTAATTTATTTGCATCACACCAATTCTTTACTTCCAATATGTCCTCAGCTACATAGCTAAATGTTATAAAAAAATAATCTCTTGTTTGAATTTTCAAAATGCTTTTCTGTAATATCCAACTTCAAATTGATAAGCAATAATTTCTCGAAAAGTGTAACACTGTGTTAAATATGTTCAAAATCACATTACCTTACGTCGGTGAACCAAACACCATGTATAATGATCGACGATAAAATAGAACTCACCTCTTGGCCTCGGACCCTGCGGTGGCGGGAAACCTATCTTCCTATCATCCTCACTGTCGCTATCGCTGTGTCTCCGGTGGGCAGTTGGTGGATACATCATCTTTTTCGAAACCGGAGCAATACTCACAGAAGGTGTTAGTTCAGCACCAATAGCCTTGAGACAGACAACATACATTAGAATAGAATTGAATAGAGACATTGCATAGTATGCATGTATTCAGAGAACTAAATATAAAAATTTAGAGAGTTGGTATGGGTGCATTTATTTGTCCCAACTGTCAGCAGATCGAGAGCAGCTGTTTCGCTCTTGCTGTCAATTAGGACAATTCTATTTATCTTAAATAACCTAGTACCTCTTATAGTTCTTTTATTAAAGATCACTATAATTGAGACAGTAGAGACGATAAAGACGATACGAACTTTACAGCTCACATAATTATTAACTCAACTGGACTAACCTAGCTGTGAATCTTTAAAAGTTTAAATGCAAACAATAAGTGTCTTAAATTATTTTATGTTACAGGCGCTTTCCAACATGGAAAACTAATATACTTTTTTTGTTCACATGTAGTATAAATCATGTTGTGTGCACTGACATAAGTACTATCTATTCTAGACCACTGTGTGTCACATCTCAGCAACCCGAAAAAATAAAGTAAATTGTTCGCCTGAAAACGCTTCTGCTCAATGCGCAGACACTCACGAACTGTCGTCCATCGCAGTGAGTAATGTTTTATGATGTTCGGAAACATGAGTAAGAGTGAGTAAGATAATGTGACAGGTCCTAAATGTGCATGATTCATGTTCTCCATTTCGATCTCGTGAGTGGCTAACCTTCTTTCTTATTGCATTAGCGGTCTGGATAGTAAGTAATGTCAGTGGTTGTATGTGATTAAATTATTTTCACATATTCACAATTTTGGTGAATGATAGGGGGACAAAAATAAATGAAAGAATTCAAAAAAATATACCTTCTTGGCAGCCAACAGGCTCCTGTTATTTCTTGGAGGAGCCCCCATAGATGACGGTGGACCAGCAGCATTCTTGGGTATACGAACAAGTTCAAATGGTCTTTTTGGAATACGGGTCATTGGTTTCGTCTGTCCATTTGGCAACTTGACAAGAACAGTGTTACCAATTCGAGTTTGTGATGAAGGACCTGAAATAATTCATAGCTTTGTTCACTAATAATTATTATGAGAAAAACTGTGTTTCACATTGTTTCTTCAAAGAAACCTCATATGCAATCAAAACTATTGGAATTTTCATTCGCGGTCGCCAAGGTCATTAGATGACTTTGCGATGACATTCAAAACTACGGAAACACATCCTAATTCATGGCATAGATTGAAAGTAAGACATGTTTTTCCGTAGTTTTTAATGTCATCGCTACGTCATCTAGGGAATGCCATCAGACATTATGCCTAAAACTACCAACCTTCACACGTCCTACACTGTGGTCTTCCCTGAAAGAGAATAATGGGTTCGAAAGGAAACTAACCTATGTAGGGCAAATGAATGTTGGTATACCGATGGCTCCAAAACAACTTTCGAAGGCTTCGGAGCCGGAATATACGGGATGAACCCAGAAGTGAAACGCTCATTCAGTATGAGTAAACTAGCTTGGATATTCCAGGCAGAGGTATACGCCATTGAAATATGTGCAAGGGAGCTGAAAAATCGACACCACAGAAGAAAAAGAATAAAGATATTCTCAGATAGTCAAGCAGCACTGAAAGCACTTGAATCCAACTGCATTAAATCCAGAGCAGTATGGAACTGCCGAGAAACCTCAAACCGCCTGGCACAACGCAATAACGTCAATCTAGTCTGGATACCAGGTCACACGGGCCTAGAAGGGAACGAAATAGCGGACGTCCCAGCAAAAAGGGGGCCGAAACATCGTTCACTGGGCCAGAACCGGTAATCGGTATAGCACATAGCACTGCCAAGAATGTTATAACATCGAGGGCCGACAACAAAAGACTCGAGTATTGGCGTAGCCTACCGGGCCTAGCCCATTCTAAAGCATTCATTGCTTTTACAAAGAACAAACAGGACTCTGACAAACTACTAGAACTCAGTAGAGCACATCTCAAAGTTATAGTAGGTTTGCGCACTGACCACTGCAAACTCAAACACCACATGCACAAAATCGGACTTGCACAAGATGCAGAGTGCCATCTATGCATGGAGGATGGAACGCCTAAACACATTTTATGTACATGCCCTGCAGCGGCCAGAATCAGATTTTCAACATTTGGCAATACAACAGTAGGGCCAGAAAAACTGATAAACTGTTCTTCCAACGTACTCCATAATTTCGCCAAGAGAATAGATATACTGGGAGAAATATAACCATAGGGTGCCACAATAGGCCATTGGCCGCAGTGGAGGGCCTGACATGGGCCCACTCACGGTTAAACCTAACCTAACCTAAACTACGTCATCTAATGACCTTGGCGACCGCGAATAGAACTGAGGGGGTAAATTTATGAAAAGAGTTTATGCAAGAGTTTAAATCCTAAGGCTGTTGAATTCCAAGTGTTTATATTTTACTACAATGTAAGTTCTCAGGCATCATCAATAGAAAGGGACGGAAAAGAAATAAGGTAATTTTGGTATTTCTTGAGACACCCTGTGGACATACAACATACACCAAGTGGTTGATTTCAAAGGGAGTTTCTAAAAACATCGAGAATACCTGACTACATTTTTGTCTCTGACTATGAGACAAATCGTTTCAAAACGAGTATAGGTCAGTTGTATTCCTAAAGAATGAAGCTACAATTTATAAAAAATAATATCGAAATCGAGCAAAGGGTTCAAGATGAAAAGAATGCAGAACTTGTTTAATTACCTACTTTTATTCTGGTGAATTGTTAATTGTGGAGGGATTAATTAGTATCATTGATGTGAATCAGACTATTTTGTGAATATATATGGCTATCTAATCTGTGAAAGTTTGTAACAAAATAGCCTAACCTGACTTTTCACTGGTATGTAGAAATGTGGGCGCTTGCTTTTATTGATAAAGAACGACACTGAAATATAGAAATTACAAAATAGCTCTACTAAAACTATCGTACCACACCGAATTGAATTAATCTTTCATCCAGTCCAGAAGATGATTAAATTAATTCGGTAGTCAAGGTCATCATCTGACGTGATGACATAAAAACTACGGAAAAACATTCCTAACTCCTGGCTTAGGCGGAAAGTTAGACATGTTTTCCCGAAGTTTTCATGTCATCGCAACGTCAGATGATGACAAAATGTCAAGTCATCCTGCCAGTATCGTTTTGTAGAAAGCACAACATATTATCTTCTTCAGAGACAAGTTGACGATGCAATATCTTGTCACAAACACATGTAAATTTAGAACTTACATTGGAAAAACTCAATAGTCTGAAAAATCTTTGTTGTAAGGTACATTTTCAAGTGAAAGTTGCTCAACACTTCTGTAATTATGTCGATTTGCATCTTATTGTACAATTTGACTGCATTATGCACCAATGAGTTCCTAATTCGGCTGGTGAATGGAATCGGGAGTTGGCAATATAATCCTGCTATTCTGACGGGTGACACCCTCATCGATTCTATAGAGACATGATTATGTTGTCTCACTGGGCAAAAAGTCCCAAGAATAAATATAGCAGAGTGAGTATGTTATTCTGTTTGAATAATAACTGGCACGGATGTCTTGGGCCCACTTTACATACATAGTGTATAACTCGTTTTTGTAATATAAAAAAATTATTGACTGCTCATTGCTGTAGGTAGGGTCCCTTGATGGAAATTGACGTTAAAGTCATCTTAACAGGGTACGGACAGATCCTCGTCTCCTCTCACTCTAAAGTGTTTGTGAAACAGTTATATAGTTCCATCCTTATTCAATTCTAGGGAAAAACACTAGATTTTTGACATTCGTTGTTTTTTAGGTTATATTGAGGTCACTGGCGTATCATACGTAATTTCCATATGGAATTCCCGATTCAACTATACCAAGATATAGATGAACAGTCCTCTAGATTTAGAGTTTACTACTCCAGCATAATCTTTGCGAGGTAGGGAACATATAAATTGTACTGAAAGCTTAATATATTTCACTAAGAGAGACTGTTCTTAGACTGTATACTAGGGTTGACTGAATTGACTGAATGAATTCTGATTTCATGCTGAGCAGAAGTTTATCTATCAGCTTAATGAGCTGAGCCTTATGATTGAGAAATGATGGAAACCTAAACTACTGTACTTATTCATGTGTGCTCAATATATTTTTGGAAATCCAGCTCGGTGAAGAATTTATGGAGTGACTAATATCACGTATATCATGTATAAAACTTTGTCTAGGAAGTAGGCTGATAAAAAGTAATACGTAAAATATGCAGGAAAATAAAGAATAGAATATACTTTACCCCCATGTTATACATATGATTGATAAAAGTAACAAAGATGTAGGTATACGCAGTATAACTTATAGACACGTTATTTTCACTCTTGCATCCTACATATTTTCTATTTGTGGTAGAGTAATAATTATATGAACAAATGTCTTTCGTTATATTGGATCCGTCATTTTGAATTTTCAAATTTTGACGAAACACCGGAAACCCCCAGATGCCAATTTTGAATAGAACCGAATCTTCATTATAAAATTCATCCACCATAATGGATTCGCCATCTTGAATATCCCATTTCTGACGAAACAATTATAATCTCCGACCCCGGGAATTCCCAGATACCAATTTTGATTTTTGAATTGAATATCGGATCATAATCACAAAATTCGTTCGCCATATTGGATCCGCTATCTTGAATTTGCTTGTCTTGACAAAAAATCATAAAGTTCGACCCCGAAAACCCTCAGGTACCAATCTTAAATAGAATCAGATCATAATCAGCTTTCGCTATTCAGGCTGATTCACGGTGGCAGCGCTGATAATATTTCAGGTCGATAGAACACAACTAATTTTTCAAGGCACCAACCATTGTCGTTCTAGATGACAACCTAGTTAGGTAGTTAGTAGGCAGGAGGTCGCCAACTAGGTTTTCATTTAGATCGACAATGCACCAACTCTTCAGAATAATCCTGACTTGCGTTCTCCAGAAACGACTAATGTGCCATCCACCGTGAATCAGCTTCTGTATATTGGATCCGTCATCTTGAATTTTCCAAGTTTGACGAAACAATCATTATCTCCAGCCCCGGAAAACCCCAAATACCTTCCAATTTTGAATAGAATCGGACCCTAATTACAAAACTCGTTCGCCATATGATCTTCAACAAGTAAATACCCTGTACATACCCATTATTAAAATTTTGAATGATTTTCTATAGCGCCCATGGATGTGACGTGACAGCAATGTCAGGGATGCCAGTAGACAAAACTAAAGTCTCTAGATCATTGAAAAAGAATGCAGCTATGATCTGTCCGTACCCTGTTGAGATGACTTTAACGTCAATTTTCATCAAGGGACCCTAGCTGTAGGTACCCCAGAATGATATACCTTATATCATGTAGGTTTCAATCAATGCATAATACACCATTTTTGAAGTTGACACCCCTAGTTACTCTGCCACTACTTGCAGTGTGAAGCATCCTGAGGCTAATTTACTACTTAACTTATTGAAATGATCTTCAAGTTCAATAGAGCAGTTCAGAGAACAAAATGTCTTCCCCGTCTGTTCTTGTCGTAAAATAATGGAGATTTCAAGTTAGTAACATTGTAAATGGAAAAACATGGAGGTGATTATATCAACTTCAATACAAAATGGTTAGAATGGTCTTCATCTCCATTTCTTCTCATTTCCAGTTTGGCCAACATAAAATTTGCATTATTTTATGTTGGAACACTGGAGATAATGACAGATGGGGAAGACATTTTTTCTCTCTCAACGCTAGCTGTACTGCTCTAATTAGAATCTATCTGAACTCCTGAGTCCATAATAAACATAAAAGAACACTAGTTAGTGCAAGCACGAACTAGTCATGAATTTTTATAATACAATAATTTCTTGTTTTTTTTTTTCACTAAATGTGTTCACTATTTCCTGTATTTCCTGTATATAAAAACAGAATGATAATATATTGTATTGTAAATATGGCTGAAAGACCTTTTGGAATTGGTTTCTTTAAAGTGATCACACATAACAGAAATAATCTGAGTATTCCACAACATTCAACTTTTTTCCAAAACAATACACATTATATAGCAATAAATGCCTCAAACGAATTACCAACAGAAATTGAGATATTTATCCAACATTTGACAGTTATGACTGTCATTATTAATGTCATTTTAGACAAGTGAACTATAAAATAACACACTAGTGTGTTATAATCCATAACTCACTCACGTTCATATTTAAAGTAGTATTCTATTCATTTATTACTATTACAAGCAGGATTTACATTCATATTGAAATTAAAGAAAAACGCTAATGGTTTATTCGAATTTGACGTAATTGTAAAATTCGTTGATTCATTGGAACCAGATGGTTCCATATCTGTACAGCTGCTGATAGTGCTGGAAGATGCCGACACATTAGAACCTTGTATTTTTTCTGCAATTTGTATTTCGTTATGCACCGATTCTTATAGGTATCCATCTGCTACCGTCGAGGACTTCCATCCTCAGTGACACTGCATTGGCCAAAAGAGTCGCCGAAGATCTTCTCAGGCAGTGACCGGTGTAAAGCGCTGGTTCTTTCAAGTTCAAAAATTTGCAATTCTTGAAGGTATCCTCGACAACGTATTCATTCCCACACACTGGCTGGTACACCTCCCATTTTTGTAAAAAACAAAAAAGCGGTTAGAACTAGTATTCTTTGGTCTCGAAAGACATGTATTTTTTACACAAATTGCTGGGGTTGACTGGAAATTCTTCTTCAAGTATGGTGCAACTACTCGATTTCTTGGTTTTAGTGTCTGGCAAAACTATGTGAAAATATTTCCCATTGTCTTGAATATTTTCTATTTTCAAATTGACCAATTTATCGCATCTACAAGCACCGCTAATCCCTATTATCAAAGCCACTTTCATCAACAAGAACTCGTCATCGAGAGCTTAGTTCAAAAAGTTCTCTATTTCAGGTCGTTCTAATGTCTTGGACTTCTTTGGTTTGTATCCCTGTGATTTGCTTATCAAAATGCTCGTTAGTTTACCATATTTTGAAATGTCCATTGTTTTATAAAGGTGAATAGTCCAGCAAAGCATCGAGTATTTGGTCCATAACGACGATGGGGCTAATTTTTTTTGCAAATGTAAAAATTAAGCCAATAGAACATTTTCATCAACACCTTTTATCTTCCGTGAATTCATCCAAGACTCAAACATTTTGAACTCCTTGTCGTAAGCATCTTCCGCATCCGTAAGGATATCCTCAAGAACGTAATTTTCATCGGTTTCCTCCATTTTCTATACGTTTTTTTTTTTTCCTCCAAAAAAGTTTCCCTTTTCTGCAGGGAAAACTGACAAGTGTCAAAATTTATTTGAACATTTGCTAACAATAGTTGCGTTTTATTTGTCCCATTCTGGTAGCGGTGGTGGGAACAGAATGACGTTTACAAATAAAATGAGAAACTTCATAACCTTGCTTGAGAGAATTTACATAAGAGGTTTCATTTGTATATGGCAGTTCCAAATAATTTTAAAAGCATAATACTAGAGTTGAGAATCTAGAAAATGAATACACTAATATTTGGAGCAGTGATTGTGGTGATTGCCTGACGGCCTTGTGGTATAAATATTTTTTTCACGTGACTTATTTTCAACATAGCACACTAGTACCATAAATAAAAATATTATTATAAGTATAATTAACTAAACGGTGTCCCATCTATTTTGTACCCTCAAATGATAGCCCACCTGGTTTGGAGAACTGGTTGCCCTGCAGCATCGATATCACCTTGTGCTGCATCCGCTCCTGCGCCGCCTGCCGCTGCAGCTCCCGCAGCAGCCGCTGTTGCTCCTGCACGCGCCGCAGCCGCTCCGCCTCCAGCCGCTGGGCGGCCAGCGTCGACTCGTCCAGCTTCGTCTCGTCCATGACCTCGCGGATGTTGCGCCGCAGCGCGATGCCCTTGGGCAGGCCGGGTATCTCCTCGCCATCGGAACCTGAACAACAACAAAAATGAGAACAGAAATAGGGATAACAGGCCGGAGGAATTAATCACGTGGGAAGTTTGGTGTACAGGCTCGAGGAAATTTGGGGAAGTTACAGGAGGTTTGAGGTAGTCTAAGGAAATTCAGGGAAGTTTAAGGAAATTCAGGGAAGTTTGAGGAAATTCGAGGAATTCCATGGAAGTTCTTTAAAGATTGGGGAAGTTCGAGGAAATGTGGGCAATTGGATGTTCCAGGAAGTCCCGGGAAGTTTGAGGAAGTTCTTTGGGGAAGTTCTCGGAAGTCCAGGGAAGTTCGAGGAAGTTTAGTATTTTCGAGAAAGTCTGGGGTACTTCGGGGAACATCTATGAAGCATGAGGAAGTCCGGGGAAGTTCGAGGCAGATTCATTTCATGAGTTATTTTCATCATGAAAAGAATCTCAGAAAATGATCTGAAATTTTCACCAAAAATGTCAGTCTATTTGTTGTTATCAACGTTCTTGATTTCGCATTTGAGAGTTTGACTGACTATGGGGAAGTCTCCAACATTGAGATATTTATCTCACTGTGAAGTTTGTAAAAAAATAATATATACGTATTTTTTCTTTCCTTCGTAAGATCCAATTTCACTTCAGAAAAAAATAAGTAAAAGAGGAACTTGGTTCCTCCACCATTTCTATGACTTACTTTCTGAAAATCCACATTCACACAGAGTTAAAATACGATTCCCTGTGCCAGTACGACGTTGTCGACATCATCAATATATCTAGATTTCCGGAAATTGTTCTTTGAATGCATAATAACTATATCATAACAGCAATGGGATATAATAGGTTTTTCAATCTTACTTTGTCAAGTATTATAAATAATTTCCATGAATCTTTCATTGGCTGAATGAAGTTGATTACTAATAAGAATGAATCATGATATTTTGCGATAGTATCTATAATTTCTCACTATCGTTATATTACAATATGTTATTCATAACTTGTCAGTCATTTTTTTGCTAATGAATTCGTTCCTTAATAAAACTGATCTATTTTCATCGAGTCCGTCCACACCACTCAAAATACTGAGAGGCACAACAAGAGGAAGGAACCACGGCTTCATTCTGTCCCAACCGATGACAGTAAATTAGGAAGGATAGTATCATTGAATATAGCCGACAGTGATTCATTCATTTAATGATATTTTCGTTTAGGATCGAGCTCTCTTGGAGATATTTCAATGCATAAATAACAAAACCATAACCTGTCAGAATGAAGCCAGCTACCTTCTGCATTCCTGCTCCGAGTGCATTTGTGGTTATGTATGATTTTGTTCACCAGTTTTACTTCTTCTATTTTTTTCATTCGTTTTTCATTCGTTAGCTAAATTCTTCACCATCAGCTATTTTAAGACTAGATTCAGAATGTACGTCACAGTTTGCCGCCCCGAAATTTAGAAATTGGTTTAATTTGAGAATGAAAACGACTGGGACTTTTTCGGTAGCCATTCTGTACAGCGTGGACATAAAACTGGAGAGTTCCGAACTTATTTTATGAAAATTCATCTGAAGGAAATTTTCCCATTTCCGATCTAAATGGAAAAGCTGGTTAGTAGGCGACTACTAACTAGCTTTTTCATTAAGATCGCCAATGGACTGACTGACTAGAACGCAAAATAATGAACATTTATTTTTGCTATGCTTTCTGGAAGATTTGGAATGATAATTATCATAATGCTAAGTCGGATTCATAAATTTTTCTGTTGAATTTGAAAAATCGAGCTATTCTTTGAAGACATCAGACGACATTTTCAGCCATTTCCCGTGATCATTTGAAACCATTTATATTTTTCATCAATTCTGTACGGTACTGGTAGATGGTTACCGAGGTACAGGGTGATTCACCATAAATGTCCCCCCCTCTAGCTCAGTTATTTTTGAACCGATTCTGAAATTTGAAATATCATCTTGAATGATTTTCGATAAAGTTTTTTTCCGCTAGATCAGAAAATACAGGGTGCTCGGAACAAACGATCTACAGGGTACTATTTGATTTTATTAAATGGAACACCCTATTTTTCATTGTATTTTTAGATTCTCCCTGAAGAGCTAATTTGATCAATGTATCACACTTGGCGTCTAGCGGAACTGATTACAGAGATATAGGGTGTTCAAAATCGAGATTTTTAACTTTAGGATTTTTTTTGTGACGAATCTATTCATTATCGGTCACGCGGTTTTCATGTCCGTATCTTAACTTTTGATTTACTATCGACTGACATTTAATAATTTGGACAGATACAGGGTGACCAGAATTCTGAATCTTGAACCACCCTGTAAATGTTCCAATTAAATTTCACTAGATAGTAAATCGAAAGTTGGGATGGGAACATAGAAGCCGTTTTGACCAATAATGAATAGTTTCGGCACAAAAAAATCCTAAAGTTGAAAAATCTCGATTTTGAACACCCTATATCTCTGTAATTCCCGCTAAACCCCATGTGTGATACATTAATGAAATCAGCTCTTCAGGAAGAATCTAAAAATACAATAAAATACAGGGTGTTCCATTTTAAAAAATCAATTAGTACTCTGTAGATCGTTTGTTCCGAACACCCTGTATTTACTGATGCAACGGGAAAAAAATTTCAGAAAAATCATTTTAGATCATCTTTCAAATTTTTAAAACGGTTCAAAAATAAGTGAGCTAGAGGGAGGACATTTATGGTGAATCACCCTGTACAATCACCGGCATTTTATATTCGCACTATCAGTTCATGATTAAGTGTAGATGAATAACTCATTTTTGACGTTATTACTCTCAATAATCAATCATTTCATCGATACTATACAGTGTGTCCAAGATAAGGATGTCTATCATGGAGTAAAGTTGATGATGGGTTCTCCGAAACGAAACGTCGTAAGGAAAATCTCTCGACGCTGTTTTGTAGAGCTTAGAAAGTGGAAAAGAGAAAGTGTCTCCTGTTTTTCTATATCTCTTTAAATAGCGTCAGAAAAAAATTATAACGATTCCCATGATACACAATGTATACTAGAAAAATAACTTTTAAAATCAAAAGATAATTTCTAAATTCTACGGAAGGTCAGGAAGTTTGGGGAAGTCTGAGGAAGTTCGGGGAAGTTCGAGGAGGTTCGGGAATTTTTGTCCAATGGGAAGTTTGGTGTACAAGTTTTTGGGCCGTGATTGACTCGTCGGGAAATACCCTGTTTTTGGTAATGGATATATAGACAATTAGAGCCTAGCCATAGCACCACTATACGGAAAATATTGCCACGCTGACAAGTCAAGAGCCTATAAAATTGTTTTGTAGTTTGTATAGCCGGAAGCGTGGTGGTCATTAGAGTAGTGTTCCTTTCTCCGAACGAAAAGACCAGGGTTTGATTCCTAATCCAGCTAATCTTTTTTTCATAATTTTTTCGAAGTAATTGATCGAAAAAATACTATGGAGGCATTTATTGGTTAGGCCGATAGTGATTCGATATTTCAAATATGTTTCTTCTCTATGGTGCTATGGCTAGACTCTAGTTATAGAAAAAGTTATACAGATCTTTTGCCCAATCCGAAGCCCAATCGATACATATACGGATGGCAACATAGCCAGAGAGAAAAATTCGGTCGGCTATCATACATCTTCCTAAGTGTTGCCAGGTCGAGAATGAGATGTGGTAAACATAAAGAAGCGATAGATTTAAATATAAAACACTAAAACAGTAGAGATATAGTTGCAGTTTTTGGAAACTACCAATAGTTTACTAGTAACGTAATTAGGTTAGGTGAGTAATTAACAGAAGTAAAATACAATTATAATTATCATTCTTGTATGAACCCACTTGAAATCATGAGGCTTCAAAAAATATATCTGGAAAAAACATTCACAGTGAAATTGTGTGGTATCCAAGAATCTTGGATGCTCACCGATTACCGACGTTTCCTAGGGGATTCACCGACATTCAAAACGTGATAGGAAATCCGCAGTCGGGAAGTCGGCGATGGAACAACTTCATTAATCTGCTGGCTTAAAGGTCAAGAATTGTAGTCTTAAATTAGCCTCAAATTATGATATGATTTGTTTTATGATTGAACTTTTTTGATTTTCTATTGTTTTGTCATGTTCATGCTTGATTTTCTAAAATGTTTGTGAAAAATGATCAACAAAAAATGTCATGATAGGCTCAACAAAGAGCCTTAAAATAGCATTAAATTATGGTATACTCAATATTACTTCTTTTTGAGATTTGGTTCTGCTAACTTGAAGGTTAAGCAAAACCCATGAATATAAAAAACAATGTGCGAAAAAATCGGCAGTAGGCTAGGATCGGAGCCTCGAATTAGCCTTGAATTATGGTATAATTCGTTTTGTGATTGAATTTTTATTTACAAAGTGGTTCCTCTAGCTAAACGTCAACCTAGCAGAGCCCATGTATTTTTACATGAATCAAAGAGCAATAAATTCGGCAATGGGGAAATAAATTACCCTCAAATCATGGCCGAAGAGAAAAATTGCAAAATCCAAAGTGGTTAATGGAGGTTGATGGAACTTGTACTGTGGTTACTGCAATAGAAATTTTGATATTTTTGTAATAATTATTTTGATAATTAATAAAATTCAATGAAAAGGTTTATTCAGGTATGAATAAATTTACGTGTGAATGAACATTTCAGCAGTAGTTATTGAGGCTCTGCGGTAAAGTGGTAGTCGATGCGGTAGTTCACAGTACAAAACCGGTAGACCTAGCGCCAAAACAATAGACCTGGCAACACTGGCCAACACAGTGAAACAGCCGCATTTCTCGTAGAGTTGCCAAATGACAAAATATGTAACGATTCCATACACTATCTGCATATATCTCATAAGGGAAAACTTTCATGACTGTTCGATTCTACAGGGTGCTTCATTCCAATCGAGATAGGCGATAGTAGTCGCAAGAATAAAAATTGAAGTTCATAATATAAACTTGGAAATGGAAAAAGACATTTCTTTCAAGAACAAATAACACAAAAGCCGTTAGAGCTGGAAAATTTAAAAATGTGGAGAAAAATAGTATCCAATATTCATTAAACAAAGAAGATATAATGTAACTGAGGTAACAGAGTACTACTGGAGAAAATTCATGTTCAGCCAAACTATCTATTTCTGATGAATCTCCTGAAACAGGTCGATTTTGTATCTGGATTTGTCACATTTATAATGGATTACAGGGTGGTCCACGTATGAGGAATGACGTCTGTGACATTTTCAAAAATAGAACACCTTCTACTATTCCATTATTTCTTGAATCTCCATGGAAAGCAGAATTTAAAGATAGATCATACATTCTGTTTGTATATGTATAGTGTGTCTGTTGAATTAGGTGCTCTCTTAGAGAAGTGGATAAATTCGTGAAAAATCAGAGAAATAATATTTGGAAAGAATGCTCCAAGCCTCGCTAGAAGCCGTGGAGTTGTATTTGTATTTGGACATTCTTTCAAATTCAATCAATACAGATACAGCATGTCTCACTTGAACTACTACTACTACAAGTACTACTACTTCTATTGATTGATTTTGAAAGAATGCCCAACTGAAAATGAAATTCGACGGCTTCAAGCGTTCTTTCCAAAAATTTCTCCTTATTTTTTTTGCAGGAATTGATCCACCACTCAATGAGAACACTAATTTAACTGACGCACTATTTATAAACTCTATGTGTATGATATATTTTTGAAGTCAGCTTTCCATGGAGATTCCAAGATTGAAAAATATAGATATAGGTTGTTCTCTTTGAAAATATTGTCGTGGTCATTACTCAGAAGTGGATCACCCTGAATATTTAATTTTCCTCCTATAAATGTGGCAAATTGATACTGGGAATGGACCTTTTTTTCAGGAGATTTTACAGTAATAAATAGTTTGGCTAAAAATCAAATCAGGTATGTTTTTTCCTCAATATGTTCTATTATTTGTGTAAACCAATATCTTTACAGGTACGGTATATTGTGTCAGAAGATGGCTGTTTGAGCCGAAACTAGTCACAAAAAGTCAAACTTTTGTAATTAAACTTTGTGGTCGACCCACTTAGTGTTTTGTTTTTTTCTTTGAAAAAAATCTGGACCACTTTGAGAAGGATGGATGGTTTCCATGACTTAAAAATTAAATTATTCAGCACCTACTTTAGGAGAGCACTGTATGTTGAAACATTAATATGATTATGTATCTATAATCAGTGGTTTGTGAAGCCTCTGGCTTAAAATTGTGTAGCAAGTTTCTATATTATGCTATCTCTAGACCAGAACAATTTTAATCAAGGATATCACTCCAGACAGGGAAGCATCCTGTTTTATATTTTTCAAACTTAGTTGGAAAATGTCATCTGAGGTCAATTATCACATAACTCATGATAATTTTGGTAAACCAATGCTGGTTAAATGATGGCTTCATAGGTAAGAAATATCACAAGGAATACTACACACATTGAATGAAAGAATATGAAGGGGCTAATTAGGTGCCTGCTTTGTGAAGATGGAGCTGCTGTGTTGGGCGCATTCTATATACAACCTTGCTACTTTATTTACATCAAATTTTAGATCATTTTCATTATATCAATCATAAAACTGAGTTTTCTCTTTCAATCATTAAATGATACCCCTTGTGGTGTATATGTATGTAATCTCCAGTAATATTGTTTCCTGTATTTTTATTTAAAATTATCCAGTGATTAGTTCTTTCAGATAAAAAAATAGCTTTGCCCTATATGCTAACTTAATAACTGGTATGGTTCACTTTGACCTCGACTTTGACCTCATTTTTGACCAAATAAATTTATGACTCAATCTCTCAATTTTTTTCAAAAATAGGAGGTCAAGGAGTGGTAAAATGATGGGTGATAAATCATTAATCTCTTTGAAGCATGTTTCAACTTTTTTATGAAAAATGTATCTAACAAGATATTTTAGCTTGTAACCATGACAATTTTTTTCATTAATAGACACAAAGAAGAGGTAAAATGATGTGATAAAATCAGAAATTAATCTACTGGTAGGTAGGATCAGAAGTCATTGGGACTTATCAACTGAATATTTCCTCAAAAAGATATTTTATGACGTTTTATGATATTATCATCACAGTCACCACCATTTTACCAAAGACAACCCCAACTTCCCATACTGCAGAGTATAGTGTCATTTGATAGACTGATTTTTTTTGTATATACCATACCAAGTCCTGTCAAGCTGAGTGTTCCATGAACTATGAATGCAAAAATTGTATAGTTCAAATGAGATCTAGGAAATGTCCCTCACAATTTTTTTTGCTTTGTTTCATGTCAGGTTACTTGTCATCTGAATGCTGAAAAACATACTCTTCCAAATAGCTCCATAGGAAAATAATAATTAAAACTCATTGTTGATATCTCAGATCTCTGCAGATATCTTGGTAAGTATAATTACATTCCTGAATGTTATTTTTTCGTCTCTTTAAAGAACATCTTGTGTACCTAGGAAAGATAAAGCACGGAGGTTGGTAGACAGAGAATTCCAAAGCTTTTTCCCATTCTCTAGATGAATGAGTTTTGGTAGCTTTGCCATCTATAAATCAGGGATGCACAAACCACTGCGGGGGGACTGCATGTGGCCTACTGTTGATATTTGTGTGGCCTACTGTTGATATTTTTTATGTGACCTGGCAATGAATTTTTAATTTAAAATGAATGAGATGTCATGCTTCAAAATAATAAAATAATTCAGAATTTCTCTCCATGTCCTGTATAATGAATATCAATGTCATACATCAAAAAAAAAAAGAAATATTACATTGTAATGATTAGATTACATTAGAATAACACATCTAATTACAACAAAAATTTTTGAATGTTCTTTTATTTTTATCATCTGTAGTAATTCATACTATTCAAAAATATAAATATTCATGTAAATACATACAGAAAATAAACTTTTTGTATTCTTTGTACTGGCCCATCCTTGGTTTATAGTTTTGCAGAGTGACCCCTGTTCCCTATAAGTCTGTGCATCCCTGCTATAGATGAAAAAGTTTTGGTAGTCTTATTCTACATATTTCACGATTGACAATGAAAATAAAATTCATTCAAGACATATTCAATATTAAATTGCCTTATTAATTTCTTACCAAACTTTTTAGCTGGTGTAACTACCACTTCATTTTCTGGAGTAGGCTCAGTCTTCTTAGGTTTTTCACCTTTTTTAACAGTCTCAAAGCTGATCTCTCCCATTTCTTTAAGTTTCTCCTTGATATCTATATCATAATCCTCTTCATGGGGAGCCTCAGCTGGAGGATCACTAGGTGCACTACTACTTGTTACACTAGGTGCAGGAGCTTCAACTTGTTCAACTAGTTTATCAAAGAAGGATGTACTGCTACTTGCTTCATCCTCAGAGTTACTAGGAAGTTGTGGAGTTTCTTTGTCAGGAACTGGTTTTTCATTCACTTCATTTAGTTGAACTCTATTGTTTACTTCACTAGGTTCTTCATCAGATTCCTCCATTTCAGACTCAGTATCATAGTCAGACATCTCTGTTTCACTAAAATGGTCCCCTAACATTTCATCAACTTTTTTTTCCAGTGTAATGTCATCAGAATTATTGAATTTGAACTTTTTCATTGATACTTCTGAAGAGGGAAAGGGCCTCTTCAAACCTGGAATGTGAAATTCATCTTCACTCTCCTCCTCTTCCTCTTCCTCAACTTCACTAAAGTTTTCCTCTGGATTTTCTTTGGGCTTTTCCAGAGGGACAACATTTTGTGGTCCCATTTTGGAATCTTTGGGTTTCTCAAGTCTCTGTATTGTAACATCTCCTAATCTCTGTAATACTGGGTCCATCACGTGAGCTATGAATATTATTGATTCATTTGTTAAATGTTGTTTTGTTTACATGATCTTTGAAAGTGTCGGCCATAGCAGCATTTTGAAGGCCGGAACAAGATATTTACTGCTGATGTATGCTTTTTACAAATATTTGCTCATGTACTGGAGGAGAACAAGTCTTCCACTATCCCGACTCAACATCTTAGCATGGAATTTAATTATTATTGGAAATATGAGCTGCACAGGTCATTGGATTTCACTGTTCACAGATTATTTCCCAAATTTTTGGCACACTAGATTAATATGTACTAGAAGTTTTCATCAAATCGGAACAATAGATTCTTGAATAGTACTCCAAATTGTATTAAATAGTAAATAGGTATTAAATGTATTGAGTATGAAGAATAATGACTGGAATAATCAAGAACATCAATAATCAACAAAATGGCAATCTGCAAACTTGAAACAGTTGAAAGTTGAAACTTGACTTGTTCTATGTTCTCTTGTTCTTCTTCCGTCCAGTGTTGCCAGCGGCCCATCGCCCGATGTTGGCGCTGTTACAAATGCAATGTGAAATACAGAAATTCATAGCGCTGTTACAAAATAAATGGAATGTGAAATGCAAAAATCCATGAAAAAAGTCACTAAGTCCCTAGGATTCTGAAAATTTAGTTCGTGATTTTACGAGAGCCTAAAGCTTTCGAACCATTCCCAAACCTCATTGTCAGATTGGTGGTGCGGGGGTGCGCGGAGGGGTGTGACGTCACTGTTTCCCCGCCACGTGATTGTAGATTTCGTTTGTGTCACTGTCAAATGGATTGAAAACATTTTTTTTCTGTGACGGGAAAAAAGTTTGGCATTTCATCTCTGTTGGCAGGGTATAAAATGTCACTTTTCATAAATTACTTTTTTCCCGTGGGAAAAAAGTGAGTACTTCTTTCCCGGATATATATCACATATATATACTCTGTTAATGGCTTTTGTTGTGCTATTGTTCCGAAAAATGAGTCAATAATACCGTCTCCGAGAAAGAACTGCAAGTCCTTTTATCTTCCATTCGACTTCGCGGTTTCGTATATTACTAAACAACTACTGAATTCGCGATTTTTTAAAATCAAATCACAGAATTGAACTGACAGAAGTGACATCAGATATTTGATTACTTCAAAAGAATGATAAAGATGTCTATGAAACGCAGGTGTCCCTACTGTTAAAAACTTGAAATTTCACGTCGATAATTTCCAGATTTCGAAATAATGTAATATCTTCTCAATATTGATTCGTCCTTCCTTCTGTCACAGAAAAAAATAGTGTATTATACACGGGAAAAATATTAGATTTTAGCTCACGGTTTTTTGTCTCCCTCCGCTACGCGTCGGGAGACAACACAACCTGGAGCTCTAAAATCTACTACTTTTTTCCCTTGTATAATAAATAACTATTGAATTTGTGAATTCGAAAGAATCGCGAATTTTAGACTTTAGTTGAAAACATGGTGACAAGAAGACTGAAGATATCTTTGGAAGAGGGTGAGAGGTTGTATAATAATATGGTGTAGTATTATTCAAGGCTGGTCACATCATAATATATTATCATGTGTGGAGTCAAGAGTGGATATAGAACAAATAAATGTTATAAAATGCCTGTGTTTACAATCATCTGCTCTTGGGCAGCCTCCACATGAGATTCGGATAATTCCAAAGGAAAATAATGAGCTGTGGCAATGTGAATGTCCCTGTGAAGCAGGCATGTCATGGTTTTGTATACACATTTTATAGGGACTTATATTGACAGGTAGGAAGGTGCACTTTTGATCTATCACACACACAGGTAAAAAATTCATGAAATTTCAGGAATGAAGACTTGTAATATGTGAAGCTGCATATTATATAACACACATAAGTGGTGAAAATATAAAAAGAGAGTAGATCAATTAATGATCTATTATACAGCAAAACCAACAACAACAACAAAACAACAATCATTCTCCTTTTATATAATTCAAGTTAATTTACAGGGTATATCAGTCTATTTTTTTTTTTTTTTGTTTGGAAGCCAATGAACTCAATGTAAACAACTAGCTATTGCATGGTACTCAGGAACACTGGTGAGTTTATTAAATTTTAACATAACATATCATGAAAACTGTATGCTTACAATAATTTTGGGCTATACTTGCTACTTCATTTTTAGGTAATTTTGCACTTATCATGCGATGGGTTTTTTTTCAAAAATTTTTTTTGGTACTTACGTATTTTTGTCTGAAAAACACGAATTTGATATTGAAAATGTGAACAAACCATTATTTATTGAGATATTTCACTATAAAGTTACAAATTTCACCTTCTTTTCCGCCTGTCTTTGGGGCGCATTTAGAACAATTTGCCCTTCTTTTTCCATCATTGGACAATTTATATATATCACACAATGTTGGACACATATTTTTTATTATATGAGTCAACTAGAAATATGATTTTCTTGTGATTTATCCATGTTTAGTGAAAAGAAGGAAGAATATCATTTGAAATAATGGGTGTGTGATGTCATTCCAAAGCAATCTATTGACATTTGACATCTCCTATTTGGATTACCCATCGATTAAATGGCGGTCATCTGGCATGATGCTTGCTCACTAAATAGGAAAAACTCACCTTAAAAATCATATTTCCTGTTGAATTTTCTAGCTTAAAATGTGTCATTGAAGTACATCATGAGTATGTGAAGTGTCCAATGACAAAATAAAAAGAGCAAGTACCTGTAAATGCATCCAACACAAGGGGGAAAATAAGGCAAAATTTCGAACTTTTTCTTGAAATATCTTGATAAATAGTGGTTTGTTCACATTTTCAATATCAAATTCGTGTTTTTCAGACAAAAATACGTAAGTACCAAAAAAAATTTTCGAAAAAAAACCCATCCCATGATAAGTGCAAAATTACCCTTGAGGTATTTTCTTAAAATTTTAGGTAAAGGTTCAGAACATTTTGTGGAACAATGCCATTTCCTGATAGGAGATGGTATAAAACATGTAAAGTTGGAAGAGAGACACACTTATTATGGATACATTCAGTTGGGAATAATGGCCCTAAAATGTCCCTAATGAACTTGAAAGAAACTAATTTTCTTGTATAATTCTTTTTCCTCCAAAACTTACATAGAGATTCCAGTTAATTTTATGTAACATTTTGTGTTAATCTTATGAGGAAGATATCTTAAAGATATTTCCATTATGTTGCACTTTTATTGCATCAATAAAATGGAATGAATTGTGATGACTTCTTTATTGATTCATTTTCTTATTATTTCATTTTCAAACAATAATATGTTCCAAATTGATACTGAAATAAAACCATTGAGTTAGAATCATTCAATTTATCCAGAAGGAAATCTTCTTTTGTTAATTGTTTCTCAGAAATGAAGGCCTAATCAATTTCAAGATATTTCTTCACATCCCTTGTCAGCATGCCCTTATCACAGTAGAGCGCTCTCTACTGTGCCCTTATCCACCATGATTCCATCATTAGGTTATTCAGACTTCCCAATAACATTTTCTTTATTAAAAAATGCTTCATCAGTAGCTCAACCTCCATATCACTAAATGCCAACAGTAATCAGTCCTAATGGAGTGATATTGCAATAAGAATTTGATTGAGTTTCTGTAATGTGTAATGTGTCTGTACAACAGGAGCACTGAGGAACATAACATATCTTCCTAGATTTCTGTTTTCAGTCTTTTGTACTTGCTGCATGTTTTGGGAAAACAGTGAACTATCTCGTGGATACAAAAACATATTGGAAAACTTCAAAATTTATCAAAATTCACTGGATTGCACAATGCTAAATTTGTTTGTTTTGTTTATCACATCCGCCATTTTCATTTTGCCGTTCGACAAAAGACGACTGGGGAATCAGTGACGTCAGTGAGGCAACAGTTAAATGTCTTACAGAACAGAGGCCATTGAAAAGAAAAAAAAAAAAAGCCTTGACAGTGAATCACGTGATTCAATATGGAGGCATGCGCAATGGCATTCGCTCGTAGAATGTAACGAGACCCTCGAAGGGTTTCGAGAGGAAGAAAAAACATCCTTGAAAGCTTAAATCAGAATAAAACTCCCTGACCAAACTCAGCCTCTCACGAATCTCAACATATCACGTAATGAGAATGGTTCGAATGATTTAGACACTTTCAAGACGAGATTAAAGTTTTCGAACCATTCCCATACTTTATCACGTGATACATTATGGACGCATGTGAGATGTGACGCATGCTTATTCGCTCGTAGAAAAATAGAATCATCAACGAGATCCTCGGGGTCTCGAAAGGAAGGAAAAACATCTCACCAAACAAATTGCTGGGAGTGGTTCGAAAGATTTAGGCACTTCTTTAGCAGCCACTGCCAACCTTCCAAATATGTTTTCCCTACACAGACCTATAAATATTCCCTATATTTGAAAAAAAATCTCTACAAGTCATTTAGTATCAAATATTGGATTCAGCAAAGATTATTTCTCAAAACACATTTCCACTGTGTCCTAAGGTCACTGTCACTAGTGTCACTTGTCATAAACAAGAAGTCGTTGAGGCTGTCTGGCCCTGAGAACAGTCGAAAAATTCTGGATTATCCAACGGCTAGGCTCTGGAATTCATTGCCTGTGGAAGTATTCCCAACAACATATAATCTCCAAAAGTTCAAAAAAAATTCCAATACCTACCTCCTGTCCCTATCCTCCCTAGGAACGCACGATGTTCTTTGAACATTAGAGGGATTCTCTTTCGTGCGCTCCAAAGCGATAAAAAAAACCTACATCCCTACACACCCTTTTAGCAAATTACCAGTATTACCACTACACGTAAAGAATATCCTTACGGGCTGGCATCACTGAACAGCGAGAGTATTCGTGAATGTCCCCATGTCCCCTCGGTTCCTTGCGGAAGAGAGAAAGGCATATTATAAACAATGAACTCAATACAACTTGAGTTCATTGATTATAAATGATATCTCACTCAGTTTGGTTCCTACTCCGTGGCGGTATTTTTTTTTAAATTCCCTTCTGAATAACTTGTCATATGTATATCAGGATAAACAGCGCTCGAAAGATCTTTGATTTTTGCTTTCACTAGTTTCACTCAATTTGTGTCCATATTGAAGTTTTGTTTCAATAAGTCATGCGATATCTTGAAATTCAAACAACGTATAGATGTGAAAACAATTTCAGGTGATAGCTATCATTGTTGCTTAATTTGAATTTTTTCTACATATTATCGCTGATGGTTTGGCGGATCTCGAAGGGGAAGGGGAACACATTTGGTCAGTTTGATGACCAAATCAGTATACGTCCTCTGGACGTCAATGTGCTACCTGGGAATTGTCGTAACGGCATACGTTTTCAAGATGCAGTCGCATTGAAAAAAAAGCGTACAAATATATCACAGAGAGAAATTATCGGCATCCTATTCTGCATAAAACGGGCTTTCGGGAATGATTGTTCACCAAATGTTGACAGTAAAGTTGTCATAGGTTCTTGAAAGCACAGAGCATTGGCTGAGCCAGTTTTACACAACTAGAACTAGGATCCCGAAATCCTCTCTCTCTAATACTTGAATGCGTACATACAGAGTGGGCCGTTGAAAACGAAACAGAGGATCTGTAGGTCGCCAAAACCGGATTATAAAAAAAATCTGAAACACGTCAACTATATTTTCGAGGGGGACATCGTTCTAAAATATTTTCAGCCCTGCGGCGTTGCCGCTTCTAGAGAAAAGAAGCAACAACTTTGTTATTTCAAACGGAACACCATGTATTTTATTGTATTTTTAGATTTTCCCCGAAGAGCTGATTTCATCAATGTATCACACTTGGGGTCCAGCTGTAATGGTTTCAGGGATATAAAGTGTTCAAAATCGAGATTTTTCAACTTTAGCATTTTTTTGTGTCGAAACTATTCATTATTGGTCAAAACGGCTTTCATGTCCCTATCTCAACTTGTGATTTACTATCTACTAACATTTAATTGGAACAGATACAGGGTGATCAGAATTCTGAATCTTGAACCACCCTGTATTTGTTTCAAATAAATGTCAGTAGATAGTAAATCACAAGTTGAGATAGGGACATGAATGCCGTTTTGACCAATAATGAATAGTTTCGACACAAAAAAATGCTAAAGTTGAAAAATTTTGAACACTTTATATCCCTGAAACCATTACAGCTGGACCCCAAGTGTGATACATTGATGAAATCAGCTCTTCGGGGAGAATCTATAAATACAAAAAATACATGGTGTTCCATTTGAAATAACAAAGTTGTTGCTTCTTTTCTCTAGAACCGGCAACGCCGCAGGGCTGAAAATATTTTAGAACGATGTCCCCCTCGAAAATATAGTTGACGTGTTTCAGATTTTTTTTATAATCCGGTTTTGGCGACCTACAGAGCCTCTGTTTCGTTTTCAACGGCCCACTCTGTATATTATGACGTTGAAAAAATGTTTTTTTTACACATTTTTTAAGATTATGTCGAAACTACTTTCGAAATTGTAATAAAATATTGTGTAGATGTGTTTTGGAAGCTGACAGTGCTGACACATCACATGAATAGGCCTTTTCATTTAGGTGACAAATGACTATCTTTGTTCACATCTATATAGCATTCAACGAAAGTGGCGATCATTTCCATCGAAACCCTTGCACCACACTTCTCAGTAACGAATAAGTTACGTTTTTCGAATCAAATTATTATAATACAATTAATACACACCAGGAATAGAGAAAATAAAATATTAAGTTGCTATTCTTGTTTCTCAATGACATTCAATGATGAATGCCCATGGTGGCTGACACTGTTGACATTTGACAGAATGTCATTAACGTAAAAAAAAACGCCATATTGGAAATGGTCAATCAGAATTTTGTGTCGGAACCATAGCCAATGATAGACATCACCTACGCATTACCCAATCAAATTTTGGATCTTAAAACGAGCGCATGCGTCTCAAAAAAAAAGGTCTATTTCCTTATGAACGGTTGAGATTCAGCTGTTAAGTGTGAAGTTCAATGCTGTCTTGCAACTCTTGAATTTCACCTATAGCATATAGAATGTTTGCACGAATAAACTGTGCAACAGTTATAACTTCATCATTTTCATATCGAAATATTCCGAAAACGGAACACAGTATCGAGTTTTATCGAGAGAACCTTTTTGGTGAGAAATTGGAAGATGTTCAAGATCACATCAAATTTGGATTGAAAAATCTAACCACAAAGAAGTTATGTGATCTCTGTCGGTACGATCCTTATTGTAACTAGCGCCCTCTATGAGAGTCAGATATAGAAACAAATTCATTCGATGTCATCTTTCTAAGGTGGCTATATTGACATCTTTCAAAACACATTCAAACAAAATGTCATTACAATGTTGCCAAGAGTTTCAATCGTAAAATAGTAATTTTCCTAACAAGAGCGGAAAGTGATTCTTTCCCGCACGCGACTGCCGTAGACACGAACGACGCGAAGCGGAGCAGGCCCATAAAAGGTGTTTGGTCTCTAGGTTCCATACACCTCTAGGAAATGTGTCAAAAATACTTCTTCTTCATTTGGTATTTTCATTTCTTTATTGTTGCACCATTCAATAAAACGCGAGTATAGCTTCTCATACCTTTCTTAAGACTTTCGTTGGCAATAACGCATCTGTATCGCATCCCTCTATAGCTGGAAGTTTTTGATCACATTGTGGCAATTCCACTGAATCGAAAATGACAGTAACGCTGTGTCTGTCACTTCGACAATTACAAACTCATTGGCATGACAACAATGATCGTTTCCCATCAAATCAATCCAAATCTATAGGGGGATTTTTTATAATAATTAATTTTTTTTTCTCAATATTTCTTAATTTTCACAATAGTGCAATTTTATGGATGATTCTGAACATTCATACTTTAATACTGCAACAAACAATCTCAAACTCTCATATTTCATTCATCACCTACCACTTAAATTTTGCCATATTATCATATCTTTGTTTTTCCCACACTAGTGTGCGAAAAATTTTATCGCAATGTTGCGTGCGGGTATAGGGTGAATCACGCACGCTTGTAGATAAAATGTGTTACACCATTTCAAAATCTTATAGGGATGTTCGGTATTCTCACAAAACGTTACAACATCTACACTCATTGTTGATATTGAGACGTACTGTGTCTCAGGGCATACTCAGGACATCGAGTTTTCTACAGAAAGTGTAGATGTTGTAGCCATATACATATTAATAATCAATACGGATAATCTCTATCTGTTTCCATAGCGAAACATGAAGCCGATTTTTGAAGACAAATGACTATCCATAAGGAAAAAGTTTGAAACGATCAGACACATACTGCTTTGATTGAAAGGCTAGTAAACGTCATTGTCCACCGAAACGCATGTCTTTGATGACTACTATAATAGCGCATGGCGCATGCGTATCATGCCACCAAATCCTTATGGATATTCATTTGTTTCATATTTTTGGCTTCATCCTGGCACCCGTTATGATCCGTATTGTTTATTAATACGTATATGGTTGTAGCGAAGCAGCGAACTGGCCTTATATCTTGAAAACGGATGCCGTTATATGACATATTTAGACTGACCGAACCCAACTTATTTTTCAAATGCTCTACCTCTACCCCGCAAGGGCGTCAGGTTTTTTCTGAAACACTCCGTGTTATCATATGTGATGATAGGAAGTTGGGGAAAATAATAATAAAGCCATTTTTGATATTTATTTTTTATTTTATAAATGAAAACATTTTTTTGGCAATTATAGAAGCCAAATATAAATAATAATTATAGGTATAGGTATATAAATTTATCGCAAAACAATCCTATATTCTTCATAAAATTTTGTTTCCTAAAATACATATATTTTCAAGCAACCAAGTCGAGAACAAATTGTAATGTTTCACGCGGCATTTGTTAACAAAAAATAAAACTAGCACCGTGACCGATATAACGAATTATTATATTATATAAGCAGAAGCAATATTGTAAGATAAATAATATAAGAATTAATATAAGGCAAACATAATATCTACATCCCGAAAAAGTATGCTTGTATGCTTGACAATAAATTGGGAGAAATTTATTTCAAGTAAATTCGGACAAAATTGGAGAGAGAAATTGCCCTACTTTTACGTGAAAAAACAATGAAAATTGGAGAGATATTTCATTCTTCTTTCAATATTTCGGGATGGTCATCACAGAGTAAAATTAATAAATTTGCGAACCAAAGTGTTCCACTACTAAGATTCGTAAATTTTAATTTTCACAACCAACGATAAAAATCTATAAAATAATATTATGAAATATAAATATATTATATCTTTCATTAAATTGTGCTCCATTCTAATATACAGATATAGATAGTCAATAAAATATACAGTGATCTTCTGATCACAATTATGGAAACTTATTATGATAAATAGTTCCATCCGTTCAGTTGGATCTTGATTTTTTTTCAAGCTATACTCTGCTTATTCTAGAAAATATGAGTCACATGTATATATACAAAACGATAAAAATATAAGTCAAATATTCCAAAACACAAGTGATAGAGATACAATAAATGCTATCACAAAGAGTGGAGTGATAGTTTCAGTTTCAAAATAAAGTGTTACAAAATCAACAAAAATGGAATGATTTTCAAGAGTAAGTACCAAACCCAAATTCTCATCGCTATCCCGTGAGATCTACGTTCACAGTACATTTATATTGGCGGTGGACCATCATTGTACCTCAATGTAGGCGTTAGACTATTCGCTATTGTGTTGACTAACGAACAGGAATAGTCATCTTCTGTGAACGGGACTAGAGATGCTGCGCCCAACATTAGAAGCATGACGGCTTGGATGGGAACTGAGGCTCGTACCACTCTACCCAAGAAGCGGCAACCTCGCCTTAGTACGGAAGTGTTTATTTCTTGTTCGTCCTCAGAACCACTGGAATATGAACGAGATAAATTGTAGAACTAGATGATTCTGGTCCAACAACATTTATATAGTTATAGAATAAGACTAACAATATCAATTTAGATTCTATGAAATCTCCATTGATGAAATATCAGGAACGTATACCGGGGTGGATACGGAAGTATTGCCTACGGAATATCTCAGTTATTGTATGAAGTAGGTTTGTGAAATTTGGAGCGTCGATATAATGACATAGGAGCTAGAATTTGAGCAAATAGACATGTCGAAGTTAACTTCCGGTCTGACCGGAAGTAACATCAACTTTCTTATTTTAAATGAGAACCCTATTTTTTTTCTTTTCGCTTTATTCAGTATTCAGTTTGGTTTATTCAGTATTCAGTTTGGTTCACCGACGTATATCTAGGAGGTGGTAGATAATGTGATTTTGAAGATATTTAACCATCATAAATATACTATTATATGATGAAAGGAATATTGAGGGTAATGTAAACAACAAAGAAGGAAATAGTGGACAAAGCCCTCATAAAAAGTTAACGACCGTAGACACGTGTTTCGGGTATCTGGCCCTCATCAGTATGATGAGAAAATGTCAAAACTTCACAAACGTTTGTGAAGTTTTTACATTTGCCATGGATTTCCATCAAGTAACGGCCAAGTCAATTCAAAAAATGATGAAAAAAGTGCGAACGATAAGCAACACTTGGTGGAAGACGTAATTTTGCTTTCCGTAGAATTATGGCGTAACCAGATACCTATTGCACTATAGTATTTTTCATGAAGCCATAAAAAATTAAGAAAACATACTAAGTGAAATGGTGAATACAAATTCAGGTAGGTGCATGATACATGTGGATATAATTAAGTATAGAACATGCTAGAATAAGCAGAATGAATATTTCACATGGTGAGCTGAAAATATTCACCTCATTGTGAAATACACTTTCTCAAAATAAAATAATAATAATAGTAATCAATATTTACTTGTATGAGGCGTCATCTGATGGTGCAGAGGTAGACGGTAGCTCTCGATTCGGTTGGTCCAGAAGCTGTCCAAAACGCAAAGGAAATATGAAACAGTGCTTTCAAATTCATACTCTAACAATAAAAGTGCTACTTAAAAACGATAAAACTACTACAACTACTCAGATACAATTCATTCTTTTTCGAAAATATACGAAACAGAGTGAACAATTATTATTTCAACAAAAAGAATGAACTTTACATTGTAACGATGGCACAAATTCAATACTTTTTTATCTTGAATTTCAGATCTACTGACATAATAACCGGGGATTAAACTAAACAACTCTACTGGCCTCTACAACATGGTACAACGGTTTGTCAAACTTACATCGTAGCTGAGTGCGTGCGTTGGTACACCTGGCATAGACTCGGAAGATGTTGCTAACCCTATTTCATTAGGATCCCTACCCAACACCGCCCCCAGCTTGAGGGTGTACACCCCAGTTAGCTTGATGAGCGACTGTAGCTTGAGCCTCAGCTCGGTCAGTCTCCTGTAGATCAGGGTGGAGCCTTCTGGGGCATCTTCCCTGAGCAGATGGTTGGCCGCCTCTTGGAGACTCAAGACTCTCGGCTCGCATCGTTCTAGTTCGACGCGAAGTTCGAGGAACCGATGGTATTTCGATTCGATGGTTTCTGTGGGAGCCGTTAGGTCCACTGGTTCTGAGGCGCGTATTCTTCTCTCGTTTTTCTCCAGCCAGCCACATAGTTCTGAGATTATGGTGTGGAATTGTTGATTCTGCAAAAACAATTAATGAAAAAATCAAGTTTGCACGCCCTGATGATATTTTGGGTTGTTCATCATCTATTTCTATGAAAGTGTGTGTGACGTCATATATATGACCGGCTGCCGTTGTTCAATACGTTTTCTCACGAATCCAATTTTGTTCTCATTTGAAATGAGTGTTTGCAAAGTAAGTATAAGTATATATACTGACAACTGCATTGATATTCAAACAATATTATATAATATATTATATATATTCATCGAATCGTTACTTATAGGAGTATTAGGAAAGGATATGACATATTTATGGAAAGCACTACTCGCCTACAGACAGTTGGGCGCATAATGAATTTCAGTTTTCATTCTGTTCAGAAATTATGTATATAGGCTGGCGGAGACGTACAATAGCACACGATAGCCGAATCAGTCCTCTTGCTATGTTGCCATTTACATGCCTCATGTGTAACGATTGGGTAAACAATATGTACAGATATCACTCGTACAAAAAATGGTACCTATATAAGCATCATGAACGGTAAGGTTCACTCACGCGGGGCGGTGGAGTTTTTTCATTTTCCATTGTCACTCGAAATTATGGCTTTCCATCTTCATCATTATATGTATCTTTTCGGTTGAGAAACCGACAAAAATTATGACTGACTTCCTATGTATGATTGTCTTTGGACATTTCCGTATACAAGGAGAGACAATACCAGAGGACGAACGGGGAAATATATGGAGACTGTATAGTACCATCCTGCCAGCGATGCTTCGTATAGTGCATGATTTCGGGAATTGGAAGAATTCTGCCGCTTGGTGTGTGATGAGAACTCGACCTCCCTGCCGATTGATCGACGGATGTCCCGTTAGCTCAATTGGCAGAGCGTTGGGCATGTAACCAAGAGGTTGTGAGTTCGACTCTCACACGTGGCGGTGGAGTTTTTTCATTTTCCATTGTCACTCGAAATTATGGCTTTCCATCTTCATCATTATATGTATCTTTTCGGTTGAGTAACCGACAAAAATTATGACTGACTCCTAGGTTCACTTGTGTCTGAAAATATTGTGAAGGAATGCGCGTGCAAAAGTAGGTATGGAATAAATTCGATAATTCTGTAAGAATTCTTGGAAAAGTGAAAAATGATCAAGGTAGTGCATACCGGAGGAAACGTTTGAAAAGCAATTTTTGCAATAGGACACTTTGTTTATTATCCAATTTCGGATAGAAATTTTTCAATATGAATTCAACGATATCGGGTTTAATAAGGGTACCAAAAACGACTAAAGAGATGTGGGAGAAAATCTTCAGCTTCTGGTCCCAATGTGTGACAGAAAAGTGTCACCAAATAGGTCAATATCCTCGTAGTTGTATGACGCCGCACCCAATGTCGTTGATTTGATGTTGAAAATACCCCTCCGTATGTAGGTATAATACTGAACAACATATTAAATCCTGATTCTGTAGAAGATTTCAGTCTAGCTTTTGACGAGTACGTACATTCATGAGGGCCCATTGTAGCTGCACCTGCCATTCGGTAGCACACTGGCAAATGATGTCCCATCTCTTATTATCAGTCTCTAACCTAGACCTGAGCTCATCTGCTTTCAGAGTGTCTTCAGTATGGTCTGCCAGATGGGTACCAACAATATTGAGAGACCTATAAGAAATAGTTATCTGAACACTATGGTGGTAAATAATATCAAATTTCACGCAGGGACCAAGAATATATCCAGAGGCAGATTTGGAAGAATATTTTTAAATAAGTTTGTAGTAAGATACTGTAGCCATTCGATCACCACAGAATATGATAGATATACGCGATGGATACTCAAGTATTCGAGGGTTTCCTAGTTGTGTGCACGTGTGCAAAATAGTAATTTTTTTCCTATGATTTACCGTTGCCGTACAATCTATTGAATAATTTGTGGAATCGATCAGTGAGTTTTATATTTTGTATTCATACCTGACGATGCTTTTGTGACTGTCCAAGTCTAGAAGGAACTCCCGATGATCTTGAATGACGTCTTCGAGTAGTTCAATATTGGATGGAGGACTCTTCAATGATTTCTGTGTACCCTCTGCGACTTGAAGCCACTTTTCCAAACGCCAGAGATCATTGTCCAATTGTGCCCAGTTGCGTTTTGTGCATAAGGGACAAAGTATTCGGCCAGCCTCACTGTTGAAGAATTCGAATTTGAATTAATGACCAGCACTATATTATGAAGGATTATGAACAATCTGCTCTTGAAATATCCCAAAATGGTTTACCAATCTATCTACATTCGATTATTCTCATCATATTCGTGGTTTTAAAAATAAAAATTCCTAATTCCCATTGCAAAGGAGGTCGAAATAGTTCATTTGGATTCGTTGGGAGAGTACCATATATTCTGTACCTATATGAATATTCAGATTATGATGATTCTTGTTAATGATGAATAAAGCCATGCAATTGTTGTCTTTTCATTGGTTAATGTAGGTAAATGAATTATGAAATGATCATTGCAATTCCCATGTCACGAAGACTTACGTATAGTTGAAGTATTTGTATACCTATCGTCAAAGAGATATATGAACTATTGTGGTATTTAAACATGCAATTGATATAAAGTGGAGAAACTGTGCGGTACTCACTGTGTGCACAAGAGGTTATAAGCTTCAGGAAGAGTAGTTCTGCAGAGAAAAAACCAAACACCAATTAGTTTGTTACGAACTATTATCATGAAAGTATTCATTCCTATACATATATTAGTTGAATTCTCAGTCAGCTCACCTTAGCTCTCGCAATTTCTTCTCCTTATCCTTAGCTCTAACAAGCATCACGGTGTATCTCTCAACCAACTCGTAAACCTCTTCAGAGCAGGCCTCCAGCTCTGTTGCATCGCACTCTTTGATGAGGAGATCATGAAGATGCTTTACCAGTTCAACACTAGCTTGGCACCTTGCTGACATCCTAGCAATCTTCTTACTACTCGTCGGCAACTCTGGTGAACCTTGTTTGGGGATGTCTTTCTGCAACGACGTCTCCAGTTCTTGTAGGTTGGCCCTACACTCGACTAGTGCAGCTTCTAGCTCGACTAAGTAAGCATCTTTAGCGCTTATCGACGTCATACGTTGAAGTTGAGGAGGTAGAGTATTGACCTGCACAGCAGAATCTTGTTCAAACTTGAGGGTCTCTACCTGCACACTCTCGTCCACTTCTTGTGGCTGCCTCTCTAACCTCTCTCTTTTTATCTCAGACTTGATGTATGTTATCCTCTCATGGAGATTTCTGCAAAGAATCTGGTACTCGTCAATCATTTCTTGTATCTCCTCGACTTCTTTGCTACTACTTTTCTTCATTATCTGTAAGCCTAGCTTATCAGCAGTCTCTAAAGTGGGCGTTTGCAACTTCAGTTGCTTGTCAATAGCTTGTAATTTCTTCAGCTTCTCTATAGGATTAACTTTTTCTGGCGGTGATAAGTGTTGTAAGTCCGTGATTTGAGCATCTAGTTTCGTGAGAGCGACTATAGCATCTTCATGGGCTAGCGAGAACTCTTTGAAGGGCAATAGTTCATTTTGCAATTTCTTTAATATTCCTGTCGATTTCGGCAACAAATTCTCCCATCTCACGATGATGACACGCGCTTTGGAAGTGAGTTCTTGAATGTTTTGGTGTTCTACACCAGGTGCCATCGCTAATTTCGAGTACGTTTGACCAAGAATTTGGAATGCAGGTACGCGTGATTCAATATTTCTTATCTCAGTTTCTGTTTCATGAATAAGTTTCTGTAGCTCATCTCTATTTAATTCATCTGTTGGTTTATCAAGTTCTTTGAGCTTCTGTTCCCTTTCGCTGATCCATTTCTCCTGATTGGCACTAAGCTTGATCACTTCCTGCAATAGCTTCCATATCAAGCTTATCTTACGTTTGCGTTCTGCGGAGTGGCCACAAACTAACTTCCAACGTTTCTCAATGTTCGAAATGGAATTGCTGATATTTTCAGTTGAAAAGTGGGCCTTCGTCACTTCTGGATCATTGAGGATCAGTTCACAGAGATTGAGCACATCGCCAATATTACTGCTCTCGTTTTCAATAGATTTCCTGAGTTTATCTTGATCCTGTAGTTTTCTATCTATAACGTCCTGGCTACAAGACTCAAACACTAGAGGTTTTGTTAGTTGTACTTCTATTTGGCTCAACCAGGCTCTAATTTGTGCTATCCTCTCTTCTAACTGTAACATCGTTTGCATAATATCGTGTATTTTGTTGAATCTAGTTTTTCCGAGACTCTCTAATCTATCCCACCTTTCTGATACTTCGTCAGTCCTCGCTTGGATGATTTGTTTGGCAGTCACATCAGCGTATTCTTCACCACAAGATTCAACTATATCCTTACCTGTTTTGAGCAACCAACCGTATTCACGTTCTTTCAAGGCCATTTCGGCTTGGAGTTCAGTCTCTAGTTTTCTGAGTAGTTCCTTTGGATCTATAGGGGTGAGAGTACTATCGTAGTCACGTTCAAGCCTGTCTTCTATTTCGCTGGCCCAAAGTATGAACTTAGCGTGTCTAGCTTCGAATACTGATCTTATTCCTAGCTTCTCTTCTAATTGATGGCACAGCATGACTAGCTGATGTTCTAGGTCGTCATGTTGGTGTCTGAGTAGCCACATTTTCTGATTGACAGTTTTCATATCTGATGGACTCAAACATTCTTTGAGCTGTTCCTGAGTCAGACCTAGCTGTTCCAGATCTCTTTCCGAGGTAGACAGCCTTTCTCTCATTCTTTGAAGAATTTCAAGTCTATTGCTGATGCCAGCATGAGAAGTTGATGTTTGTGTGCTAAATTCATTGATGGTCACCTGAATGTCATCAAACAAAACCTGAACTCTGGTAACTCGTTCTTCATGGGATTTCACTAGGAGGGCTATACGTTCAAGGAATTCTTTCCAAGTTTTCAGACCAGCTTGCAAGTTGGAAACTCTCTGCTTGATGGCAACATGTTCCATCCTGATGGATGTAGCCAAAGCATCATCGCAGAACTGGAGTAAAAAGTTTTGTTGTCTTTGTAAGCTCTCTGTTTGTTCTTCACCTTGTGGGATTTTGTCCAAAAGGTTCTGTATGCGGCAAAGGAGTTTAGGTATACGTCTGATGTGCATGTACCTCAACTGCATATGTTCTCGTTCTTTTTCCATCGATTTCAACCAATTAAGTAGTCTGTTCTGATCTTGCTTGTACTTATCCCAAGCATTCAAGCGAGTTTGGACTTCAGTATGCCTATCCATGATACTTGAAAGAGTTTCGTTATGTAGGTTCGTCAAGGAATTGAATTGTTCCATGACACTTCTTTCAACCAAACCACTTGCAAGCTCGCCATCTATCTTGTCAGATGGCCTGAGGACGTTTTGTTGTGTGGTCAGTAGGTTCTGATGAATCTGGCAAAGGTGTTGGTGGTCTGAGAGGCTGTGATAGTCACCAGGAATGGTTCCTTGTAAGAACTGCTGTACGTTGATCAAGTACTCCTGCCAAAGTTTCAGAGCCGCTGCACCGTCTTCATTCTTCACTAATCGAGTGCTCAACCGATGATATTGTTGGAAGGTTTCTCTAAAGACGTGTTGCCAGAGTTCCAAGATTTCTATAACAGATGTTTCTGTTCTCGTGGTCGAAATTTCGACTGTCTTGTTTTTGATCTGTTCGATTTGCCCTTCGGCTTTACTCAGAGCCAAGAGGTGGTCGCGGAGTGTCAAGAGTTTTTCTTCGTTGTCACTATCGATGCCGCTGCTATCTAGATGGTTCACGCTCTGTAAGGATTATCAGGTTATTTCAAAAATTGTATAAGAACGTTTATTTTATGACCATTTCTTTGCATGTTACAAATGGAGACTTACCTGTTGCAAAGAGTCCAAATAGACCTTCTTCTCCCTAACTGCCTTTTGTATTTCATCCTTGGTCTTTAGCTTAGCCTCGGCTACGTCAGCAAGAACAGTCAGTGATTCTCTCACATCGTCTAATCGTTTTCCTAGCGCCTGTACTTCCCCGCCCAAGAGGGCGTTAGCGTCGAGCCCTACTGCGCTAGCGATGCCGGAAACGAGTTGCTGAAGATCGGCAAGGCGTTTTGTATGGGCAGCTAGAGTTTCTTCACAAACCTGGAAGATTGAATAATATAGTAATCTATGTAATCGGTATCTATATTTTACTATTTTCATTTCAAATTATCATATCACATTTTTCTCAGATGGAGGTGATCGAAGTATCTCCTCTTAAAAATAATGTAAGGCTAGCTTTAGATGTCAAAATCTCCATGTTTCAGGAATGATTATATAAAATAAAACTCTCACATTCATCTTAACTGTGACGCTTTATAAGTGATGATTTGATTCATCCTGAAATAGCAAGAACCATTGCTTTGCTTCCTTCAGAGATTATACACTCCCCCTTCAATCTCTGCTTTCTTCAATCTCTTTTAATGAAGCAAATATCTCATAATCTGTGACTTTAACCCATTAACCTTGGCCGTTATTCAGAACATGTTGTTTTCAATTAAAGTTGATGGAAATCGAAATTCGAATGGAAATCCGTAATAATTTCACACTAGAACACGCAATATTTAATCACTTTCGATTGTTGCTACGTTTCGGAATTGGCATCTAACATCTACAATTCCTTATTGTGGGTGTTCCGAATCTCACCGTCAATAAATATATGTAACAGCTATCCATGATATAGCTGCCGAGGTAGCTATGTTGATTCATGGAATTACACCTACATAATAATATACCCAATTTCACGAGTTCCTCCAGAATGAATACTCAATCGATGTCAATTTCTTTCTAGTCCAAAATATTGGTTATGTCAGCACTTTCATATCTGGTCGTGGTACCTATTGATTTAACAATAATTGGTGCATAACTTTTTATTTTGAATGGTGTAAAAAACATAGTGAGGAATATATATACCTAGAGAGACCCTGATCGAAAGATACTACCTACTCGAAAAACAAATATATTTCAATGAATGATTTTTTTTCAATTGCATTTACTCGTTGGAACAAAAGCCCCATGAATCAAACTTTTGTGTTGGGTTAGAGACATTCACAAACATCTATGGCTACTGGCCATAGTGGGACTCGAATATATGCCACATTGGGAGTATGAATATTTTAGGTATACTCTTTCATTGGTCATCCTGTATACTAGCGTGAAAATCATATCGTCTTTAATTCCATGACACTGCATGATTTTCGACAAACGGAAATTGACTCGGAAATTGATTATAGTTTCCATGCTTCAGCTCGACAAGTTTTAAGTTGTCTTGAATAAGAGGAAACTCTCAGGAACACCTCAAAATTGTTATGAACGTTTTATTCGAAATAGAACACTTTATTGCCTCCTTCCCAAATCATTATCGTAATTTCAATGTGCTGATTATATATAGGTACTCTTAACTTAACTAAGAGGTTATCATCTTTGAATCACAGATTATTCCACAATACAAAATACCTACAGAAAATACCGGAAAATATGAACTTTCGATCCTGTCCTTCCATGATAAAATTAGGCATTGCGAATTGCAATAATTAACATGAACTCTCCGAATATCGATGATGATCATAATCGATATTCCGGGACCCACAGCACAGAATATTCTATGAATGTCCTCACAACGTTCACAACATACCTCCTTCAGTATATTCCAAAAAATATTATTATGATGAGGATGTTCTGAATGTTCATAGAATGTTTTACGAGAATATTCATAGAAAATTTTATCTAAATATCCTAGGAACATTCCTAGAATATTCCATTATACTCTATAAATGTTATTCAGGAATGATCATAGAATGTATTGTTCGAATATTATAGGTATATTTATAGAATATATTATTTAGATACTCTGAGGAAGAGAAACATTTTTGTTTCCTATAAACAAAATGTCCTAAAACCTACTTCGTTTTTACTTTTTGCGATACAGGAAGTCATTTTTTTGAAATTATTTTATAGATTTTTCAATGATTATTCAAATTCTCTTTCGCTGATTTTTATGAATCTCATCATGCGCATCTTCGATAGCAATGAAATTTAATGGGAATTCATTCAAATTTACCGCTATTCTCTCCAATTACTTTCTGCTTACCCGCTAAAACTAAATAGATGCTTTCACACAGCATGATATCCTGAAGCATCCATGATCCGCGTGTATGGATGTTTGAACTGTAACAGTTTTTGGGTGTTTTTTCAAAGTGTGGGAAAAATATTACCCTAATGTTCACTTTTGGAACATTCATAAACATATTTTCCTCCTATATCGATCCCTGTTCTATATAACTATAGAAAGTTCTGAGAATGCTCTGAGTAATATTTTTAGAACGTTCTTGGAACGTGAGTATTCGTCTTATTTGCATGTTCTTAGAATATTCACAGAACGTTCAGTGCACCTCGTGAGAAGCCGACTATAGGTTTGTAAAAAAGAAAGCGTTCAGCCACACCATACCATCATAACATGATAAAAATGCTGAGAAAGTCATGGGTTGTAAATGCATCCGATCACTTTGAGTAGAAATATTCATTTTTTTTACGTTATTTCGAGTAAGCATAGTTGTGAAAAAGCTTGAAAAATTCTATTATCAGGATATTTCCTGTGAAATTTCAGATAAACAACGCAGGGTAATTCCTGGAAAATAGTCGAATTATAGGTCGATGAAATAGGAAATCCAACAAGATTTAAAAATATATCAAGAGCTACATGGTGATCTACAAATAAAAATAATTTTCAAGTACATTACTTCTAGAAATCACCTTGTGTATCTCAAATATAGTTGGAAATATCCATCCATCATAAAATCGTCCCTCGAATCGTCTTGTGTTTTTTCATGAATATTCAAAATATCTTCAAGAATAATTCCGTTCTATTATCCATCTAGATTTTATCCAACAAACTATTAATTTCAATACATTAGGTAGGTTCCTAACGATTAGGAATTCATAAAGAACTAGCTTCATCTTTGCTATATGCATGTTACCGAGCATGTTACGCTCAATTGATCACTTCGTAATATGTCATAACAGTAAAAATATTCTGACATCGGCATAAATTCAAATTCCTCACAAAGTGCAAATTTCCGTTCCGAAATAAAACAACAAAATGTTTGCGTGTACAATTAGAATAATAATTACAGTTGATACGGATGATAATATTCAAAGTGGATCATTGTAGACTGCAATTGATGATGTACGCAAGAAATTCATATACAGTGTGTCCTGTCAGATATACTACAGTCTGGATCATTCAAAAGACAAGCAAATGAAAAGGTGTTGAGATAGAAACGATTTCCACCAGCACACAATTTCTACAACTTTTTGTTTCAAGGTATGCCTATACCTATACTAGGCCAGATTATTTTGATATTTCAAAACCGACATTTTGGGAGTCATCACATCACTCAAAAAATTATCTTATTACCAGAACATGAAATATCAAAGAGTTATTTACTTTGAAAGTTATTTTTTTTTATAATTGCATTGCAGGTTCATATTCATAATGTTCTATGTGTCCACCGAGGTGTCCACCTACATTTTTATTTATTATTGTTATGAATATCTGCTGAACATCCACATTAAATATATCTTCAAGAATATCATTTCTTTTTGCTACAAAAGTCTTCGGTCTAATCGATCATATATCACCCCTTTCAAGAATTCCTTCACCACCTCGTTCCTATATGAAAAAACCAGAATACTAATAACATCATTCCGTACATTTACCTTCAACTCCTCAGGAGTACACATCTAAAATTGTTTTGAAAATTTAGAATAGAACACTATAAATTTGTGAATTTTCGAATTATTTTTGATTTGATTAGGAATATTTAAAACCTTCGAACACTTCACTACACCATTATTTTTGTTCTCAATCAGTTTTATTTTCGGCACAATGAACCTCGACCGATTTCAGTAGCAAAAATTATGAAAAACACACACGTTTTATTTATAAAATTCGCGCGTCTGAGAAACCACGATATTAATTTCTATAAATATCCCCGACTCCCGACTTCCTTTTGTCACAAAGGCTGGGAAGAGACTGAAATAAGTCAAAACATACTGGGATAAGTGGGATATAATAATATAAGGGTGAGCCCGCCACGATTCCACGAGCCACAGGCGACAGTGTGAGGTTAGTTTCAAATGCCGACGGTTCAAAATAGGAATCGATCCAAGGGGATCAGGGAAGCTGGGGTCCCTATACAATGTCAAGTGAAAATGTAATGATTTCCGACACAGTATAGTCGGCATATAAAAGACCATATTATACAGTGCGTCTATAAAAGTAACGCCTGAAATCATTATTAGCTGAATTAACAATAATATTAAAAATTCGATTTTTTATATTGATAAACAACTGTTCTTTGAAATACTCAATAGTCTAATGAAAACCATCTTCGTGTGATGCGGTCATTAATAGTTTTTCGAATCAATCAATCAATCAATCAACTTTATTATTCCCAAGAAACAACATCTGTTTATAGCAGGGAACATAGTGAATACATAAATATATTTGACAAAATAAAATAAAGAAGGCAGTAAAATAAGACTCACTCAAAACGAATCTTTTTTTTTCAAGTTCGAATGAAAATGATCCTCAATTGACTCAGCTGTTAGGTACCCAATTGAAAACTATAGTAGTTCTACAAGAAAACTATAAAAATGAGATGAGATGTCAATATTACAGGAGTAGATGATGTTTCTTGAATTCTCTTTTAAATTTTTCAATCCTATTACTCAGCTTCAAGTTATTTGGTAGTGAATTGTATTGTATCATTCCATTGTGATAGATGGATTTTTTACCAATATCTGATTTAATTTTCTTGATAGGGTTTGCTGTTCGAAGCTGTGATATACTTACTTTTTGCTCAGCCTGTACTAATTTGAAGCAACGTATGATACATCTTTGGAATCACCGAATCACCTCAGCAATATAGAAATCCAGAAATTGAAAAAAAAGGTGATCCATTGTTATTGACGTCACGAGACGAAGGAGTTTCACTCTGTATATTAAATAACGAGTTAGATAATTATTTGAAAAAATAGTGAATTGAAATCAAAAAAATTGTTAGCATTGTTTATTCGGCTCATATTGAATTTATATGCGTCACTTTATTAAGACTAAGGTCGTTTAATGCGCAGTTTCTGAACCTTGGTGGACGTTGAAAATTTGAAGTTTTCTGCTTCTTTGGTACATTACAAGAACCAGAACAGAACCATTTCACCCCCAAATAATAGCACACAAAGATTTGAAGGTAGCATAAAAAAAGACCTCAACAACACAGGATGTCATATTAAAACGCCGCAAACTGTAAACTACGCCATATTTCAACCGATTTCAGTAAAAGTGAGAACGAATTCAGTGATTAGCAAAATATCACAAACTGATACAAATGATGGATGGATATTTCGTCTAAAGACGTCAACCAGGGCATAAAAAACTCAACTTTTCTCTATCAAAATGAATGAAATATACTCATATATTATTTTTGTTTCGTTGAATTCAGCTCATTTTTCATATGGATGTATTGATGTGTTGAAATAAGGTTTGTGCCTACCATTTTGTGGCATTTTTAAAACTATCAAACTTTTTTCAAATAGGAAAAGTAGAAAAAGATATTGCAGTAAGTCGAGCAGTAAGTATATTCTATGACTCATTGTCATTGGTTATAAAGTCTGGTGAATAATTACCGAAAGATATTAGGAGGCCAGATAAAACTACTATATATAGGTCCATTGTAAAAGGATTGATTAGATAAAGATGATAGACAAACAACAAATAGATGAATAATGATATGTTTGTTGGAAGCCAAATCTTTTCAATTCATTCTTCTGCGACGTTGATACCATGAATTTTACGGGAGAAACGCAATATAACAGCAATTACATACCAAATAGTATATTTCTCAGTCCAGTTTCCGAAACTGATTTAGAAAATATAGTAATGTCTCTTAAGGCGGAAAAATCACAAGGAAGTGATGGAGTACCCGGATTCATTATCAAAAAATGCTTTGATGAAATAAAAAAACCTCTGTTATATTTGATAAATAGATCCCTGGAGTATGGTGAATTTCCAAAAATATTGAAGAAATCAAAAATAACGCCCGCATTCAAGAATAAAGGATCAAGTGCTGATTTATCGCAGTATAGAGCTATAGCAGTGCAAAATCAATTTTCCAAAATATTCGAAAAAGTGTTTTTATTGCAACTAAATAATTTTCTAGACAAAAATAAAATCCTGACCCCATTTCAACACGGTTTTTTGAAGAAGAAAAGCACAGAAACGGCAATCTATGAAAGCGTGAAATTCACACTAGAATCATTAGATAAAAAGGAAGATACTGTAGGTTTATTTTTTGACTTTAGTCGTGCGTTTGACTTGGTTCAACATGAAATATTGTTCTTCAAGCTAGAGAAAATTGGAATACGGGGTCCAGCAATATGCTGGATCAAATCATATCTTTGCAATCGCCAACAAATCGTATATGCAAATGGTGTAAAATCCACCCCCCTTTCGACTAACATTGGGTTACCTCAAGGAAGTCTACTATCTCCAACCTTGTTCCTTATTATGAACAATGATTTACCAAGTATTGCTCCAGCTAAAACTTTACCAATTCTTTATGCTGACGACTCTAATTTCATAACAACTATAGAACACTCCCAAAATATAACGTCCAAAATGAATGAATGGTCAAAGCAGAATTGTCTAAGCATAAATAATGAAAAATCTCATATCATTCATTTCGAAAACAAAAATAAACCATTTGACTATAGTATATTAGTGAGATCAGATGATGGGAGTACTGTACAACAATTGAATAGTACAAAGTTTTTGGGCATTCACCTCGATTCCAAACTGAGCTGGCTGTCACATACTGAGGCACTATGTAAGGCCTTGAATTCTCTTTCTTTTTTGTTTAGAAAACTCAGACCGCATGTCAGTGATTCCACTTTACTCATGCTCTACTATGGCCAATGCTACTCGAAGCTATCGTATGGCGTGATCTGTTGGGGTAATTCACAGAATATTGAAGCAGTTTTGATATCGCAAAAAAACTTAATCCGGCAAATTGCGAGGGTACCTCGGAGGCACTCATGCAAAGAGCTATTTATTAAATATAACATACTCACCGTTATCTCAGTATATATATTTGCATGCTCAGTGTATGTGAAAAGTAGGCTAAATCAATATAAAACCCTCCAAGATGTTCACAGTTACGATACTCGTGGAAAAACTAGAATATGCACTCCTCATTATCGCCTGAGCAGTGCCATGGATGGCCCCCATGCAATGTCAATCAAAATATTCAATAATTTACCATCTGGAATTAAGGACATCTTAAGCATAAACAAGTTTAAGGTAGAATTGAAAAACTATCTGTTACCCAAAGTTTATTACTCAGTAAGTCAGTTTTTTGCCAGTAAACCAAAACTGTAATAGGGATGAAAATATTCATGTTCTTTTCAACAGTGTTTCGGTGTGACGTTACAAGAAATTTCGATTTTAATTGTAATTTTATATCTTAATGTTTTATTTTTATTTAGTGTCGTTTATTATTCATTGTGATTTTATATCTCAATGTTTTATTTTTACTTAAGGTCGTTTATTATCTATTGATAGAACATTTTTTTCCTACATTTGCTGACGCTTCCTATATCATACATGTCTGTTTAAAAACCTTTTATATGGATATGTCTTGACCTGAAAGGAATTAAAGAAATTTTGAATTTTTGAATTTTGAATTTTTCGATTATTATTGATATACCTACCTCCCACCTCATTTACATATTCACCAGACACCAAAACATGTCTTCTAAGTCTCCTTCATTCTAAGTATAACTATAACCAGAGAGTATATTATGATAGATGGTAGAATACTTCTTTCACATTAAAAACTAGAAAATTCTATAAATTTTCATTTACTTATTGTCGAACTTTGTTACTACAGAGTGTTGCGAGGTGTGTTGCGAGATTCTACCCAAAACGCTTCACAGGTTAGCCTTCATGATTTTATAAGACTAAGCAAGGGATAAGAAGTCTTTAAAGTATTCAGATCTCGAAATAAGGGTGTTGGATTTGTGTAACCATTTTCAAGAGTGTTTTGCGTTCAAATTCGGTATGGTTTTATCTTCAGATATGTCGATTTTTGACCAGAAAGTCATCCCGGACGTATCCATATAGTTTTGCGCTACGATGAAATTTTGATCATTTTCGAATCCACGAATTTCATGATGAATTTCATTGAAAACATGCATAACCTTCAACGTTGGGAACATGAAGAGTTTTCGATATATTCGACTCGATTCAAAAGCTTCCATAGGCATATTCAATCTTTATCAGCAGATTATGAGAGAAAAAAATCAAAAAATGTCAAATATATTTTGAATAATTTCAAAACTGAAAAAGCACAGGCAGAGGTTATAGATGGTTATTAGCTGATATTTTCATTCACCCTGTTATTGAAACGCCTCTGCCTGGTTTCTGTCATTGTGTCATAATCAATGAAAATGCTCGGAAAATGATTAGTTTTGAAATTGAAATGGAATTTTTTGATACTAAAATTACTGATTTGGAATACACTCACCGGCAAAATAAACAGGCCAGCAAAAAAAAATTGTCAAATTTATCGCCCTGTAACTTTTTATATTCTTCTTCATGTTATGTTAGCCTGAATTTCAATTCTTGGAAAAACTGGCTTTATCATTATACAGGGAAAAATGGAAATTACTTTTTTACCCTTGACTTCTTAACGCCCTGTCGAATGAGAGATTGAACTTAGCTTCATTATGTTTTCAGAACTACTACTTCAGAAGATATACAGTATGATGCAAATGTATGGAATAAATTCATTTCAAAACAAGACGACTTTCGAAAAAAAATAAAAAACTAGAGTTTAAAACTTTTTTTTCGATGTTCAATACTCAGTAGCAGACATCTGCAAGATTCAATTAATCACATGATAATCCATTTTAAATTCAATCTTCTTATGCAACATTTTGACTGTTGAATAGACGATCGGTAGACCTTTCAATCAAGGTGTCACATGACCCCTATTTGTATTTGAAAAAATCGTCCATTACGTCTTTACTCCAACACCGGTGACGTAACATCTCTCATATGAATATCATGAGATGAGGCTTCAGAAATTAAAACTCACGTGTTTTTGGAATTTTTTCAAATGTCGTCCATTTCTGAAATAATAAATTTATTCCATACATCTGCATCATACTGTATATGTATATAGAGCGTGTCTCACTTTAAACGGTCCCCCCTCTATATCTCAGTTATTAGTCATGCGACTCCAATCAAATTTGGTGTGGTATAAATAACCATCAATATGATCAGTTTTATAGAGATGCACATTATTTTGGACAGTGCTGTGCGTTTTTATTGAACTAAAAATGGGTCGGATATCATAAAATCATATTAGGCATTTTTTACAGGGAATCTGACCTTTTATTATATTGTTCCTCCATATGCAAAAAATCACCTAATTCCGAATTAACAGGATTGGCTTCATTTTTAGTCTCGAATAAATAGTGATTTCAAATCAACTACGAATTTTGGAACGTTCGATGGCTTCGGTAGGTGGAAAATCATGATTTGTAAGGAAAAACGAGTAATACTTTTTTATGTTGAACTTACCGTTTCCGAGTAGATAATTATTACGTTCGCAAAAATGCTGTTTTGTTGTGAGATTAAAATCTGGTTGATAACCAATTTTCTTGATCAAAACAACAATTACATTCGTATGGTGACTGAACATATTCAACTATTGTTCGTTGGTTGATTGAATTATTGAACGAGATAGGCTCATTTTCATATGCTCTTTTTGGTTGATTTATCCCATCATTTTTTTTCGAGTGTAAAAAGCCTGTCACCCACCTTGACCTTCTCGATCGCCTCCTCGGGCGCCATTTCCTCGGTCGCCTCCATCGCTTGCTCCGCCCACTCCCTCACCAGCTGCGACGCCTCCCGGTACCGCCGCCACAGGCCGGCGGCGTCCTGGTACTTGGAGCACAGCTGCTCGAGGTTGGTGCGCGTCGCCTCGTACGCCGTCACCGCCTCTCGCACCGCCGCCTCGACGCGCGCGCCCACCTCCGGGGCGCAGCTGGAAGCTAGCGGATGGGCGGCGGCGCGCAGCTCGGCGACGAGGGTCTCGCGCGAAGCTAGATCGCCGGAGACGCTCTGAAAGAGATTAGGAACGAGGTTAGAATATATTATTCGTTGCGTTTTATTTGTTATATTCCGGTAACGGTGGTTGGAACCGAATGACGTTTGCAAATTAAACTACAATATTCATGACCAAGCACGACAGAATGGATGATAGAGGTTGAATTAATATATTGCGGCTCCGAATAATTTCAAAATCAAAATAATAGAGTAGAAGATCAAGAAAATAAATCAACGCATATCTGGAGCAGTGCTTGTGCTGATTGGAGGAAGTTCTCCGAGAACGAAAGAGAGAATTCATTTTATCTGGAAATGAAGATTCGAAACCTGTCTTATTTGGAAGAAACATAAACTTGTGAACCCCAAGATGGAAAAATCTTCTAATCGTCTCCTACTTACAATAAGTTCCGTTCTTCATAAATCTCTTATTTCATATTTTGACAATTATTGTCAACAGTCATGCCACATAATTCCTTGTAGAGTCACTGGATAGTATTAGTTTGATCAATGTTTGATAAACTAATACCATCCAGTGACTCTAATTCCTTGTAGTGATATGGAATGAAAAGTAGCAACCGGGATCGGAAAAGTTGCAAAGATGGATTTGCATCTACATTAAGGTGAGTTCCCAATGCAGCGTTTTTGCTTTACGCGTCGCGCGCCATGCAACCTGATTGGTGACGCTGAGTTTGAAAAATATTTGACGCGATGAAGTTGAAATATTTCAACTTTTTTGCGTTGCTGCTTTGTGTTATGTCGAGGTTATGTTTCAGCAACCTTAATAGTCATCAAAGTATTATAAATTCTTTCAACACATCAAGATTTTTCATGAAAAAATAGAAATTTTCAATGCAACTTCATTAAACCCTCATTTCTGAGAGTAATATCATGGTTTGTAAATCATTGCAGTATCACTGTGCCGTTTTCGTTCTTTGATGAATTATGTATCTGATGATGCAGCTTTGAGCTCTGTATATCTTGGTAGCATCATGCTATATTTTCAGTATTCTCAGATATTCTCATGATTTTTCAATGCAAACTTCAACCAAATCGACAATGGTAAGTAATTTCATTGGGAACTGAAGAAAATAATAAAAAAACAGTGCAGCAATTCTGATTGATGCGTCACCAATCAGACTGCGTGACCTTAATAGGACCTCCATAATAATAGCTTGCATCATATGGGAAAAACTTCTAATAATGATTTATTTTGAAATTCGACTTGGGCGCTAGGTATTGTTTCAAAAAAGATGGAAAATGGCATACTCGGTCGGAGTCACGTGAAATAGGCTTATTTGTTCGATTTCAATAAAGTTTACCAAGAAAAATTGTTTCTATTCTAATTTGACACATGTGTCATATGAAATCAATTATTTTTATATAATGTATCTGATACTATAAATTTCATTTTACTAGGGTTTTCGAATGTAATTCTGGTATAAAATTTTCTTACCGAATGCCCCACGTGTAGCATGAATTAATCGCGGGAAATTTGTCTCCTACATGAATTTTCAAAGAAAACTCATATACTTAAAAATGTTCCGGTGATAATTCATTCCCTAGTATGACTAGGATTATAAAGATAATTCTGTTCGGTCCTCTCAACTTAATGGAATTATTCTGTCAGAAATGAAGCGCCTTATATATCTATTGGCAAAGGTCACTCAGTTCCATTTGAAACTATGTATAGACATGTAATATCAGATGTTATTTAAGTCCTTCCATTATAATTCTTTCAAATAACATTCTTTCTTCTGAATTTTCTTGAGAATTCCATATAGGAAAGTACTTTTTTTGATTAACATATTGCACTATGAATCAATATCTAGAGAAAAATGCTTGACACACTGTGCAGTTTTCGCCATTGTCTTGATTTTCTTTCGAAAACCGATGAAACTTATTTTTCGATGCCCATAAATTCAGGAAGAATAAGGAAGATGATTATATCAAGCGATATTTTTAGAAAGCTACTCGAAAGTTCTTTCCAAAGGTGATAATATAGGGTGTTCTATTTGAAATTTATACATGCACTTTTTGGTACTCCCTGTATATTTTTCAGATAGTGAAAACGTACAAACATCCAAGGCCTTCAGTGAAAGTTCTTATCATCGTTAATAATAAACTTTAAAAAATAAAAATAAGATGAAATAACTTTGGAGGTTATTGTTTCGATGGTTGTTACCTATATATATTAGCTTGTTCCTATATCCACTCAATTCTATAATTTTAACATCAAATGAACGTGTTTTCTATTTTGAATTCTGCTTGACTCACAATATTTGAATGCATTTATGAAACTAGAGATAATGTATGATAATGAGGTTGATGACATTGCGATAATTGGGTACATTCATTATTATTCATATTTCGATCACAACCCAACAATGCATTCATATAAGCATCAAACTATGAACGAAGATGGATTTGGATGAAATATTCATATACTACAGGGTGATATTTATACGAGTTATAAAAGGTTTCTATCCGGGTTTCTGTTTCTGATAATCGGCTCATTTGGGGAAATAACTTTTTTCTACATTCATGCAAAAAACAGAACTTTATTGAACTATATTTAGTGGAAAAAGATGTTCTTTATTGCACTTAGTGCAATAAAGTTTTTATTGCACTCATCTGTCATTCTACTTCAACGTGCTGTCATCATGACAAACATTTTCTATAATGCAACTGTGGTTATAGAAACGTCAGTCAAAAATTAATTCTGACAATTAACAGAATTGTACCTAGTGCCGCACCTCAATAAATCATTTTTTGCTTTTTGCATGAACGTAGAAAAAATGTTGTATGCAACTATTAATGACAGATATACAGTGTGTGCGATTTCAACCCGCAACACCCTGGTAATTTGGAACCCATCGACCGATTCTCGAAAACAAAAATTTCATAATATATTTAGTAGTCTAATGACTAACACCCTAAGGTAGGTATTGCGTTCACATTTGGTATGGAGGTATTCCAGCTAAGCCTGAATCGAAAAAGGTAATAATTGTTTCAAATAAAACTGCCTAATAGTAATTTTTGAGACTTTCACCCCTTCAACAAAAATAGTAGGCCGTTCGAGAGCTCGTTGAGTACCATATTATGGAATTTTTGTTTTTGAAAATCGATCGAAGGTATTCACTCTGTATATTTACTTATATATACCTTCACTTTACCTATTTTTCCAATATCTATTAAATTGACTCATTTTTTAAAATTTGAAATCAAAAAAATCGAATGGTAAAGAAATAGGAACCGTTTCAATTGTTCCCACTCTGTATATCTTATATAACTGATATAGATATTGCTATAATATTCAATTCACACGTCCTGTAACCATATCATTCAGTTCTTGATATGTTTGATTACAAAAAAATTAAAACCGCAATGATTATTTCCGGTGCTTATAGAGTAAAATGTAAAGTGTTCGTATTTCCGCGTTATGAACATTAAGATTTCCAACCAGTTGGGAAATGTTAAGTTGATTGTCTAGTCTAGAATGTTGTTGATAGTAAGAGCCATAGAGCTTTGTATGTATTTCCGGAATGAGATCCCACTCCCTAAATTTATCTTATCGGAAAAAACTCATTGGTATACATGTCCTATTGCATCAACATGGAAAGGATTTGAAGCTTTGAATAATCGTATAAGCTCACCAAATTGGTAGGTCACACCGACGTGATTTTTAGACGTCATAGATACGTCACTGCAACGTCATAAGAGTAACGGTTTCAATATAGGTATACCTAAACAATCATTTTTATATATACATAGCTTGATGGTTTCCGAAATATACAGTGTGTCAAAGTTTTTTAGAAAATTTTGCGAGTCAGACAGAGTCACTTTTGATCCGAATGAAACAAGCTATTTTTTCTGCAATCGGAATATCTGATGTCTAATTGAGTCACTTGGGCATGTCAGTCAGCTGTCATCCGACACGTTTTTAGTTCCTTAGTTAAACTTCATCTTTAGCTCCTAGCCACTGAAAGTGTTGCATAGCAGAATACATACTAATCGTTTCATTGTGTTAGTAAGAGAAACGTCAACTTCAAGAGCTAATATTTTGGAACAAAAATGGACGACTTTCGAGCTGGTTGCAAGAAAAATATCTTTCGAATGTGGATTGAGTTCAGAGATATACGTTATAATAATATTATATGAGTAGGTATTATAGGTCTATTTATTGTATATCAAAGTATAATTGGACTGTTTGAATTTGGTTTTGCGTGAACCATAAAATCTATAGTTATCCATGATGTAATTGCATACTATGGAAATTGTTAATATTTGTTGAATTATGTATATGTTTACTGATAACAGAAATAATCGTGATTGTGTTTTAGACTGAGCGTTCCCATCTTACATTCTACAGTGAGCACGTAAAATGGTTGTAACATATTCATTAAAAGCTTGATATGGCCATTGAGAAAAAAAAAACGCTCAGAGACGTCGATTGTCTTCCTCAGATGCGCATTTGTTGGTTCTCTCATATTTTTGATACCGTCATCATTATAAATTACATTTATTATGGATGAAATCTCTATCATTCCTCGAAAATAGGGTTATGTAACATGAGGAACAATAAAGAAAAAATATAACTTCCATACACAGAAATGGGTTTTTTCAAGGTATTCTCAGAATAGGGTATTGCCATCTAAGAAAATTATAAACGTCATAGCTCGAACAATGATGAAGTAACCAGAAATATGAATAGAACAACAATTGCGCAACTGATGAAAAAGAAAAACGACCTGTCTGAGCTTTTCCCCACTGGCCATATCAAGCTTTCAACGAATTTTTACGTGATCACCGTATAAATATATTTTTTAACTTATTACACGTATTCAGAGCAAATATGAACATTCTATAAGGAATGTTATAACATTCCCACCGCCTAACTTTAGCCCTAAGTATATACCTCCATTCATAGGCATTCAACAATTATCAAGAATCCTGAACTGCCTAAATCACTTCATTCAAAGCAACTATATTTTAATATGTTTTGAAAGAGATGATAA